ACCAAAGTTGATGGAGGCCAAAGATCTCGATCTTGCAGTGCCGGGCACCTACAAGAGTGGGCAGCCTGTTGTGCGCATTACATCTTTCGACACGACGTTCAGCGTTATTAGCAGCAAGCAACGTCCGCGGAAGTTGAACATCAACGGTAGCGATGGTCAGTCTTATACCTTCCTGCTCAAGGGCCACGAAGATATAAGACAAGACGAACGTGTCATGCAACTCTTTGGTCTCTGCAACACACTGCTGGCAAACGACTCGGAGTGCTACAAGCGTCACTTGAACATTCAGAGATACCCGGCGATCCCGCTGAGCCATAGTTCTGGCTTGTTGGGCTGGGTTCCGAACAGTGACACGGTGCACATGCTCATAAGAGAGTACCGAGAGAGCCGAAAGATCCTCCTTAATATTGAGCATCGAATTATGTTGCAGATGGCCCCTGATTATGACAACTTGACCCTGATGCAGAAGGTCGAAGTCTTCGGCTATGCTCTCGACAACACCACAGGCCAGGACTTGTACCGCGTTCTGTGGCTGAAGAGCAAGAGCTCGGAGGCCTGGCTGGAGCGGCGCACCAACTACACGCGCAGTCTTGGTGTGATGAGCATGGTCGGCTACATCTTGGGTCTGGGCGATCGTCATCCTTCGAACCTCATGCTGGACCGGATCACCGGCAAGATCATCCACATTGATTTCGGCGACTGTTTCGAAGTGGCCATGAAGCGGGAGAAGTACCCTGAGAGGGTGCCCTTCCGTCTGACCCGTATGCTCACGTATGCTATGGAAGTCTCCAATATTGAGGGAAGCTTCCGCATTACGTGTGAGCATGTGATGAGGGTCCTCCGGGACAACAAGGAGAGTGTGATGGCGGTCTTGGAAGCGGTAAGTCGTTGTTTCGCCTCACTCTTGTTCGGACTGTCACTGACTTGCCACGTAGTTTATTCATGATCCGCTCCTTACTTGGCGGTTGACCAGCGCCGCCAGCCCAGCAGGCCCCAACTTCACTTCCGAGAGGGAGCAAGCTCTCGTCGGTGCTCAGGCGCCTCGCGGTCGCCGCGCGTCCATCCTCGACGCGGACCCGGCCGCGCTCCGCGCCGCCCAAGCAGCAGTCAGCATGACCAACGACAATGCGATGGCGGGCGGGCCTCCTCGAGCCCGCGCCCGCACAAACTCCTCTGCTGCACCCGTCATCGGCAGCCTGGGCATGAACGGTGCTAACGGCGTTAACGGCCAGCAGAACCAGGACCCGACCGAGATACAGAATGCACGGGCGGTCGAGGTTCTGGACCGGGTGTCGCAGAAGCTGACGGGCAGGGACTTCAAGGCCGGCGAGGAGCTGGACGTGCTCACGCAGGTCGACAAGCTCATTGTCGAGGCGACAAAGCTGGAGAATCTCTGCCAGCATTACATAGGTTGGTGCAGTTTCTGGTAATTGAGGTAGATGGGGAAAGGGGACACATATGCAATCCTCACGGTGGACATAGTGCGATGGGAGTAGTTATTTGTTTCGCTGCGTTTCCTGCTTGTAGGCATTGCAGAGGCGGACGACGGGTTCGCAAGAAAGGCAAATCAAAATTGAGAGCGCGCTGGAAAGGCTGTTAACAGATCGGGGTGGTGTTTCCGCGAGGAGTTCGAGGTTGAGCTTTACAGGGCCGAGTCCATACCAGAAGCAAATAGGCATAGAGAGGCTTAGGTGAATTGAGTATTCATCGTTCTTTTTTGGTCTTTATCCAAGAACCCCTATTCTTGTAGAAGCTTTGACAGCAGACTTGGTTCTTTCATCTCTCTCCCTGAACCAATTCACTTGGCTCTCATGCACAGCCCCAATGCGCTCAGGTGCTGATTGGCTGTACTAGAGGGTTCTGCCCCATATGTAAAAGCTCAGCTGTCTGTCTCTTCTCATCCTACTTCATGTTGACGTACGTCAGCCGACCAGCTCACCGCCCATCAATTGTGCTTCGGACGAAGACTGTACTGCCTGAGGGTGACGACGATCTCGCAACTTCTAGGTTGCGTTTTTTTTTAATAGAAAAGACATACAAGCAAATTCACACGGTCCAGGGTTCTAAGTCTGCAGATCCCTGCCGATTCGCAGGATGTTGTCTTTCTTGACTGGGTGTCTGCAAAGGCACTTTGGTGATGACGAAGACGACAATAGTCATCCTTATAATCCCCCCAGCCAGGGCATTGGTTCGTGTCATCCTCTTTTCCTTACCCACCCACATGCAACACCTGAATGGGGACAACGGCCGCGGGCAGAACATGAAGGTCAAAGCCTCAGCTCCCGTGTAGTTATAAGAGATTATGCTGCTCCACTCCGTGGCATACTCAAGGCCGCGATTTGTTTGCAGCATTGCTGTTCTAAGACGGCCTCTTCCGGGCAGCCTCGACGGACAATTGTATCGATGGCATGTCTCGTTACCTGCGCTGTCCGGGTCCGGCCTTTTTACGTCTCCTATCCCACCTCATGTCTGGAATCATGGTCTCATCCGGCGATGCTGGACTTTATGCACGTGCTGACATGTCCTCCTTGAAGATCGAAAAGTATTCGCTCATTATGTGGTAAGTTGAGCCCGTGAAGTCAAAGCAAAACTGAGTGGGCAGTACGTAACAAGAAGGGAATCCCCAGTTCGGCCTCACCGACGGCCACACGTACGAGGACTGGAACCAGGAGATCCTCGCGGCGCACGCGGCGGGCATCGACGGCTTCGCGCTCAACATAGGGCCCAACGACCACTACACGATGCCGCAGCTGCGCCAGGCCTACTCGGCGGCGGCGTCCCTGCTCGGGGGCCGGTTCGTCATGTTCCTGTCCTTCGACATGGCGGCCGGGGAGTGGCCGGTCGACCAGGTCGTCGCGTGCATCAACGAGTTCAAGGACTCGCCCGCCCAGTGCAGGGTCAACGGCCTGCCCTTCGTCTCGACCTTTGAGGGCCCGCAGTGGGCTGATAACTGGCCGGCTGTGAGGCAGGCCACGGGCGGCATATATTTCGTGCCGGACTGGAGCTCTCTCGGGCCGCACGGTGTTGGGGAGAAGCTTGGTCTGATTGATGGGGCGTGTGAGTATCAACTCCGGGATAAATGTGTTACTTGAGGATGCCTTGTTTGTTGAAAGCTGACGTTATGTCCGTTGCGGACTCTTAGTCTCATGGGGTGCTTGGCCACGGGCAGATCAGCACCATATGACCACCGACGAGGATGTCCAATACCAGAGGCAGCTCCGTGGCAAATCGTTCATGGCAGGCGTGTCTCCGTGGTTTTACACGAGTATGTTGCCACCCTCCCCTCTTGCTTGTCCGAGTCGAGACTGACGAATATTCAGGGTTGCCCCAATGGGAAAAGAACTGGCTCTCCGCGAGCGAGAGGCTCTGGTATGACCGGTGGATGCACATGCTCGAGCTTCGGCCGGAATTTGTCCAGATCATCACATGTAAGTGCCTCTAGCCGAAGCATTTACCACACGTCGTGGCTGACTGGCCACCGTGCACACCCACAGGGAACGACTACGGTGAATCTAGCTACATCTACGACCCCGTCCGTCCGGGGCAAATTGTCCCTGGTGCCGAGCACTATGTCCACGACCTGTGCCCACATACCGCATTCAGGACCATTCTTCCCCATTTCATAGCCGCTTACAAAGCTGGGAGCACGCAAATCGGCATGCCGCAAGAGGATTGCGCCATCGCATGGTACCGAACTACTCCTGCTGCGTGTGGCCACGATGGAGGTGAGACCCGATTTCCATTCAGTCTGGCAGAAGCGCCTTGTTTCGTATACTGACGATGTACGTTTTCCCCCCTGGTTTAGACACCGCATGGGGCCAGGGCGGCGGTCAGTCAGCAAGCCAGGGAGCCAGGGACGTCGTCTCTGTGCTGGCAGTCACTAGAGAACCGACGGCCCTTCATGTTAGCATCGGTGGCTTATCGCAGGAGTATATAACGCACCACCAGCATGGGCACTTGACATTCTTCGAGGTGCCGTTCGACGGCAGGCTTGGTCCGGTCCAGTTGTTCCTGGGTGGCAAGTCGGTGACGGGCCCGGAGATCCGGAACGAGATCCCCCAGTGTGGACACAACACATACAATTGTACAGCAATACATACATAGACGGCGTAGGTAGAGAAAAACTGGTAGACTAAGTTGTCAGTTCGTTCGAATAGTTGGCAGGTTTCTAGCGAGGTTACATTGAATTCGGTACCGACTGCCCCGATTAAATAATTTCACCCCCCCCAAGACCACGCGTACAGGTCACCGGCTTGCGGGCTATTTAAGAGCGACTGGTTGTGCAAGCAATCTTCGGTGCCAAAGCTGTCAACAGCGATGACTCGCATCTCGGCCATTTCTGTCAACGGAGCTGTGTGGCCGGCCTTAACAGTGCACCATGCGACGCTGTATAATCCCGTGGCCATTGGGTGCCGGACGCGGCTTGGCCCACACCCATGTCAGTCCCGAAGCGAAGGTCGGATTTGTGGGGAACATACATGCGAACTAGACCCGAGGCAGGAGAGGACAAGCTTTGTGCCTAATGAAAGGGTGCCATGCCGGTGGGCTCTTGCCATGTTTCGTTTCACAGGCACACGTCGCCGTCCTTCATCTCGGCACTGGACCACACCAAGGTTCGGTCACGGTACCGAATGTGGACTAATACGGATCCGGAGATAACATATTGGCCTTGGCATCGCGAAGGAGGCTCCTGGGGTACTTTTATTCCGCCAATTGCACCAGAATGGCAACATGCCAACCGCTCCTCAGGCTGCAGACAGCGGCCACCTCGCCAACCAACGGATTAGGGGTGAGATCCAGACGCCGCCATCGAAAGGTCGGCATGTAGCCGAGTACATGCCAAGGCCAAAGTATATCCCCCTGGGCAATTCAAGTCTATCTCGACCGTAGTCTGTTGTACATGTGTATAAAACTAGTAGACTCGCCCGTTCTCTGTCTTTTGAGTCTGTATCGTGCCACCGGCATCTGCAGGCCTTCTGCTGCGAGGCTTTGATATCATCATGGGCTTCAAGATGCTCCTCCATTCTTTGCTTCTGGCCGCCTGCGGCTTCACTTCAGTCTTTGCTGCCTTCGGGTTCACGAAATCAGGGGACAACTATGTCATCGATGCCGGCTCATCCAACGCACTCGTGTTCCAGGTCTCGGCCACGAGCTGCGATATCAACTCGATCTTGTACCGGGGAACCCAGCTGCAGTATTCTGGAAAGGGGTCGCACATCAGCTCCGGCCTGGGAAGCGCGACCGTCTCGGTCAGCCAGGTCACCGCCTCTGGTACTAGCTACATCAAGGTCACATGTGTCACCTCAACCCTCACTCAGTACATGGTCGTGAAGCAGGCAGAGAGCAACATTTACATGGCAACATACATCACCGCCGAGCCAGATATTGGAGAGCTCCGATTCATCGCGCGTCTGCTGCCGTCCGTCCTGCCTAACGAGTATCCCTATGGCTCCGTCTCCAACACCAATGGCGGCAGTGCCGTTGAGGGTTCCGATGTGTAAGTTTTCTTCATGTATATATCAATGCAGGCTGTGGACTCCAAACAAGCTGACAACCATCGACGTGATTAGCTACCTTGTGAGCGGCCAGACCCGTTCAAAGTTCTACTCGTCCACCCGCTTCATCGACGAGAATGTGCACTGTGTCAACAGCGACACCATCCACGCCTGCATCTTGACTCCTCAGCAAGAGTCCAGCTCCGGAGGCCCCTTCTTCAGGGATATTGACTCCAACAACGCCGGCGACTCGACGAACCTCTACAACTACATGAACTCGGGCCACGTCCAGACCGAGGCCTTCCGCACAGGGCTCCACGGCCCGTACGTGATGACCTTCTCGCGAGACGGCATCCCGACCCTCAAGAGCATCGACACCTCCTTCTTCAGCGAGCTCAGCATCCAGGGCTACGTCGCCGCATCCGGCCGCGGAACCGTCACCGGCACCGCCTCGGGCGTCGGCTCGTCCTTCACGCCCGTCGTGCACTGGTACAACTCGGCCGCGCAGTACTGGACCACGGCCAGCTCGAGCGGGTCCTTCACGTCGCCGGCGATGAAGCCCGGCACCTACACGATGGTGCTGTACCAGACCGAGTTCAAGGTGGCGTCCCAGTCGGTGACGGTCAGCGCGGGCAAGGCGACGACGTCCAACATCAAGAGCACGCTCGCGAGCCACACGTCGCTCTTCAAGATCGGCGAGTACGACGGCCAGCCCACGGGGTTCCGCAACGCCGACAAGTTCCTGCGCATGCACCCCTCGGACTCGCGCATGTCCTCGTGGGGCCCGCTGACCTACACCGTCGGCTCGTCGGCGCTGACCGACTTCCCCATGGCCCTCTTCAAGGGCGTCAACGACCCCGTCACCATCAAGTTCTCCCTGTCCAGCGCCCCCAGCGGCACCGCCACCCTGCGCATCGCCACCACCCTCTCCTTCGCCGGCGCCAGGCCCCAGGCCAAGGTCAACAGCTACACCGGCGCCGCCCCCGCCGCCCCTACCAAGATCGACTCGAGGGGCGTCACGCGCGGTGCTTACAGGGGCTTCGGCGAGGTTTATGATGTCTCTATCCCCGCTGGAACCCTCGTCAGCGGCAGCAACACCATCACCATCTCGGCCATCTCCGGGAGCAGCGGGGACACTTACCTGAACCCCAACTTCATCTTCGATGCTGTTGAGCTGTTCACCGGTTAGGGCCCCGATCCGGTATGAGTAGTAAAAAAAGCAGCAGCATTTCATTATGTGTTATCAGGTCGTGGCACGATGAGGCCAAATCGTCAAAGAAAGTCGACTAACGGACTTGGGTATCTGCGATGTCTATTTGTGGCCTTCTTGTACATACTTATATGGCCTTTTCCTGTACATATTCCCTCTTCACAGTGCATATATCTATCTGTCAACAAACAAATATATCTCTCTGGTACCAATCCAACCAGATCCTCAAGCACTCCCTGCAGACTGTCCCTGACCCAGCTCCCGTCCCTGCCTCTCCCTCTCCCTCTCCCGCCACTCATCCTCCAGCATCGCGAACCCGAGCACGTCGCTCCACCCGCCCCGGAACCACAGCGCCTCGCGCTTCCGCTGCTCGGGCACGAACCCGAGCCTCTCGTACAGCCGGCCGGCGCCCTCGTTGTGCGAGAAGCTCTCGATGCCGATCCGGTGCAGGCCGTAGACCCGGAAGCCCCACGCGACCACCCAGCGAATCGCCTCGCTGCCGTGGCCCCTGCGCTGGTAGGGCGGGAGGATGTCGATGCCGACGTTGGCGTTGCGGTGCTGCGCCGTGCGCATGCTCGTCGACCCGCTCAGGCTGATGAGCCCGATCGGGGTCGGGCCCGCCGCCTTCTTGCCCGGCTGCTGCGCCTGCCGGCGCCGGGGCCTCGTCCTTGGCGGCGTCGGCGTCGGCGTCGGCGGCTGGCTCTGGGCCGCTGGGCGGCGGGAGGCACACGATGACGGCGATGATGGCCTGCTCCAGGCGTTGCTTCCACCTCTTTGTGGCGTCCTTGTTCTGCGGCACCAGGGCCAGGTCCACGCCGTTGGCGAAGCCCTCTGCGTCGAGCGAGATTGAGTGGATGAAATCCAGGTCCTCGTCGTTGTCCTCAATGGCTCTGTACAAGAGCCGCTCCGACTTGAATAGGTTGCTGCCGGCCATCTTGGAGGGATAAATGCTTCGGGTCGTGGATCGGGCTGCGGCAGACCCAAGTGGATGGATGTGTTGGCTCAGATAATGCAGTGCTCGTCGACAGTGAGACATTTAAATCGTCTGCGGCCGGCCGGATTCTCGCTTTGCGGCACCCTGGATGAGAGGTGGGGGCCAGTCAGCTCTACAATTAGTACTTGTGGCTTTGATTCCTGCTGCACCTCTCCCAAGCAGCATATTGGCAATTCAGTATGGAGGAGTTGGTTATCAGGGCGGGATAAACTCACGCCGTTTGAGTCACGCCGTCTCAGTGGCTCGCCGATTCGTTTTAGGAAGGAGAGTGGATCCAATGCCTAGTGCACTTGTCTGGAACCTCTTCTACCAATTGATTGCTTTGAACGTAGCGAGCAGACATCACAATAAAGTATTCTTTAACTACAACACTCAAATCCAGGCCTCGCGTAGAAAGAAAATAGGAGTGCTAAGCGCACAGAGTCTTCAGATTTGGCCGAGTCTGATGATTCTTCGGGAGACACAAGATCATGCCATAATGTACTTGATTGACTCCAGTAAATTGCAAACTGAATAATCTATTGTCTCCTAGCAGTGGCAAACTGAACATGTTTAAGATTATAACACCTGCTGTGTTCTCAGTTTATGCCGTCACTGCGTTTTCTGAGCTACTATGCCCATGCCTCAAGCCAAAGGAAAATAACACTGACCTGACTCAGGCAAGATTATATTGACACTCCAGGCTATGAACGAATTCAATGAAGAAGATATGGCATGTCCACGTCGTAAACCTAAATGTGATAAGTGCGAGCGGATGCGGGGTTTGTCTCTTGTTTAGTGCAGTTTGCCCCAAATGAGTTGAAGGTGCATAGTGTCAGCATCCAAGCGAAAAGTCCACTATGCTGAGTCCATATTGTCACTTCATTGTGCGCATGTCTTTTTACACATAGCACATTCTGCATCTTTACCAGTCTTATTCCAATCATTTCCACTCTGACAGACCTCTATAGTATATGTAACCCATCTCCAATGCCACTTGCTAAGCAAACTAGCAGAGAAACCAAAGACTGTGATACTTCACCTAGCTGGCAACAATCATGTACGCAGGATCACAACTATGAGCTCAATGGCAAGATAAAAACAGCCCACATGTTCTTGAGGGCTGCTCTCAAAATGGTGATTACAGCCTCATGGAGTGCTATTCTCCGTGTCTTGCTCCTTATTTGTCTCCAAGGATGAGAGAAACACAATCATCCACATGTGCTGAGACGATCAACAGCATTTCTCAATGCCGTCCTTATGCCAAGCGTGCGCCTCAACCTAGAACCCACAAAGCGATTCCAAGCACGCCATCAAATATCTGTCCTGCTTGATTATGGAGTCATTGCTGTCCAGCACAGTTCCAATGGTGGGACCAAGGGATGAGATTGAAGACCAAGCAGCTGACAGTGATGAAACTATCCGGCCCATCTCTTCAAGACACTGGCGTCTCATCCAAATCTTGCATGCAGTACCTGAAAGGCATAACTTTGATGTTGCTCCAAGGGTGCTCTTGAACGTTTGTCAAGGTGACTACATGTTAGTTAGTTGGCACATCACGAGATGACTACTCAGACCTACAGCTCTCACACCTCACAAACTGCTTGCCCCATCCTCCCCTAGTGAGCCTGGGTCCTGGAACCAGAAGCTTACATCACATTGACGGGAATCACATGCCACATAATTGTAGGTCTTCCTCACGCTCGAACGATCCGGCACACGCATCTCGTGAGGTCACAGATTAATTGAAAAATAAGATCAATATACAATTACCAAGTGAGGCAGCGCACAGGCGCTGACTCCGCCAACATACTATATGGATGCCCGTCTATGTGTTCCTTCTTCTTTTTTGGTTACCCATCCTGCACATGCAGCGAGCGTGGTATCACACGAAATCAAAATGCTTTCCAAGACCAGTCCCCTCCCCATGAAGAGTGCGTCATCTTCACCATTCGTCAAGGCCTCACGGGAAGCTGCAACTCTTCCAAACCACAAGCACCTCCCCCGGCTTTTCACTGTTGTCAGGATGAGCTCCCGCTCAACACTCCACCGCTGGCCGTCTCAGAATCGTCCTTCCTGGTCTTGTTCCTAAACGCGAGAAGCACCTCCTTCAGGGTGCGCCGTGGCTTCTTTGCCTCGTAGAGCGGCTTGTGCTCCTGGTCGATGTCGTGCTCGTGCTCGTAATCGACGTGGACGAAGGCCCGCTCGACGTCTTGCAACCCTTCCAGCTTGCGCTGGAGATCCTGATTGACGTCATGCGAAACCTTGAGCGGCGTCTTCTCGTCCATGACCACGTCAACCTCGACGTAATACTTTTGACCAGCGTGGTAGGCGCGGCACTGGATGGTTGAGAGTTAGTCACAAGGCCACGACCATTACCGCTTAGGATCAAGTACTCACGGTATCCACCTTGAGGATCCTCTCGTCATGAGTGATGGTCATGTACACGAGCTTGGAGATGAACTCCTTGGGCGCTCCCTTGCCGACCAGTAACCACACCTGCTCAAAGGCGTTGGACACCCACGAGAACAAGATCAACAAAGCGATGCAGATGGCACCGATGGGATCGAGATACCAGACAAATCGGTCACCAACGATGGACATGACCAGGCCGAAGATGTTGACCACGATATCGTTACGGTGGTCGATGAAAAAGACGTGGACTGAAGGATACTTCCGCAGGAAGAAGCAGTAGATCATCAAAGTTGATTTGGCGCCAACTGTGTGATGGTATAAGTGATTAGCACTTGTCACACTTCATCCTGTACGGCGGCTGGACGAGCTGTGACTTACTTGCGCAGGCAACACAGACCAGAGGAATGATCTGAAGCTGCTCGGAATGTTGTTCCCCTTCACCAAGAGATCTTCCCGACTCCACCATCAGTTGGATGGCAACAGTGGTCATCAAGGCGCAGAACAAGATGATGCCTATTGTTTCGATTCTGGTTCGTCCCTGTGAGGGGTTTTAGCACCAAGAAAGCAGAAAATTGGGGCGCGACGGTCTGTCTTACCACAGGGTACTTGTATATGCTGGGACGGGCGGCCATCCTTGACGTGGTCCACATTACGAAGGAAGACACCAAGTCCATCTAGGCAATTGCTAGTCAGAGGCGACGTCTTCAAGGTGAGGGGAATAAGCCATGTACTTACGAAGGCATCTGCTGCAGTAGCAAACAGCTACGGGACCCAAGCGTGTCAGTTGATGATATCTGCTGATGGAGACATGATGGTGATGTGCCATACCGACAGTGAACCCGTGGATACAGCGGCATACAGCTGGATGCAGAAGAGACAAAAGTTGACACCGAAAGAAGTGTTGACGGCGAACCGGATCCTGGGTCCCATCTTGACCTCTTCAGCAATACCGGCTCGTTCCTCATCGCCGGCGCCGAGGAATTGGTCGATGAGATCATTCTGCCGTGTATAGTACTTCCTGAGCTTCCTCTTGTTCCCAGTGGGGTGCTCCTTTTTCATCTGGGCCTTGGAGACATCATCTTTCCGCATGCGAGCATAGTTCAGGGGGTCGGCAGGGTCGAAGGCGGTTGACCCGGTCCTGTTGGACGATGAGGCCGGGCCGTCAAAGTCTGGGACTTCGGTGGCTGAGCCGACCGCGATGTGCCGATCGCCACCAACATCCTTTTCGTGGGTGACGACAGCCTTCTCGGAGGTGAAAGGGGTCTTCTCATCACCGACGTCCAGCATGGACCTCTTCCCATTGGAAGCCCCCGAGGCAACGGGGGACTGTGGATTGGACGGCGCTTGTACCCCAGCGTCTTTGTTATCTTTACCAAGAGCGCACCAAGCAGGTCAAGAGTTAGTCAAGAGCAGTATGAGGAATGCTGAGTTGACCTTGGGGATAACTGGGCCCCGGATTGGTCGAACGATGGCTGTTCGAAACAGAGCCGAGTCCGGGACGACGATGAGACTTGGGGATCGTAAAGCGGAACCCAAGAATCGGGGAATTGTTGCGCTGAATGCCATTACGGGTGGACAAGACAGCGACAAAATTCCACGTACCTTGAGCAGGACCTGGAGAGCCCGTGGCGCCTCTTGACCCTTCCCCTTGCGGCTGACTTACTGATTTGTCGGAGGTGGACATTGTGGGAGGAGACAGCCACGCGACCGCGACTCTGGGTGGTTCTGAGCGACGATGGGGAATGTTTCGTCTCGGCTTAAAACAAAGAAAGATCTAGTCCTTTGAGAAGCGACGACCCAACAGCGGATTCCAGCGAGGACAAGCAATATATTGATTCTGAATTACTCTTGAATGAAGAAAAGCTTGTCACCCCTGCTTCGGTGTAATAAAGAATTCCGTTGAGGGAAACCGGAATTGTGCAGCAGAATGGGAGAGGAGGCGACGATTCGAGGCCAATTAGCCCCCCTCATACTGCTCGGTCTCGCTCAGCGCATGGTGCACAGGAGCCATAGCAGCGGAAAATAGCGCTGGAGGCAGCGTGGGCGGGCAAGGCCACGGAGGACGGTGGCGTCAAAGCTCGGCATGTGGAACACACATGGTGCTGGCTCCCCTAACAGAAAGGGGCAAAGGGGCAGCGGCAGATAGCAATGTCGAGGGGCTGGGACTGGTAGCAACCACGATCCCCAGGGCAGGGCACGAGCAGGACATGGGCACGCAGAGACGCGTAGTTGAAGATCTGTGTTGACGGCCAAGCAGATTTGGAACCGACCCCGATTCGGTGGTGCGGCCCGGGTAGCTGGAGCCGGGGAGCGAGGCGTCCCATGCCTGCAGCAAGGAAGCTTTTGCCGAGACCCAGAACTGGCACATAACTGACTGGACTAGACTGGCCTGGACCGGACTGCAGGACTGATTGACGGCATAGTCCAGATGGACCTGAGTTTGCATCTAGCAGGACCTGGCTGGCAGACGTGTCCAAGGCAGACCTGTCTTGTCCTGTCCAACAACGCATTCCACGGTGGACGATGGGCATTGGCGTGCTTGGAACAGGACGGACTGGCCTGGGTTATCTGCATGCCATGGCAAGCAGAAACGAGAGAGGATTTTCATGATGGCCATGATTCTGGGGTTGCTGAAGCTTGGCCTGGTCCAGGAACACCGGCTTGGGACCCTCTGGCAGCTGGGCAGCTGGGCACCGAAGCTTAGCCAGACAGCCAAGTCATGGTGGATGCAGGCTGGCTGCAAGGCTGGCTAAGCCCCATCTGCCAAGGAGAGGAAGAGGTCTGGGACGGGTCCGATTATCACCACCCCGAAGTCAGATCGTAATGGTGATGCTCATAATGATGTTTATAATGACTGAAAGTACCCACAGCCGTTGTGGACATGAGGGAACCGACCTTGGCTTGCGTCTGGTAGCAGGGAGCAGGCAGCAGACAAGTGCAGCCAAGAGATGGAGAGCGGCAGGAACAAGAAAGATATACGTATTACACGGCCGTCAGTCAGTCAGTTAGTCAGCCAGCCGACCTGGCCAGCCAAGACTGTGAGTGTGATTGCTCTGTGATATATCTGAGATACGACAGCTCCAGTCTTGTTTCCATTGACACTGTTGATCCCAGGGCTGGTGAGATAAGATGAGGGATGTACGTGTAATGTGTACTGTGCAGAGTTGCTCGTGTGTGATCCGATGTCCAGGTGTGACGGGGACGAGGTGGGGATACTGGCTGGCAGGGGGGTGCGGGTGCGGTGAGGCTCTTGAAGGCTGCCGTGAGGAAGGAGCAGCCGAAGTTTCCGCTGACATAATGAGGATCGCCCCGCCTCGCTGGGAACAAGCTCGTCAAGATCGTTCGCACCACCCATCATCGCTCGTTGGGATTGAAACAGCCTGAGGTTGGGTCGTGATTCGAGTGCAGGCAGGATCGCAGGTGCAACCAGGTGGTCGGTCGGACGGTCGGCCGGCTTTCACTTTTAACACAGAGGGAAAGCGTGCATGAGTGCTGGTGGTCCCCTTGCATCCCAAGTCTGGGGTTTGTCAGACGTGCTGTCGCCGCCAAGGGTCGGTGTTGCAGCTTCGTCAGCCTGACCCTGAACACTTGAGCTGCACTCGACTTTCGACACTCGACGCTCGACACTCGACGCTCGCCTCCTGAGACTCGAGGCTGGCGATCCGCCCCACTCGCACCGCTCTGCTGCCCTCGCTGCCCTGGTGCCGCCACGGCTAGGCTGTTACGAATGGGTGCATCCTCACAGGCCAGCGCGCCCCGACTTGCTTTAAGAAGGCGGCGCTCCCAGATCGTCACGCCAAGTATGCCAAGTCTGCCCAGCTACAACTTCTGTTTTACCTGTCGTGCTCTTCACCCTTCTCACACTCTTGGCAGCCTCTCTCTGCCCTGCCTTACCTGATTTCTGTGGTACTGTGGCACCTCTGCACCACCGAACCCGCCTCCGCTGCTGCTCCTACTGTTGCATGGACGACCCTCACCGCGCTCCGGCCTGCCCTGCCGAAACCAGATCGTCGCCTTGCACTCTGCCGCCTACCGTCTGCAGTCTGAAGCCTGTGGCCTGCAGTCTGTCGGTCTGCCCGTCTGCTGCGGTATTGCTTGGACAATGGTCGCCACCGCGTCACGAGACCAGGTGCAGAATGGCCGTCTCCACGAGCGGTCCCCGTGGACGTCATACAGCCTCAGTGCAGCGCAGCACAGCATCGCACACATTGTTGGGCAGGCAATTCCTCTCCCCCGCCATGGGGCTAGGTGAACCCTCGTGTGCCTAGAGTTGGCGGGCACTGGACACGGGGTCCTATTATACTTGGCCTGTCTCGTCAACTCTCAAGAAATCTTGGTAACGCCGTGCCACTTGGCCCGGCCAAGGTGGTTCGTCGTGACTCTTGGGGCCTTGGGCACAAGACCCAAGACGACTGTAGGCGCTCACGAGTCGTCTTGGTCAGCCTTGGGTGGTCAGTAACTTCTCCCAGACGTGGACCTCTGAGCACCACGCCGTTCTGCTAAATCTCACTGGGCCTGGCGAAGTCCATCACAGCTGCAAACAACAGTGTGGAGCCCTCACAGCCAATATCGACAGCAACAGCGCTCAATGCTTGTTGACATATTCGTGTGCTTGTTTCAATGGCAATTTGAAATACGCCGGCGGGAACATGGGCCCAGGTTTGACGCTACGGGCGCGGGAGCTAGACATGCATGGAGCCGCAGCGTGCCTATTCTCCGCTGGGGAAAAATGCCCCGGTTCCACACCGGCGACACGGCTCTCGACTTTGCACATGCTTCAACGCCTTGGCGGGCCGTCGATCATCGTCCCAGCATGGAGCCGACCCAATATTCTCGCCCTTGCGGTCCACAATTGGCCGTCGCCGCCGCCCTCTCAGGCTCTTTCAACCTCAGTCACGGCTGACGGGCCCTGGACTTCAGCCCAGCCAGCCCAATGGCGATCAAGGATGCTGGACAGAGGTAAAACCTACCCGTCTCCTGCCGCTCCGCCCACACCCCACGAATACCTCTGCGTGACCTTGCCGCTATACCTGCCGTTCCTGTCCAGGCCGTGCGTCGAAACATGTACCAACGGGTACCAACCTGGTAACCACCCCTGGCCACTACCGGGAATATCGTTGGAAACACTCTGGGGCTCAACACTGAGCATTGCACTTGCAGCTTCATCGCCATGCTTATCTGGGACCAAGTGCTTCAAGATGGCCGTGGCATCTCAACATTGAACCGTAGTTCATGTTTCTATTCTCATCTTCCATGGCAGGTTGAGCCTTGACCTGCAGGATCGCCGGCTTCAATCATCGGCTCGCCTTACCATACCAAGTCGTCCATATTGCCGGACACGCAGCGCCTGGGTTACAAGAGCATTAAAACACTCAAACACCCGGCTGATTGATTGTGCCAAGGTCGATGATACTCTTCTGCACTACGGACTTGTTCTCGTCTGTTCTGATGTTTGGAAGTTCGTGATATTTCATTCCTTTCTTTCGTCCTTTTGTATTTATTTCTTTCGACGTCGGGATTGAATCCCTCTCGTCTGTTTCCTCATTTTCACCCTTTTTTGCTTCTCAGTCGCCGGACGGCTTTTCTTTCCTAAATACTCAATTCTGAGCCTGGTGTATCAGCTAGTCCAGGTGACCGAATACATCGAAAATGGCTGAGGAAATGGCAAACATGAAGCCCGCTTGCGGCAGTGGCGAGGAGGTGGGAGAGTACGATCTGCCATTGCACGTCGTGGCCCTCTGTACGTATAAGATTGAGCACCAACATGGGTTAAATCGCTGGGCTAACACAACGGAACAGTCTTGGTCATGGGCTTCTCATGCCTTGGTACGAATTCATGGAGCCCCTGGGGAGCGATAGACTCAGTATACTGACGCAGACGTGCAGGAGCGGGCTTTCCCGTCGTGGCGAAGAAGGTCAAGTGGATGAAGATTCCACCCAAGGTGTTTTTTGCATGCAAGCATTTCGGAACAGGTGTCTTGATCGCAACAGCATTCGTTCACGTATGTAGTAGCTGGTCACGGTGTCTAAGTAATTCGTCAACACGCCCGCTGACTGGTCACCATAGCTGTTGCCCACGGCGTTCTCCAGCTTGATGGATCCATGCCTTCCAGATTTCTTCACGGACATTTACCCGCCAATCACCGGTGTCATCATGATGGCTGCGTTGTTTGCTCTCTTCGTTATTGAGATGACTCTGAACCACAAGATGGGTGGTCAGGCTCACTCTCACGGTGGAAACTTCGGTACCACTGCGCCGCCGCCGCCGAACATGACTCCCGAGCGCCCTCCCCGATACAACCACCAGAGCTACGAGACCGATGTGTCCTTCGAGAAGAAGGTCCAGCAGCAAGTCTTTGCCGACCAGGAGAGATTCGAGCGCCTGCAGCCCAACCCCTTCGGTGACGATGCCTCGGAGCTGGCTGCGCGATCCGAGATGCCCCCGTGGTTTGTTGTCTTCTACGAGCAGTATGTCCGCCAACGCATGGAGATGGTCAACATCCTCAAGGGCCAGCAGCCTCAGGTCTCCGTCCAGCCCGCGTACAACGTCTCCGAGGCCCCCAAGCCCGCTGTCGGCCTCATCGACTCACCTTACATTGACGTCGAGACTGGCCTGCCCGTCGATGAGATGACGTACAAGAAGATGTCTATGAACATCACCCTGCTCGAGGGTGGTATCTTGTTCCACTCTGTCTTCGTCGGCATGACTGTTTCGATCACCATTGAAGGCTTCATCATCCTCCTGATTGCCATCCTGTTCCACCAAATGTTCGAGGGTCTCGGTCTTGGTACCCGTATCGCTGCTGTTCCTTATGCCAAGGGTAGCATCCGCCCCTGGGTTTTGGTCTTTGCTTTCGGAACCACCGCGCCCATCGGACAGGCTATCGGTCTCATCACTCGCAACAGCTACGATCCCAACAGCGCTTTCGGTTTGATCATTGTTGGTGTCTTCAACGCTATGTATGTTTCCTTCCCCTAGGTTCATTTTAAAGTGAAGGTTCCATATCTAACAGTATCTCATAGTTCCTCTGGTCTTTTGCTATACGCAGCCACTGTCGATCTTTTGGCTGAGGACTTCCTTTCTGAGGAAGCTCAACACACGCTCACTAAGAAGGACAAGATCACTGCCTTCTGTTATGTCCTTTTGGGAGGTATGTGTCTATCGACATCAAATGTTTCGGGAAGGAAACGGCTGACATGTGTTTTCAGCTACTGGCATGTCTATCGTTGGTGCTTTTGCCTAGATGCACATCCTGCCAGTACCGAATCGAGCGAGGTCATTCGACGCATTGCAACCCGGAAGATCGAAAAGCCGGCTTCGCTCAAAGTGTCAAGCCCCGACGTCCGCCAAACTGAGATCCATCGCCTAAGATCGTTGGGCGCCTCCTTCCATGGCCATGAGAAGTTGGAGGGGTGCCTCCGAACGGTACCATGGCGGATCAAGCGGGGAACAAACCAGTCCCTCGTTTTACACCAGAATCTGTACGAGCGCATCACACGGCTTTGGCTTTTTCTCTGCTTTTTTCAAGCAATCAAACGGAATGATGTTTTAACCTCTCTTTCCGTTTCCAGATCAGAGCAGAGAGCGGGGCAGGCGCAGACAGAAACACAGACAAAGAAAATCCCACACACTCGTTTACCAATCTCCTGGCGGACCTTGCCTCCACTCGCCGCGAGGGGACGGTGTGTGGTGCCTGTATCATTTCACTGGTGAAGACGGGAGGAGACCATCACTGTCAGTCTCGAGAAAATTGGGCGCGGTGCGCACCTGGGAACTGGCATGAGACGAAGACCGATCTATTTTCCTTTTATTTCTTTAGTACTTGCTGGTTCACGGTTCACGGCCCGGGCGTCAGAGCGGACAGAGAACGACTTCTAATTTCTCGTCTCCTGGAGGATAAGAAATTAGTGTATTATAATAGGAAAGTAGATAGATACTACTACGGAGATCAGATCAAAACAAAATGCCACAAAATCGTCGAAAAAGAAACCAACCGATCAATAGTTCTTATTCTCTTAGTATTAATGACAATCATCTATACGCTTAAAATAGTGCTAGTCCACATACGACGACTAGTGAGGCCGCAGCAGCTCTTGGTCAAAACACAACGGTTCCTGGGTGGTCTGCCAAATCCCCTCTTATTCCGTTTGCGGACTCCGGAATACCCTCCAAATGATGCCCACCGAGCGAGAGCGAGAATAGCGCAGGCTCGGTCACTACTGAGGAACGAGGTTGAGATGGGACGGGATCGTCATGGGCAACCAGAATATCACCGCATTTGACAGCTGATGCGAAGTGGGAGGAAAACGAACGAGCGGACAATGTTCAGCCAAACCTACTGCAGGGGCCAGGGAGGGCAAAGAACTGGCCAACTCCCCTGCTAAACGGACTAGTACCTTTTCGGGAGACATGTTAATAGTTTACCCATTTCGGGCGACCACACGGGCAGTGCGTGGTATCGTCTGAACGACTTGAGCCTCGTCCCCTCCCCCTCGTATCCCTCCTTGTGCCTACAAGTCGCTGGGAGGGAGGGACCATGCGCAGGGTGATTGGCGAACACCCAAGACAGCAGGCCGGGGGCCTGGGAGCAGAGAGAGATGGGACCGGACTGCTCCGCCAGTTGCGGTGGTAGAAAGGGGGAGGGTGCAAGGCGGCTCTGCGCTGAAACCCGAGGGGTGTCAGGGATCTACACGGGATGATGGGAGACCGGACGAGGTTGTGGTGGTGGCGGCTTGGAGGGTGGCGGGCGGGAAGGGCTGGAAACTAGCGTAGGTAGGGTTGCGTGGACCAATGTAAATATTTTGACTTTTGGGGCTGACGCCTCGATGGGCACCTCCCTGAAGAAGAAAGTTGACATCGTGCGGGAACTAAGGGGGGCGCGACGGTAACGTGTAAGGCATGACGGCCGCGGCTTAGGCTGATGCCGGCGTGGTGGGCGGGTAGGGTGCGGACCGTCGGTGGGTGCTTGAGAAATTCTCCGAAGTGTATACACAGTTTACTACTATGAAGGGGCGCCGGTATAGACACGTGCGAATTATTTCATGGGTCGGTCAGACATTGATTGTGAGGCGAAGCCAGTGTGTCGGCTTGCTGCGGAAACAACATATGGTAGATGTATCATCGTAGATGAGACAGCCTGGGAGAGATTGCGCCTCACCGAATAGGGAGTGAGAGAAGCAAATGTACGGAGTGTCAGTCCTACAACACTCGCACGAGAACCCACAGCGTCTCGGATCGAGCCGAGTCAAGTATCTGGTATAAGCCACTAGGAGGATCCACACGGCAGTTGGCAAGAACCAAAAAAGAAGTAGAGGGGGAAGAAGGCTTGAAAATGATGCACGTGACAGATCAGATAAGATGAAAGAGAGATGACGACGAGGGAAGGGGCTGGGAGAGTCTCTCTCTCTCGCAAGGTACTGTACAAGCAACCGTTGACGATCCGGGGTGGCGCCCCTGTCAAGTTCCAACATCAGACAGAAACACCCAAGAAGAGAGAGAGCGAGCTTGTTTTAGCCCTGTGTTATCGAGAGCGAGAGCGAGCCCCACAGCTCGCTCTCGCAAGAGCAAGGCGAGCCGATGTTTGGCGTGTGTGATTTGCCCCGGCGGCCAACGAACCAGTAGATCAGGTTCGCAGGCGCTCACTCGCTCGCTCGATCGACCAAACATGAGCAGTGGAGTGGTTTTGGAAACCTCGAGGCAGTTTCGCAAGGGCGCACGCATGGCGACACTGCGGTAGCAGCTTGAGCTGGTTTTGTCATCGCCCTTCTGGAAACAGGAAGAGAAAACTGGGTACGTGCTGGAATGATACACTGAGCCGCAGCAGCGCGCAGCAGTGGGTAAAGCTTAGCTCCATGTCATTTCTGCGCAATCATGTGCAGGAGGCAAAGACACAAAGAGGCACATGCATGCATGCATGCAGCTGCAGTGCGTGCGTTGGGGTACCTGCGCGAGGTCACAATCCGTGTGTGTGTCTCGCGTATCTTGCATGCGTGTCTTGGGCCACCTCTGGACATTGTGCGTCTTTCATTGAACGTCGTTGCATCGCCCCCAAAGGTTAACGGCCTGCTGCCGAAGGGCAACTCAATCGCGGCGGCCAACTCTCGATGGCATTGCCTACGGCTTGGCCGTTCACCAAGACCGTGCCTGGGCAGCTTTGATATAAAAACAATTGATTCGGCTTCAAATTGACGACAAGCGCGCATTATCACATAGATTTGCATGATGCGCATCTTTATTTATGCCCACGACCGCCGACGGGTGGTGTGGCAAGGACGAGACATGGCGACGTGTCGCTCTCGGCGCGATGCTGCCCAGACCTGCGAAGCCTGCGATTAATTGCAATGAGGTCAACGACGCCAGGTCTGAGGGATCCTGAGCGACACCGAGAAGGGCGTCATTGTGTTGCCGGATTCAGCGTCTCCCCTTGTGGCGGGTTCGTGGCGACGGTGCGGATGACATTGTACCTTTGTGGAAGCCAGTTGCAGCGTCTGATCCATGGGCTGGGAAAGAGGCCGATTGTATACCGACTCCGGATCCGGCTTTGTGGCTGTCGTTTGGCCAAATGGATGTGGGTGAACGCAGACGGCACATGGCTGTAGTTGGCCGCACAAAGGAGTGGGCGCCGGATATTGAGGCAAGGCAGAGGAGCACTCCAGGCGGGAACAATGAAGAGACCAGCCTTGACTTCGCGAGTCCACGCAGACAACAGAATACGGCCTCTCGCTTTTGCTTTGATTGCCCCCGGAAAGTCGCAATTGACGTTTATGCCACGACGCTGACACTGACAAGCGCCTCAGCACGTTACTGCCCCAACCAGCAAACATGGCACCCATCACACAGGAGAGGCATGGCTACAGAATCGAGAAAAAGCTCGATGACAACACCTACGTTGTCAGGCGCGAGTCCGACAATGAGCAGTTCCTCGGCAACAAGTGGGACGCCAGCACGGTCGATCCGGCCTTCAATGACCTGCTGGAGCGCGGCACCAAGGGGGCGCTCGGCAGCCTGCTGAACCACCCCAACCTGATCAACTACACCGACACGGTGGCGGACAATGTGGTGTGCGGACGAGGGACGACGACGACGACGGTGTCGGCGCAGCGGGTGATTCTGTGGGACTTTTGCGACGCGGGCACGCTACAGAACCTCCTCAAACAGCACCCGGTGGTGCCCAAGACGGCGGCGCCGGACAGCCAGGTGGTGACGCAGTTCCTGCCTGAGGGCCTGTGCTGGCACGTCTTGCTGAGCGTCCTGAGGGCGCTGTCGTGGCTGCACGAGGGCCACCGCGACGACACGCGGATCGAGGCGCCGAGCGGGCGGCGGCGGCAGCACGACTGGTTCTCGGACCCGGACTGGCTGCCGATCCTGCACAGGGACATCCGGCCCGACAACATCTTCTTCCAGCACCCCAAGGGCACCGAGACGTACGGGCTCTGCAAGCTGGGCAACTACAGCTCGTGCGCCGTGTCGGGCCACGTCAACAGCAACTTTGTCGGGCAGGTGGTCAGCGCCACCAGGGGCGACGAGAGCCTGAACACGATGCGCGCACACCTGTACACGCAAGACCTGTCCACCGTCAACGAGGTAAGTCGGGCCAGCCAGGTCGGACAAGTGTTGTTGGGCGTAGTGGGCTGACCAAGTCGGGCGAGCAGAACCAGCGGCCGTACACCAAGGCCACGGAGCTCTTCCAGCTGGGGCGGATTGTGTACCAGATGATGTCGACAAGGCCTGTGCCGGACCCGGACGACAAACGCGGGCCGACGTTCGACCCGCAAGGCGACATCAACCCACTGCTATACTCGGACTGCCTGAAGAACACGGTGCGAAGGCTGCTGTCGAGCTACCGCGGGACGTGCAACAGCGCCGACGATCTCACGTCGACCGTCTACTCCGGGGCGCGGGGGGCATACCTGGGCTGGAAGGCCGGCACGGACGACGGGAAGCTGCACCGCGACCTCGTGGACGACGGCTGGCGGCGGCAGGTCAACGCCGACGAGAGGATCCGGCGAGACGAGGAGCTGCTGGCGGCCCAGCGCCAGCTGAGCTCCCACCGCTGGACCATGGAGCATCTGGAGCCGCAGCCCAGGGAGGCGGTGCCCGCTGTTCTCCCGCCGCCGTTCCCTGCGGTACCTTACGGGCAGAAGTGAGTCTTAAAAGGCCGAGGAAGCCTCTGGTGGTGATGCTTAAGGTGGTGTGAGAGCAGGCTTTTTGGCTTACGTAGATGGATACCACACACGCTACGTAGCGCATCGTCTCCACACCCAGGTACCCAGGTACTCGGGTAGGTACAGGGGTACCAATTTCCCTAGGTACCTACCTAGGTAGATAGGGCACTAGTCTAGTACCCTGCAGGCAGTTGAGCTTAATCCGACGTGTGGTCTCATTCCAAGAGCCGATGACTGTCACCCAACAACGCCCATCATCTTCTTCTCAGTCCAGTCCCAAATCCTCGCTCCGCCCCGTCTCACCACCCTCACTTGACATGACTGTATTGCCCTGTCCTTGTCGTCGCACTGCCTTTCTGCCGCCCAAAAGCTTCCATTTCAACCGAAAGTGTCCGGCGTCCCAACCCGCAAACCACCCACAGTAGCTTAGCTGTAGCTCCGAGCTCGATAGATCCGCGTCATCGCGTCATCCCGTCCTCCCTCCTACTCCCGTCCAGCCTACATCGACGCCGAAAGAGCATCGAACTCGCTCCTGGCCTCCAAGGCGACCAGACATGGCGCAACTCCGCCCACCGCCGCTCCTCCTGACGAAGCGCCTGACCTCCTTCCTCCAGCTCAACCTCTCCCCACAAATAACGACCCTCCTTCTCCTCAGCCCAGACGGCAAGCTGCTGGCCTACGCCTCCCAGCCGCCCATCCCCGTCGCCACCCTGCGCACCCACGGCACCGTCGCAGCGAGCCTGTACACAATCCACAGCAATGGCGCCGACCAAGATACCATAGACGCCGCCCTGCCACCCGGCAGCAGGGCCAGGAGGACAAGTCGTGGCAGCAGCAGCAGCAGGAGCGAGGGCCCACTGGCGGTGACGATACAGCTCGAGAGCGGAACGGTGCTGGTCATACGGCGCCTGAGGTGCGGGATGCTCTTCGTGTGCATGGGCCCGCCGGCGGGTCAGGACGCGCAGGGGAGCAGGCCGGGGACGCAACACCAGCAGCACCAGCAGCACCAGCAGCACCAGCAGCACCAGCAGCAGGGCGGCCTCCACGCCCAGGCGCAGGGAGGCCAAGCAGCACAACAACCACCAACATCACAACCAAGTCTACAGCCCCAAGCAGCAGCAGACGACACATCAGCCGGCGGCGCAAACGGCCACACGCCCACGTCGAGCCCCCCACCGGCGCAGACGACAGCGACAACCCCGGCGACAGCACAGCCGTCGTCGTCCGCACAGCCACTGGGCTCCCCGCCGGAGACGGCCAGCATCCGCAGCGCCGGCACGGGCGCGTCCGCCACCAGCACCAGCTCGGCCGTCTTCGGCGCCGGGACCGCCGGCGTCGTGGCCACCCGCCGGCACGCGGAGGAGCTGGCGCGGTGGCTGGACGACAAGCTGGGCGCGCTGGACGTGCCGGACGACGGGCTGACGGGGGTGGTGGGGTGAGGGGAGCTGAGGTGAGGTGAGGTGAGGCGTACTTGGGGTCTGCCACGATTCTGGGATTGCTCGGTTGTTTGCAGGGGATAAGCCATCCTGGGACGAGGACGAAGCGTGGGCTTTTAGTCAGGCAGGAGGAAATGAGACCAGTCCATGCCCTCCGACCAAGAAGCAGGACGGCCGGAGTCAAGCACAGCTGGCCGGCTGTCGGCGTGTTTGGCACTGTGTTTGCCCGTCCGCGAAAACGAGCCAGTTCGATGGGCGCTGTTCGCGGAGGTTAGCCCGTCGAGATCGGAGGACAGGGAAACATGGTGGCGAGGAATCCTCGCAGATCTTTCATGCCGAAGCAGACGGCTCAACTACGATAGCGTGCACGCGTCACGAAACGCCAACCCATTTGTCGACGAAGAGACCAGACAGCGCGTCGTGGCATGGGCAGGAAACATAGACATGGGCACGTATGTCACAAAACGACCAATGCTGGTCGTTGCCCCCATGTTTGTAGGAATAGGACGTCTGAATACATAGTCCACGTACAATCCGCCTCCATTGAGGGCGGCGATGAAGGGACGAGCCGCCTTCCCGGGGGCGCACTAGATTAACACCCCTTTATAATGCTAATTACATATGTAAAGCGTCATTGATCTCGCCTCTTGCGCCTCCGTCGCGCCGAGTCAGTTCCGACTGAACCCCAAAGTGTGGGCAACTCCTTTCCCTGCGAACGCCAGTTGAATGCTGTGTGGATTCATGACCTCTCCCCAAGAAATGGGGAGGGTGAGAGGAACCAAAATGAAATCGTGGTCGTGCGTGTCCTTTTCTCTCGTCGTGACGAGCCGTAGTCAATAGAGTCAGCAGTCTGGCATGATATCCTGCCAGCAATGCCAGCCCTGCCTTTGTGCCCGCCTGCTTGCCTTCCTGGCCAGGCCATGTGTCTGCCTCACTCGATACTCAGCCTCGTGATGCCATCGTTGGTGTCCACCATGCCCTGGAAACCTATCCTGCCCTTGGCCCGCGCCTTATCGCCGCTGCCACCGTTGCCGCTTCCGCTGGTCTCGCTGTTGGGCGTGTCGTTCCTCCCGCCACGGTCACCTCCGCCCCCGTTGCTGCCAGGCCTCGAGCCCCACGGCGCGTGCTGCATAGGGCTCTGCATGATGGGCGAGCCCTGGACGCTCATGCCGGGCGACACGGCGCGGCGCTTGAAGCTCACCGGGTCGAGGTCGTCGTCACGGCGGCGCTTCGTCAGCCGGCGCGTGACGTCTGCCACTGAGGGCGGCAACGGCTGCTCGGTCGTTGGCATGGAGGAGGACCCGCTGGGCTGGGGCGTGTCGTTGCCGGAGCTGGGCGTCGTGGTCATGGGAAACATGAAGCCGCCGTTGCCGCCCCCTGGTCCGGAGTTTGCAAAGGGAGAATCCATGTTCATGTCGTCGAGGCTCATCCCGGAAGAGGACCCGCGAGGTGGGCCTGGGGGTGGTGGAGTCGTCCTCGAGCCGCCCACGCTGCTCGTCTCCGAGAAGTTCTCCCAGAACACCTTCCCTTTCGAGTTCCTGTGGGCTTGGTGCTTGAAGCTGCTCGAGAGACCCAGCGCATTCGAGTCCACCATCATCGCATCCTCGACTGCGTCCTCGAGCGAGTCCTGGATGGGCATGTTGGGGCTTGACTGCGTCGTCGCAGTCACTGACGCCGGCTGCGGGGTCTGGCGAGGAGGGTCGAAGTCGATGTCCTCACGCACCTGACGGATGACCTCTGATTCGCGTCGGAACTCGGACTCGACGGGTGCGCCCTCTTCGGCGAGTGCAGCTTTTATGCGGGCGAAATTTTTGGACTTCGGCTGTTCACATGTCAGTCAATTGAAAGAGGGAAATGGCAGGCAAGCCAGCAATGAAGCGAGGTATGCATACCAGGAGATTGCTTCGCCGGGTCACGGCGCGCCTCACGACCCTGTTCTGAGGATCGGCGCCGGGGCCCAGCACGCCATCCACATTCACACCCGTTTTGGGACTGTCTTCACTGTCACTCCCTGCAATGTTCAATTGGTTGGCTGCCCAACTGATGCTCTCGCGACGGGCGTGGGATGAACTCATTTCCTTGGCCATGTTGCCGTAGGGTACTGGGTTTGTAGGAGGGGACTTGGAGAGGACGGTGGCTGCTGATGGGGTTGGGGGGCAACCCATGCTGAAAGGGCCGCGTTCTTTCTTCTTTGCCTGTTTGCGAGGCCGCTGTCGCTGTTGGAAGGACAAGAGGCTGTTGACAGCTGGCGACCCCGCCCCCGCTGGCCAACCAGAGGCTGCTTGTGACGCGTGTGGGTTGCTCTTAATGACCTGCGGCGTCATCAAGTAGGGCTCGTCCATGTCCTCGTCCATGATGTCGTCCTCGTCGGAGCTTGTAGAGGAGTCGGAGACTATGTTGGCGGCGCTGCCCAGGGAACTGGAGATATGGAAGCGCTCCTGGTTGCCCATCATAGACCACAGTGAGTTGGAGGTCTGCTCTGGTGCGCCGGAATCGCCGGGCCTCCTGCTCGGTATGTTCATGGCCCTCCCGCCGACCGTGGGCGAGGAATCGGGCGAAGACTGCTCTGCGATGGTGGTATGGTGGAGGCTGGTGGCGGCACGGGAGAAGTCGAGGCCTCTGGAGCGGCGGGGCAGGATGTTGGTGGGCGAGGAGTAGATCTGGGAGTGGTCGAGCTTGGGAGACAATGGGGCGGGCTTTGAGCCGGACGGATTGAACTGCTGATTGTGCTGTTGCTGTTGCTGATTGCTGTGGTGCTGTGGTTGTTGCTGAGAGGGAGGGGTCGACGCTTGCGGTGGCATCTGCAAGGAGAGGCCGCGCATGGGGAAGTCTGACCGGTGAGGAGTGACAGGAGGGGCCAGGGGCGCGGAGGGCGAGGTCGAGCTGGAAAAGGAGTCGCGCAGAGGCAGCGAGATGGTGCTGTCGTCCTTTGAGGTCCGCCGGGCCGCGTCGGCGAGCTGGGCCGGGGTGAACTTCTGAGGGGTGCGGCCGCCGTCGGACAGCGAGCGCATGTGGTGTCTCCCACCCGGGGTCCTGCCAACTGCGACTTCTTCGGGGCCGACATGGCTGTCAATATCCACGTCGCCATCGGCTTCGCCGTCGTCTCCCACATCCATCACGGCGACCTCGTCATACTCCACAACGGGCGTGTGTGGCAGGTGCGGCCGGTGGGCCATGCCGGAACGGAGCTGGGGACACGCTCGCTGCGTGTCAGAGCCCCTCTTTGCAAGGAGGATCAGGGTCTGTATATCCGGATGGTGCTGGCGCCGCCTGTGACGAGTGGTCTGGTGGGAAAATTGAAAGACTGGGTGCTACAGGTACGTCGACATCATTTCTAGAGGGAAAATGAGTCCTACATGGCCGGTATGAGCTCCTGTGCAGATGTGAAGGGTTGGGTAATTGGGCAGATGTCCCGGTTCACAAGAGAAACATGGCAGGGAAACCAGACTACAGTGCCGCCATGCAGAAGACCACATGGACTAGCCTACCGGGGGCCCCTGCAGGCAGACTAGTAATTGGTCCCAATGAGAATGGAGATGGAGAGGGTGATGAGGAGAAGGCACAGTCCAAGTCCCGGTGCCGAGATGGGCCTGGCCAATGGCTCGGCCGTGTGCAATCTCCGCAAGCCCGTCCCCTGGTCCTTGTCCTAGCTGTCACTTAAGCCACCCCGGCCTGCAGCAGCCATCGGGGAATTCCCGAGTTTGCTCACGATCAAACTGCATATCACCATCTTGTCCTCCTCTGTCTTCCTCGATGTCAGACCAGCCTGTCCTTTGTACCTCACCAGCTCTTCCCCAACAGAGCCTGGTTGTGTGCAGAGTCGTATTGTATCCCGGTACCCTCGGGTACGGAAAACCATTGACAGGCCAGTCCAGTCTCGGAACACCATTGTAATCGAGCATGACATGCATGCTCAAGTCTCCATTGGCTCGACTCAGCATCTTGTCTCATACACAACAGCAGCCCGAATAGCCCATGTCACAAAGACATGGCAATGGGCAAGACCATGGGCCGTGCGACCCAGGTCTCAGACCATGGTGCCGCTTGAGAGAGTAGCCTAGTCATGGCGTGGCTCTCAAGTCCTGGTGAGCGGAACACGAGCAACCGCTTGAGCCTCACTTCTTTTCAACTGCATGTAATTCTTGCAAGCCAGCTGGCCACCGCCCAAGTCAGAGCATCCTGCTTGTGTTGTCTCGGAGACAGCACAACACAGCAACACGCAGTATGATGCGAAGGACAGTCAGTGCTCCAGCCTGGGGTAGAGTAAGCCCCACTGCCAATTGCTACTCATACCCCCAGATCAGATCGTATCAGGATCCAGCACGCATCAGGCAGGGCCCGCTGGTCGTCACAAATCCCGATCCGGGCTCCGAGGCGGAAAAGGTCCGCGATGAGGCACTCCGAGGGCTGGAGACAGGGGGTGACCGGAATAACAGAGAGCAGCCATGACAGCCCCAAGTAAAGATCGGAGGCTGTTCTTTGAGGAAATGCCAGAGTGCAGAGCTGGCCACAAACGTTGGGACATTGGTGGATGCTACACGTATACACCTCCAGACAGCTGCGAGGCTGCTATGATTTGGTTGGCGGAGACTGGTTCGAAGAATTCTCCCAACGGAGCCAATTCCGACGAGGAGACAGCTGGTGGCTGAAGGTAAGTGTTGTTCTGAAAGACCATCTCGTGTTTTGCTTTTTTTGCTTTTTTTTTGGCGTTTGCTCTGCCGCTCACCAATCTCAATAGCACAACTGACAACTGCGCGAGTGGAATGCTCCGTCTGTTATTCCCGACGTCTTCCCCGACTATCACAAGCTTGGCCGCCTGAGGCGTATCTAATCTTCGTGGCTATCGATAAGCCCCACTGCGGCAGCCCCACCAAGCAGACAGCCCCCCGAGCAGACAGCCCCCCGTACCCCGCCATTCAATGCGTCGAACTTCTCATCAAGGTTGTTGGAGAATAATCTGCGGTTGACAAATTTGCTGCTCCTGCAGACTCGACTTACATCTCGCCAGCAGCCACGTCTCCACGCCGTCAACTGAAACTGCAATCGGCAAAATGTCTTTCGACACGTACCAGACCCCATTGGGCTCCCGATATGCCTCCAAGGAGATGCTCCAGCTGTTCTCGGCCCGCTCCAGGGCCAGCACCTGGCGCCAGCTCTGGCTCTGGCTGGCCGAGGCTGAGCAGGCGCTGGGCATCGACCAGATCACGCCCGAGGCGATCGAGCAGCTGCGTGCCAAGCTCATAATCAGCGATGAGGCCTTTGAGGTCGCCAAGGAGGAGGAGAAGCGTCGCCGCCACGATGTCATGTACTAAACCCCTTCCCACCTTTCGGCTTTACCCTTTTGGTTGTCTCGAGCATTTGTCGATGAGTGATCTGGAGGTCTATTTCCCCTGTGGAAGGTCCAGGGAGAGCTCTGTCTGCAAAGCAAGCAGCTCACAGGCGGGAATCTCTGCTGACACCAGAGACAGGGCTCACGTCCATGCATACGGGCAAGATGCACCCGCAGCCGCCGGAATCATCCATCTGGGCGCGACAAGTTGTTTTGTGACGGACAACGCCGAGCTCATCTTCATACAGAAGGGACTGAAGCTGCTTCTCCCCCGTCTAGCCAAGGTCATTTCCAACCTCAGCCAGTTCGCCCTGAAGTACAAGGACATGCCCACCCTCGCCTACACTCACTATCAGGCTGCCCAGCCCCACACTGTCGGCAAGAGGGCTGCCCAGTGGACCCAGGACCTGATGCTGGACCTCCGCAACCTCACCCGTGCTCTCGAGGATCTCGAGTTCCGAGGTATGCCCTAGGACCGCCCAGGCGGCATCCTGCATCTCTTGCGTGCACACCCAGCAACTAACACCACGAATAGGCGCCATGGGTACGACTGGAACCCAGGCTTCCTTCATGGAGATCTTCCACGGGGACGGCGACAAGATTGACCGCCTTAATGAGATCCTCTGCGAGAAGGCTGGCTTCCCTTCCACCTACTCCGTCTCCACCCAGACGTATACGCGCAAGGTCGACCTGAATGTCGCCCAGGCCCTTGCAGGAGTTGGTGCCACTGCTCAGCGGATTTGTACCGATATCCGCCACTTGGCCAACCTGAAGGAGATCGAGGAGTAAGTCTATCACACCTTGATCCTGCGTGAATCGTGTTTAATACCTGGACTGAGGCCAATGCACTCATAAGGAATGAGGATAAACCAAAATTGCTAACGAGAAATTCGATAGACCTTTTGAGAAGGACCAAATTGGTAAGAACATTTCAAACTTGCACGGACTCTGGCAATTCCCAGTCTAGGCCATCTGGCCAGCTGCGTCTCGTTGGTTGCACTCAGATCACGCTCCAATATCCGGGCTGCAGACAGAGAGCGTCCCACTTCCCCCATGTTTCTTGTGGTGCAGCGTTTTTTGGAGACTGACCCCAGTTTCTGTAGGATCCTCAGCAATGGCGTACAAGAGAAACCCAATGAGGTCGGAGCGCATCTGCTCTCTTGGTCGCAAGCTCGGCTCCATTACCACTCCTTTCGTGGAGACATATACAACACAATGGTTCGAGCGGACGCTTGATGACTCTGCCGTAAGTGACCTCGCCAATATCTTTGCACTTACCAGAAGACTGCGAGTGCAACCTCTCAGTTGCAACAGACCAAGAACGCCAATAGAGGTCGCTCGCACACGCCTTCTCGTCATGTGCAATCAAAATCATGTGCTGACAGCGTCAGATCCGCCGAATCGATATTCCAGAGGCGTTCCTTCTGGCCGATGCCATCCTACTCAGCATGGACAACGTCACAAACGGTCTCGTCGTATACCCTGCGGTCGTCCGCGCCAACCTGATGAAGGAGCTCCCATTCATGGCAACCGAAAACATCATCATGAAGATGGTCGCCAAGGGTGCCTCCCGCCAGGAGTGCCACGAGGAGATCCGCGTCCTAAGCCACCAGGCCTCCCAGGTCGTCAAGGGCGAGGGCAAGCCCAACGACCTCATCGAACGGATTCGCAACACTGCATACTTTGCCCCTGTCCACGACATCCTCGACGAGGTCCTCGACCCTGCCTTGTACGTCGGCCGCTCCGCCGTCATTGTCGAGCGCTTCGTCGCCAAGGCGCAACAGGCTCTTGTCCCCTATGCCGACTACCTCGGCAATGCCGAGACTGCCCAGCTGTCTGTCTAAGGCAGGACAAAGGGCACCAGCATTTGTATATGGGGAAATGAGTATCCTTGTGGGACTCCGTCTCCGGCGTTCAGGACGGAAAAAATATCGTATAGGATATAGATGTTCTCACAAAATGCATGCATCTACGGTCATATCAAAACAGATGAGAAGGCTGAGGGTTTTACCCAGTCGAACACCATGACTTCACAGCCATCGGGGCCAAGAGAATGCATGTCCTTAGTTCTGATACATCCAAACGCCCAATTTGCTGATGAGTATCATTGCTTTCGATCTAGTCTAAACTCACGAATGCTATTGGACTCTAGTTCTTGGTACCAAAGGCCTTGTCAAATCCAACCAGGGAGAAGCGATAATGCACCTTGTTCTCTTTGACCCGCTCCACGGCTTCCTTGCACCCCTCCTCAGAGATGTCGATTGTTTCGACCCACGGTCGGATGTTCTTATCGGCCGCCAGCTGCAGCATCGCCTCCATCTCCTGGTGGTTGCCAAGGTGGCTACCAGTGAGCTTCGCAGCGTTGCCAGCGAAGTTGAAGGCCAGCAGTTCAGGCAACGGCTCGTCAGGCAGGCCGACCATATGGAACTCGCCGCCGACGCGCAGCGTCGACAGGTACGACTTCAGGTCGAACGTGTGGGTCATGTCGCTGCAGTTGAGGATGAAGTCAAACGCGAACGCCCACGGCTCCGCCCAGTTCTTGCCCGTCGTCACGATCGCCTCCTTGGCGCCCAGCTTGCGGATGTCGCCGACCTTGCTCTCCGAGTGCGTCAGGGCGTACGTTTCCGCGCCAAGCGCCACGCTCCACTGGATCCCCAGGTGGCCCAGCCCGCCTATCCCGCAGACGGCCACCTTCTTGCCCGGTCCGATACCCGCGCGCACCAGGGGCGAGTAGGTCGTGATACCGGCGCAGAGCAGCGGCGCGGCGTCCGCGGGGGCCAGGGCATCTGGGATCTTGAAGGTGTAGTACTCGTGGGCGCGGATGTGCGAGGCGTACCCGCCGTGGGCTTGGCCGCCGCTTGCCTCCTCTGGGTACTGAGAGTTGTATGTATCCTTGAGTAGAACAGAGGGTGTCAGTATGGACTTGGTGTCACGGAAACAAATGCGTGCGTAGACAGTAGGTTCAACTCACAACCAGGTGCGGGCAGTAGTTCTCGTTCGCGGTCTTGCACTGGGGGCACTTGAGGCACGACCAGACCTGGGCGCCGACACCAACACGGTCACCCTCCTTGATGCCGGACCTGACTGCCTTGCCGACCTTGACGGCCTTGCCAACCACCTCGTGGCCGACGCATAGGGGGCCTTTGTAGTCGCCCCAGCCGCCCGTGATGGTGTGAACGTCCGAGCCGCATACACCGCACGCCTCGATCTGGACGTCCACATCATTATCACCGAACGGCTTCGGCGTCAGCTCCTGTTTCTCGAACTTGTTCCACGTCTTGGGGCCTGCGACGCAGAAGCCCTCGAAGGTCTCAGGGTATCCCATCTTGAATGCGATAGGCGGGGTTTCGGCCTTTTCAGCGCTTAGAATTGTGAATGAGCCTGGAGGGTGGGTCAAAGCTTGTCTCTGCTTATTACATGAAGACTGGCATGGACTCAGAACAGAAGTATACGCGTACAAACCTGCCGTACCACAGATTGCTTATTATAATTGACCGTTGAATCGTGCCTCTGTGCCACAGCAACGGGCTATATCATGACGTCGAGAACCTCATGAAAAAAAAAACGGCGGCCGTTCTCCCTTAACCACAGCTAATTTAGTGGGTGCCGCTTCTGGGCCATTTCACCTTACCACTTACAGATGGCAGCGTAGAGACGGATTGAGCAGAGTCGGATAGTCTATGACGCTGGGTTTGGTTCTAGAACAGAGCCATAGCTAAAGAAGCAATAGACTATATTCGGGATCGAAGATGCAGTCATGACGGCTGGATGATCCCGTCCAGTCCTGCGCCGTTTAGCATGAGCCGGACCATATTGTCCGGCGCCGTTGGGCCTGGCTGTGGTCCAGTTCGTAGCGGGTAGACTATGGATGGGATTCGCAAAAAAAATATCGATCAACTGCACATGGCTTTTGTGATAAAAGGGCGTTGGATGGATCCGCCTGGCCGATCGGGATGTACCGAGCGTAGATATTCGCCACCCCTGTCCATGTCCCTCAATTGACGTCACCACCGTTTTGGCGGGGTTCGGCGATTAGATAGAAGCCCCAGGAAATGGAGGGAGTGTGCTTGAGGTACCTGAGCGAGCTTTTTTGAGGGGCTACTTTCTTCCTGCAGCATCTCACACTTGACCCAATTACTGCGAACATAATTGTCAACTTCTCTAGATGAACTCTGTCCGAGCACTGCAAAGACTAAGACTGCAAGCTTCTCTCTTTGCAAAATCAGCCGCAAAGCCAGGTGAATTTGGCCCTCCCCTGTTCAGAGCAATTGACAAGCCGGCACCTGGTCTGACCCCTCTTCTCTCTGCGAAGCCATCTTGGAAACGAAAGCAGCCCCGAGGCTATTCGCAACAATGGCGGCAGCTACCGATACTAAGAACTACAAGTTCAACCACTCGATGTATGTACGAGAACTCTGTGTGAATAAGCCATGAGACGTGGTCCTGACGAAAAATCCAATCTAGGATTCGGGTGAAGGACCCGAAGGAGTCTGGTAAGTTGACGGCTGCAGAACCCGTGTAGGGTTGTCAGCTGACAGCGTACTCCCACTCCAGTCAAGTTCTACGAGTTCCTGGGTATGAAGGTCATCAAGAAGGCGGAATTCCCCGAGGCAAAGTTTGATCTGTACTTCTTGGGCTACGACGGCCCCGGCGCCGTATCCCACGGGAAACATGTGACCGACAGGGAGGGGATCATCGAGCTCACACATAACTACGGCACGGAGAATGATCCCGAGTACAAGGTCAACACTGGCAATGCAGAGCCTCATCGTGGCTTTGGACATACCTGCATCAGTGTTGTATGTATCATGCTGGCCGTGCTCTACTAATCCGGGGTTCTCATAGCTAATCATCGTGCCAGGACAACATCCAAGCCGCCTGTCAACGACTGGAGGATGCCGGTTACAAATTCCAAAAGAAACTTACGGATGGTCGCATGAAGCATATTGCTTTTGCACTTGACCCTGATGGGTACTGGGTTGAGATCATTGGACGCAAGCCCATCGAAGAGACCGAGAACGTTAAGGAGACGGACATTGGAACATACAGAATGAACCACACGATGATCCGAGTCAAGGACGCAGAGAAGTCACTCAAATTCTACCAAGAAGTGCTGGGCATGTCTCTCCTGCGCGAGGCAGGCAACCCCTCGGCCGGCTTCACCTTGTATTTCCTCGGGTACCCAGGCGAGCAGGGCCTGCCAAAGGACGGCAAGACGGCCGACCGCGAGGGTCTGCTGGAGCTGACCTGGAACCACGGGACGGAGAAGGACGAGGGCTTCAGCTACCACAACGGCAACGACCAGCCCCAAGGCTTCGGCCACATTTGCGTCACGGTTGACGACGTCAACAAGGCCTGCGACCGGTTCGAGAGCCTGAACGTCAACTGGAAGAAGCGGCTCACAGACGGGCGGATGAAGAATGTGGCTTTCGTCCTTGACCCGGACAACTACTGGGTCGAGATCGTTGAGAATGGGGATCTGTAGGAGGGTATAGATATCCTTCTGCTGCATGGAAGAACCTCGCGCGGCCAAGAGAGGGGGATATCTCGCGATGAGCTGTCGTTCCTGTACATAACAAGCTGCGGTTTCTGGTCACATACTGAGATGACAGCCTGTCAAGAAAGCAATTACCAGCTTGAATGATCACCTTATTGCGGAATGCTTTTTCTCCAAGATCTTGGAATTAAAGACTTTTTGGTTATGTCCCAGAATTGATCTACATATTTGTTCACTTAGACACCTACCAGTCATCCCCGGTTGCCGCCCGCCTCCGCTCCCATTTCCGCTGACTGCACGCCCCTGCCTGTGTGATTTGAACATCCACTTGCAGCAACCTCCTACGGTCCCAATTGAACGTGACTGGAGCTGAACAACCTACCAATGTGTGCTTCTATTGCGCCTCGATCCGGTGAACTTCCACTGCAGCCAGAAAGCTGTCCCCGCACCAACATGCAACCCCGTCAGCCATGACACAACCAGCCCCCGTCGAGCCTCCCGTTCTGATAATCGGCGCCGGCGTCGCCGGGCTCACGCTCGCACAAGGACTGCGCCTTCGTTCCGTCCCCTTCCGCATCTTCGAGCGCCATGCACGATCGCACATCAAGCAGGGCCACCGCTTCCGCATCTCGAAAGACGGCCAGGCCGCCCTCAACAGCGTCCTGTCACCGCAGCTCCAGGACCTGCTCGGGCGCACCGCAGCTGGGAGATACCGCTTCGCGCCACGGTACGTAGATGCCCGGAACCTCGACTTTGCCACGCCTGAGCCGGTGGACCCCGCGGGCTCGATGCCTGTGGACAGGACCTGGTTTCGCATGCTCGCGTCTCTCGAGCTCCACGATGCCATTTGCTACGAGAAGGAGTTCTGCTCCTACGAGATCGTGGATGGGCTGGTTGAGGTCAAGTTCACTGATGGCTCGGTTGTGCGTGGGCGGCTCCTTGTTGGCGCAGATGGGATCAAGAGCCGCGTGCGGAAACAGCTCCAGCCAGATCGCAACCTGCTCGACCTGGAGCGCTGGGTCATGTGGGGTCGAACGCCAATGACGGAAGACTTGAAAAGGGCTCTTGGGTCGCCAGATCTGTTGAGCTGGTGCATGTGTCTGGATCATCAGTCTAATGTGCAGATAGTTGTCGAGCCGGTGACGTGGTCGAGGAGCGTGCGCGTCGAGTCGGGAGGCAAGCTGCCAGACTTTGCCGACTACGTGTACTGGGTTGTCTGCACTGCGTCGTCGCAATACGCAGAGCGCTTGCCGAGGACGGTCGAGGAGAGGAAACTGTACCTGGCGCGGGTGTCAGAGACCTGGCATCCTGCCCTGAAGCACCTGCTTGATTCCGCTGCGCACGAACTATCCGCCTGCGTTCCCATCCTGTCGAGCAAGCCAGACATCCAAATGTGCCCTGCAGGTCAGACTGGCAGGGCCACGCTGATCGGCGATGCTGCACATCCAATGAGCCCCATGGGTGGCTCCGGTGGGGATACGGCCATTCGAAATGCTGCAGATTTGGCACACACACTTGCTGAAGAGGGTGTCACCGAGAGCAGTATCATGGGTTTCGAGGAGAGGATGGAAGCGAGGGCAAAGGAGAAGATTGAGCATTCGTTCAGAGGTGGGCACAAGTTCTGGCGCGGGAAGGAATGTACCGAGTACAACGAAGTCGACTTTTGAAGGGGCGTTGCGTTCAGAGGACAGAATTTTGAATTCATATGCGGACGCTCACTAACGTATTGTACTTCATTAGACTGAAGAAGGAAGGAGTCTCACAGCCCTTGGAGACTCTTGTCAATTCACAGAATAGCACTATGGACGGCAACCAGCGTCCTGGGGTGTCCACTTGAGCTCCCAGTGCTTATTTGTCTGCTTTCAAGTCCCACAGCTCGATGCCCTGGGCACTAGTTGCGGAGCAAAGATGCCCTTCTTCGTGCCCTCTTCGTGTCGAACTGTCGGCTCTGGGTGCAGACTTTGACCCCGGAGATTACTCTAGGTTATACATGTAATTGTCCAACGAAAGGAAACATGACACACTTTCCGGCTCGGACCCATCAGAGCAAAAAGGTTTACACAGCAGGGGAAGAGCGAGAGCTGAGCTGACCGGGAAAAACACTGAGGGGGAGAAAGACCTGGCCAGAGTTACCTTGTGCACAGCTACTCGTCAACGATCTGGGGAATCGGAGGCGGAGTGGTCTGCTGTCCTTCATTCTACTTATTGTTCCAAACCGTATTCAGAAGTTGCGCGTGGTTCCAAAATCCTCTGCAGTTCAGCTTCGCTTCGAGACTACGCGCAGTCCGGAGTATGTGTGTGCAAACCAAACCTTGGAAGTCTTCAACCTTCCTGAAGGCATTCTCGTCCGGCGCCATATAAATGTGGTTGTGAAGCTTTCTATTGTCTTTGCCAATTTTCGTGATGCTGGGGGTGATCCATGAATTTGAAGATCTGGGATCACGTACCAAATCTTGACTGCGTCCATTCTTTTCCACGTCCAGATCATTTTGCCAAAGGGCCTACGGATCTAACGACCTTTGGACTTCATTAATGGCTTGGAGAACCAATCAAGGGAATAATGACCGCCGGATGGGTAGAAACGGCGTCCAAAGTCGTTGGTAAGTTTCGAAGAGCCTCAGGCCCCTAATCATGTACCGTGTTGTGACCCAAGACGAGGGTTATGTATAATGAAGCGAGAAGGAACCTGGAGTAAGAAGTTTTGGACCAGATCAACCGCTTTCTATTCTCAAGTGCTTGGCTTACATCTCTGAGGTCACGACCTAGATTCCATGTGCTAGCCGTTCCACCTCAGCCACTATACCACCGAGGTGACTATATTCATGTGGCAGCTTGGTATTCCAGAAATTGTTTCACCGCCCCAGGGAAGCGATACTTGACAGTCCGAGCGATGGATTGTCGCCCGATGAAAAAGAAGGATGTCGGCAGAGGATGTTCCTGACAAGCAGAGACCAGACGAATAGCGTCCTTGTACTCCTTCAGGGTATCCAGGTAACAGTCGATCTCCTGCCCCCGCGCCCTCCCCACGACAGCCAGCACCACTGCAGCACATCAGCCTGAAAGGGCCCGGCCGCGTTTCAAAGGGCCCTGCCTTGCATTAACTAGTGCCCCGTGGGGAAACCGGCTTAGGGAGCCTAAAGAGCTGGGGAAGTGATCTGAGTGACAAGGAGGGGGGTAGATCCCCCGCAGCCGTCCCTCGCATCCCCCAAAAGGTTGCTTCCGGGAGCATGGGGGTGCCACGCCCGAAGTGTCTCGGCCGCCGATTGAGTTGCGGGTGGAAACGCACGTTCACGCATTCCCAGCGCTTCCTATAGGCTCCCCTCACTTGGACGCGGGCGGCTTGCCTCGTCGCTTGGGGGAAGTGTTAGATGATGTTATTGCTCATCCGTGCACGCCGTTGCATGTGGCGCTCAGTAAGTCAAGGCAAGGTAACGGTAGCCTCCTTCGTGAAGACGGATAGTTCTTCTCTTCTCACTCCTCCATTATCCTTCTTCTCCTTCCCAGGTTGCTCTTCTATGCCATTGGGCATTGAATCGAACCTGCCGACAAGCTGTCTGCTGTCTACTGTGTATACAACAGGCCTGTGTGAAGCTTCTCTGACGCTCCGACCTCAACATAAAACATAACCCACACGTTGTCCCAACACCATATCTAGCATGGCACCATCCGCAACAGGACACGCGAACGGCGCGGTGCCCCGCATCCTCGTTCCGGAGAAGGTCTCGCCAGACGGGCTCTCGCTGCTGCAGGACGCGCACTTCGAGGTTGACGTGCGCCCGGGCCTGGCGCCCGCGGACCTCCTGTCGCTGATCCCGTCATACCAGGCCCTCATCGTCCGCTCCGAGACAAAGGTCACGGCGGAGGTGCTCGCCACGGCGGGCAAGCTCCGGGTCGTGGCGCGGGCGGGTGTGGGCGTCGACAATATCGACGTGGAGGCCGCGACGGCGCACGGCATCATTGTGGTTAACTCGCCGGCGGGTAATATCGTCGCGGCTGCGGAGCACACCATCGCGCTGCTCCTGGCCACGGCGCGCAACGTGGGTAGGGCGGACACGGGTGTCAAGAGCGGTAAGTGGGAGCGGGGCAAGCTCGTGGGCGTCGAGGTAGCGCGCAAGGTACTGGGCATCGTGGGGCTGGGCAAGGTGGGCATGAAGGTCGCCCGCATGGCGATCGGTCTGGGGATGAAGGTTGTGGGCGTCGACCCGTACATGAGCGCAGACGTCGCGCGGCAGAACGGGGTGGAGACGGTGGGCTCGCTCGAGGAGATGCTGCCGCAGGTTGATTTCCTGACCATCCACACGCCCCTGATCGCCAGCACGCTGAACCTGCTGGGCGAGAAGGAGTTCCAGTCGATGAAGAAGACGGCGAGGGTGCTCAACGTCGCGAGGGGCGGCATCTACAACGAGGAGGCGCTCGTCATGGCGCTGGACGAGGGGTGGATCGCCGGCGCCGGCATCGACGTCTTCACGAGCGAGCCCCCGAAGCCTGGCTCGACGGCGGAGAAGCTCTCGCAGCACCCCAAGTGCGTCGCGACACCGCACCTGGGCGCATCGACGGTCGAGGCGCAGGAGAACGTCTCGCTGGACGTGTGCACGCAGGTGGTCGAGGTGCTGCGCGGCGGCCTGCCCACGGCGGCTGTGAATGCGCCGCTGATCCTGCCGGAGGAGTACCGCAAGCTGCAGCCGTACGTGCGGCTGGTGGAGCGGATGGGCGGGCTGTACACTCAGCACTTCGTGGGCCGGCGCGGCGGCATGATCGGCGGGCGGAAATTCGAGCTGCGGTATCAGGGCGAGCTGGCGGGCGTGTCCAACACACGGCCGCTGTACGCTGCGCTCGTCAAGGGCCTGACCAGCAGCATCAGTGATAGCGGCGGCCGGGACGTCAACATCGTCAACGCGGGGCTGATCGCCAAGGACAAGGGCATCGCCATCAACGAGACGCACGCGCGCGAGGGCGGCAGGGAGGAGCTGGTGTACGCGTCGCTGGTGACGCTGCGGTCGTCGCAGAACGGCGGCGGTCCGGGACAAGACGACGACGCGGAGCAGGTGATCGAGGGCTACGTGAGCGGGACGGAGGTGCAGATCAGCCGGCTGGACCGGTTCACCTGCAGCTTCGCGCCCGAGGGCACGCTGCTGGTGCTGCACAACTACGACGAGCCGGGCAAGGTTGGCAACGTGGGTATGATCCTGGGCCGGTTTGGAATTAATGTTACGTTCATGCAGGTGGCGGCGCTGGACAAGAAGGCTGCTGTGCCGACGGCGGCCGGAGACGGCACTGCGGGGGTGAAGAAGAGGAAGGGGGGCAATGAGGCGTTGATGATCCTCGGGGTGGACGGGGAGGTCACCAAGGAGGTGCTCGAGGACCTGGGACGGGCCGAGGGCATCCTGGATGTCAACCTCGTGAGGCTCTGAGAGTGGTGCATCTTTAGATCTGGTCTTGTGTGTCCAAGACGATCATAGATAGAGGAGACTATGCCATTTTACTGATGATTTGAGAGTATGGTTGAGATGCGGAATAACAATTTTCAGGGCCACATTAGTGTTCCCTTTCCATGCGCGGTCTTGTCTTGTTCTCTCTATCTATTACGCCTGGCTGACCAACTCACCGACTTCATAAGTAAGAGCAATGAACATTGTATCCATCCAAGGGCAGCCCTGGCATGCTGGAGGAAGGAGGAGAGGTGGTGGGTGCAGCTGCAGTCGAGTCGTTGAGTCGCAATGGTGGACCAATACGAGTAGATACAGCACATAGTGGACCCCAGGCCAAGGCGCGGCATGGGCACGGTGTGGGTGGCACAACAGGACACAGCTGACGATGGCGTCGAGCCACGGATATGAATGCTACAGTATCTACACACACAGTCATTCTGCATGGGCGGTGGTCAGCAATTCCAATCTCGGGCAAGCAGCATCCCGCCGAGTCTTGGGCCTGGTCGACACGAGCCTCATTTCGGGGACGAACTTGTCCAACGCAAACAATGTCAGTGCAGCGATATCGCACACCACAGACGTTGCACGGGAAAAGGAAGAGAAAAAAAAAACTAATATGGAGAAAGTAAGTACTGTAGACCCGTTGTTGTGCCGTCCCGTGTGTCTCGGCTTGCTGCCAGTCAGACCATGTTGTGGTCTACATACCCACACCACACAAAGATAGCACATCAGGTATACTAGGTACCACAGTATGGCAGCGACAGGGAAGTGGGCGAAGGGCAGCCAGACCGAAAGTTGAGAAAGTCAATTCCGCTGAAGCCGCTAAATAAACCCCAAGCCTATCAGGTATTGTGACCGGCCGATTGATTGGCGTCATCGTTCGTCGGCAGGGGCCCCTCCCCTGTCACTGTCTGCGGGTGTAGCGCGTCAATGGCTCTTGCTAGCAACCGAGCACCAGCAGCACCAAGCAGCTCGAGCTCCGCGGCGTTGCACAGCTGCAGCACAGCAAGATACACAGTCCCTGCTCCGCTGCTGTAGATACGGTACCTAGGTAGTTGATAGACGGTGGAGCTCCCCACCAAGCCGCAACTGACGGCACAGCAGCACTGGCCGTCCCTAACCCACAGGTGAACCTGCGAGACCCACCGAACCGCCATCCTCCCCCACACAGACAGTTCACCACATCGGCCCAGGCTCGCCAGGCTGCCAGGGTGCACAGCACATGTAGGGTTCAAGCTGCGAGTTTTTGGACCGGGGGCTGCTCTGCTTACCACGCTACCACCACGAACTGCTGCGGTCCACGAGCCCGCCTGCACACGCGAGATATTTTCTCGAGCTTCACCTTTCTACGTCCTCGCCACAACCACCAACACCACCAATCCCTCCCTCCTGCTTGCTTTTCTGGTTTGCTTTGGTGCGGGCCGGTTTGTTAATTCCTACTGTCGGGGTCATTGCCCGTTTTTGGAGGCATCATTCGAGGGGTAAGTTATCGGCAGCCCATCCATCCATCTTGCCTCAACTCCGCCTGCAGCTCCAATCCCACCAACACAGCCAGCCAGCCAGCCTACTCTGTCTGAAGCTACTGCGGCTGCCAGTGCGAGTTGGTTGGGCTGTGAGACCGATGATACTGATATCAGCACCGACACCGACACTGACATACTCAATCCACAGGACGGACCGAAGCAGTTGACACACCCACATCTACCACAGCGCGTCATCGGACGACGCTCCCACCGGCCGCAACCATGCGGCAACAAGCCCGCTCCCACCCGCTGATGGCATTCCGCCCAGCCATCCTCGGGCTCTCCAGGGCCGTCTTCACCCTCGGCGTCGCCTCCGCCGCTCCTATCCGCGTCCTGGACGAGCTGCACGACGGCAACGAGGAGGAGGGCGGCGAGTTTTGGCTCCTCTTCGGCATCTCCATCTTCCTCGTTCTGCTTGGCGGCGCCTTCGCCGGCCTCACCATCGCCCTCATGGGCCAGGACAGCGTCTACCTCCAGGTCATCTCCCAGGATCCCACAGAGCCCCAGCAGAAGAATGCAGGCCGCGTCTTGCGTCTGCTCGATAAGGGCAAGCATTGGGTTCTCGTCACTTTGCTCCTCAGCAATGTCATCGTCAACGAGGTACGCTACCCCCGCCCACCTGTCTAGCTCTTTCCCTCTAGATTTGTACTGGACAGTCATGAGAAGACGCCTTTGCTGACAGTATCCGACAGACCCTGCCTGTTGTTCTGGACCGGTGTCTTGGTGGAGGAGTGGCTGCTGTCGTCGGTTCTACTGTCTTGATCGGTAAGTTGTCTTGACCGCATTCGATGAAACGAAACGGCAATCTGACCAACACGACATGCTAACAACTGCTCTCGCTCTCTCTAGTCATCTTCGGAGAGGTCGTTCCTCAGTCTATCTGTGTCCGCTACGGCCTTGCCATTGGTGGTTATATGTCCAAGCCTGTCCTACTCATGATGTATCTGATGGCACCGGTTGCCTGGCCCACCGCGAAGCTCCTCGACTGGGTCCTGGGTGAAGACCACGGAACCGTCTACAAGAAGAGCGGACTCAAGACACTGGTCACCCTCCACCACACCATGGGCCCAGCAGCGCAGCGCCTCAACGAAGACGAGATCACAATCATCGGCGCCGTCCTCGAGCTCAAGGAGAAGCCCGTCCATGACGTGATGACGCCAATGGAAGACGTCTTTGTCATGTCCGAGGATACCGTGCTAGATGAGGAGAAGATTGACATGATCCTGTCTGCTGGCTACTCGCGCATTCCCATCCACGAGGCCGCGAACGAGACCAACTTCATAGGAATGCTTCTGGTCAAGATTCTCATCACCTACGATCCTGAGGACTGCAAGAAGGTCAGGGACTTCCCCCTGGCCACCCTGCCCGAGACACGCCCTGAGACGAGCTGCCTCGACATCATCAACTTCTTCCAGGAGGGCAAGTCACACATGGTTCTGGTTTCCGATGCCCCAGGTGACGACCACGGTGCCCTCGGCGTGGTCACCTTGGAGGATGTTATCGAGGAGTTGATCGGAGAGTAAGCTTCCCCTTTCCCACCAACTTCCCTCTTCGTGGGGGGAGAGAGCGAGTGGACTCGATTTTGCTGACAATGTCATCTACAGGGAGATCATTGACGAGTCCGATGTGTACATCGATGTCCACAAGGCCATCCGACGCATGGCGCCGGCACCCAAGGCCCGCTACCAACGACGACTGTCCCACGGCCACCCTGGGGCCGATGGAAACGACAGTAAATCTAGTGAGGACACAAAGGTCGGCGAGGAGGACTCCACAGAGAACTATGAGACGCGGAAGAAGAGATACAACTCGGCAACTGAACCGGGTGAGACTCCCGATCGGTCTGGCAGTGGCAGTCCCATGCCGGGAACGTTCCTGTTGCGGCGCGCCTCTGCTGGTCTTGATGGCAGGATGGAGAACGTTCCGGTGAGGGCAAGCTACAATGACATAAGACAGCATCTGAAGCACCTCGGCCCGTCCAACCCAGCCTCGAACCCCAAAGCCACAAAATCCACCACCGTCAAGATCAAGCCCGGAGTTGTCGTTCATGACCAGCCAAGATCGAGCCCAGTGGCCGAGCAGGTCATACAGGAAGAGCCGCGGGTCGAGAACGACGAGGAGGACAACGACGAAACGACGTCCCTGCTGCGGCCGGCACTCACACCCAAGGATGGTGCACAAGCCCTGGCCCAGAAGTACGGTGCGACCGGACAATCGCCTCTATCCCGAAGTGTTGAGAACAACTCGCCCGCCAAGGCAAACGTGGATGACACAGCCACCAAGGGTGTCCAGACCACGGAGACCGCCCCGCAGCACAGCTATGCGGCAGTAACGGCACAGCCCCCGCAACAGGAGCTGCATTCAAAGAGCTCCGGCTCGGGCAGCGAGTTGGCCCCTGCCGAACAAACAAGCCCATACTCGCACAGGAAGGATCTCTTTGCCCGTAGCGGCAGTATCACCGAGAACATTGTGGAGTCCAGAGGCATCCGCAAGGGTGTTGGAGACGACCAGCAGCAACGAGGATGAGGAGGAGCAGGGAGGGTCTGAGCGGAATGGTAAGAGCGCCAGCCGGTCCAACCTCAACCTTGAGTCGCAGGCGTCCCCATCAACAGAGGGCGACGAGAACGCGAGCGGTGCCAACAGTCCGGCGGTGCCAGGTGCTGCTGAGGCGGAATCTTCGAACACGACTACCCAGGCCGGTGGTAACAGTAACGGCGGCGGCGGCAGTAGCAAGAAGAAGAACAACCGCAGGAAGAAGAGAAAGGGCGGCAGGTAGGGCAGCTGGCTCTGGAGCTCGCCTCGGTATACGGAGAGCATAGGGTGAGATTTCTAGGAACTCTTTGATGGCTCGACTTTTTTTTGAGGACAAGGGGAAAAGGAAACCAGACCAACAACCACACATACCCTTTCTCTTGGGATTGATGGCGTAAAAAACGCAAAACGATTTTCAGCATTGGCAAAATGGATTACTGCCGACTTGTAGGTGTTAAGCAAAGATATCGTGTATCATTATCAGGGTGGTCTTTTTGGAGCATCGGAATTGACATTTACGCTGTCTGATTGAACTTGTCTATGTATTTGATTTGCTAAATTGCTTATATGTGTGATTGCTCATTGCTGGCTTGTCCCCGTCTCGTTGGCCGGCGGAGAGCCCGACGGACGGCCTCTACACGGTTGCCCAACTGCATCAGGGCCAGTCGCAATACGGACGGCCAGTCAACCGAGCCGGACACACAATCGCAGAGTTTATTTGACTTGACTTTCTTTTTTGTCTATCTTCAAAGTACCCAAAGACATCCTATTCGAATCCCATCTCGCTTCCACCACTGATCTAATCATACCAAATAGCATTCATCCCAAACCCGGGCTCCTGGATGCGCGTCCTGGCGACGCGCACGAGGAACTCGTCCTTCCACCGGTAAATCTCGACCCAGCCCTCCTGGTCGTCGGTGAGGGCGAGCCACTCGTCGCTCCAGTCGCAGGGGGCGACGGCGTTGGAGTGGCCCCCGGACGTGGGCGTGGGGTTGAGGCAGATCTGCGTCTCGATGCTGCCGCAGTCGCGCAGCCGGAAGGCGGCGATGTACCCCGTCAGGTCGAACTTGTTGGCGCGGGCCGTGGCGAACAGGTACTTCCCCGAGGAGCTGAGCGCGCACACGTCGGAGCGGTACAGGCCCTTCCCCGTGGCCGGGTCCTTGGTGGGTTCCGTCCCGGGCGGGATCAGCGGCCACGAGTGGTGCGTGTAGACGGGCATGCGCGTGGCCGGGTCGATGACGTACTCGTAGAGGCGGTTGCCGGCCTCCATCAGGGCGTAGAGGTAGTTGCCCGTGGGGTGCATGGCGACCCAGCGCGGGTGGTCGCCCGGGTCCGGGGCGTCGACGCTGCCGACGAGGGCGAGCTCGCCCGTGGCCGGGTCCTTGCGGTGGCACCACAGCTTGTTGGCCGTCAGGTCGGCCGAGTACAGGTGCGACTCGTCCGGGTCGAAGACGGTGCCGTGGATGCCCGTGTTGGGCTGGTAGGGGTAGTTCTGGGAGTTGGCGGCGAGGGCGCCGGTCGGCGAGACGGTGAAGACGTTGCCGTAGCCCGCGTGGTTGTAGAAGGGGTTCGCGTAGACGTTGTAGGGCGGCTTCTTGGCTGCTAGAAGGAAGATGGCGCGCGTGTTGGTCGTGGCGTCGTTTGCTTTGGCTGTTTCGGGGATGAGCGAGAGTCAGGTCATGGGAGATGAACAGAAGCACGTACGGTCTCCGCCCATTGGGTGTGAGGCCTCGTGGATGATCTCAGTCGGGCTCTTGACCGCGAAGCTGGACCACTTCTTCATGGCGGACCCGTAGAGGTTCTTTTTTTGGTGCTATTCGACGGTGTCTCATCAGTCTTGTCCGAGGCACTCGATTGAGGTCTGGCTGGGTGAGATTGCAAGGCAATTGAGTTGGTTAGCTCACGTCGAAGGTCATCCATGATATTGGCTCGTCCTCGGGAATCTCAGTCCTCTTGATGAGTTTCAGCTCGAGCTTCTCGTCGTCGAACTGCACGGTGAAGATGGCCCCTGGAGGAGTCCATGTCCCGATCATCAGGTGGTGAAGCCCCATCCTGGCGGTCCTCGCGCTGACGCCCGCGAAGCTCGTCGGCTGTGGAAGACGGGGTCGGCGACTGAGCCCGGAAAGAGGGCGGATGAGATTGGAGAGCTTCACTTTGGAGGAGTATACAAGCTCTTGACAACAGGGTTCGGTAACGCGGTTTACGGTTGGAATGGTTCCTCATAAGATGATTGCAGATTTATGACGGAAGGAAAGATCCAGTTGAAAACAATACTTCAACGGGACGCGGCATCGTCAAAAGTCGCGGCGCCGGCGCCGGCGCGGTTGACATCGCATCAACGTTGCCCCTCGTTTTGCCGTCCCACGGCCCGCGGAAGCTCGAGCTACCCCTGGCGGGTGGGTTGTGGGGGTGGGGGGATAAACGATTTGGCCACTAACCAGTGGTTGGAGGAGCCGGTGCGATGGAGACAATTTTACTACACGGGATCTGCTGGCGGCATTGGGCTTGCTCTCTGATACACCTACGAATATGTCCAGCCACTCCCCAGTGTGAGGCAATTTAGATGAAGCAATGTGTTTTACCTCAGGTTCTGGGATGGCAAATGTCTGAGTGGTCACTTGCTCCTCATACAATCCACTCTAATACAGAAGTCTCAGGTATGCTCAGCTTCCCCAGATGAGGAAAAAAGCGATCCGAATCCGGGGCTGTGGATCATTGCTTGTCCCTCCATCGACCACTTCCCAGATGGCCGGGTAAAGGCTCACCCCGAAAGACGAGACCCGCTCCATAAGTCTCAGAGTTGTTTGTAAATACCCTTCAACATTTGCGTGACTACAATACGCCAGTTAGAGATATTTTGTCCGTGTCACAATTGAGAAGGGGCTGGATTCTATACCACCAACTCGTAACGTGCACGATTCAAGTCCCACTGCTGTGGTGCCACTGGAAGCTTCATTTAACAAAATCATCGTCACACTGACACCCACCCGCTTTCCACCTTGTCAATGTCTCCCTTAATTGCTATCTTGTTCAGTGCTCCAAATAGTTCGGGTCATTCTTGTTGACTGTACAGTGTGGCCTGTATTTAGGATGCATTTCATACTTACCCAAGTTGCAGCCCTTGAACTGGACAGAACCGCACTATGAATTCTGACCAATTTTTATCTCGTTCCCAACAGTCTTTAATCAGTCTATGAGTACAATCTCGCCAGCTCTACCACGATATAGGCATCTTGACAGGGATTGCTAGCACTGCCATCAGTGACTTCATGGGACTGGCTGTTTTGCCTGTGCTATGCTCATCCTTGACCACCGCTCTTTGCTTAATGTCAGATGAATGTGATTATTCTAACCTATGTTTCCTTCTCCTATTTTCTCAGAGCCTCAATAAATATCCTGTCCAATAAGTCCAGTAGGAAGTTGTCATCGGCGGTATTCGCAGCAGATGGTCTTCACTCCGTGACCGTGAGGTTTGGAGTGGCGCAGAAATAAGAAGACAATCTGCCTTATTTTCCCAGCGTCATCACTGGGCTAACGTAAAATTGCTCAACAGAAGCTATAGCTGCGAGACTTCTCCTGATCAAACTCAGTATCCCCATGAAGAAAGTGTTGGCAGATCAGACCAGCTTCCCAACTTGGACTCTACCTTTCCGAAGCCCGTTTGGCATCCTATGAGATTTGCACATGGAGCAGGCTCTTTTCTGTGGTTCACAAACAGCCACGCTGGGGCTGAAGACATGCATGCATATGATGATAGAAGTGTTTAGGACTGCCCTGGAACATTTGAAAGTTCACTGCCCGAGGTTGACCAGCAGAGTGAGCAGGAGGCCTGTCAACTCATAGGGGGATTGTGGCCATTGGCGCAATTGGTACACATTCCAAGGATGGAGAATGACAAAAATAGTAGACTGCTCTTCTGACGGCGCGCCTCTCAAAGCCTAGAAAAGAAAGCACCTGCAAAGCTGTGAGAACCCCACTGTAGAGAGAAAAGGTGCCTTGATGTATCAAACAGCCAGCAGTCAGGACGTTCACAAGCTCCCTGTCACTGAAACTCCCTGTCACTCTTTGGGTGCTTGTTTGCCATCTGATCAAAATCTAGGAAGGCTCGTGCACCCCTTTTATCTTCAAGGCTTGCTGATTCTACAATCTCTGTTGACCCGTCTCCCATCGTCTTTCCCCACAGCATTGAGGATTCCAACATCGTCCTACCTCCAAAAGCAAGATCACTCAATCCAACCTCCCACCACAACACCGTTCTGCAATTGACTTGCCAAAAACAATCTTCTCAAGATGCACAACATCCTGTATTCAATTCTGGCCACAGCCATGCTGGCCGCTAGTGCTCTCACCCAGCTCATGCCTCCCACATTCAACAACACAACCCCAGCTGACGGCGACAAGGACGGTGCCCTGCGGCTCCACAACTACTACCGCGGACAAGTCGGCGTCCCTGCCCTGACCTGGTGCGACAACCTCACCGATGTGGCTCAGGTCGCTGCCGATTGGGAGGCTGGAGCCGACATTCCTAACACCCCCACCAACTTCACCCGCCGCTTCCCTCAGAACGAGAGCTACTACTTGAGTGTGGTGTACATATCCCCAGGTACACCTCGCGTGTTTGGCGCCTTCTACCACGCGACCCTGGCCTTCTGGGCTGACCACATTCACTACCACGGCGAGGTCATTCCCAACGGTGACTTTTTCAACTACGCCGCCTACAGTGAGTGCCTCCCTCCCCAGACACGTGCACCGCCTGCCTGGTGAAAGCGTAGCTTTTATGGGGTCCTTAGCTGACGACAACAACCCAATCTTGAAGCCCAGATGGTCTGGAACGGCACCACCCGCCTTGGAATGGCCGGCGCCACGAACCGCGAGAACGGAACCTTTGTCGTTGCTGCCTACTCTCCCCCGGGCAACATGTAAGTCCAAGATTTCGAACAGAAGCATCGCCCTGGTATCTTCTGTGGCTTCCATCGCGTAGGGAGATGTAACTGACATTTTGATAAACTACAGATACGGACAGAAGCCGTTCAACAACAACACTGCCTGCAACAACACCAGCGGCGGCACTTGACCAACTTGACCGTTAAAGAAGAATAGGCTGTTTTGGTGTTTTGAAAGGAGTGGATGGGATGGGTCTACCCTAGGAGTGTTCAGCATGTTTCTGGCTTCGACTTAATTTCCCGTCGTGCCATATCAAAACCTGCCAGACTTGCGGGAAAGGGCGGAGTCTAGGCGCCTCAATTGCTAAGACATTCACAATCAAACGGTCTCCTCTACGTTTCTACGTGCCACGTCCCTGGGTTTCTGTTTTCACATGACGATCTCCATCCTCGTCCAGAGGACGACATGCCCAAATCTCGTTAAGAAACAGACTTGTGTTTGAAAATTCGCTTGATGTTAACTGAAAGTAAGCAAATGGATCATCAAGCACGACCGAGACAACTCTGCGCTAGGAAAGGAATCTTGAGAGGGAAGCGGACTCCACTGATGACAGGTGGAGCCTATCCCCCCCCCCCCAAGAAAAAAAGACAAAGCATGCGTCGTCGCTTGAAGGCCTTGCCGCATTGGGACACGACCAAATCAGTACTCCTCCTCCAGATATTCAAGCCAGTACTTGGCCCCGACCAGGTCTTCACGCAGATGCTCGGTCTCCGTGCCGATGACGGCCTCCTCGAGCTCGAGCTCCTTCCGCGCGTACTCTTTGGCTTTCTGGAAGTCGTCAAGCTCCAGGCACAGTCTGGAACATCTGCGGTATCTTTGAGCCAGTTGATTAGATACAAATCATACCCTGGGGTGTGGACAGGGGGGAGGCCAGGACTCACATCCTGCAAAGCGATATAGACTGCAAGTCGATGGTGGGGTGCCTCAAGAGCGCCGCGATCTTTTCATTTACCTCCAGGGCCTGCTGCGGGCTTCTAGCCACTTCCTCGGACCCTTCCAAGCCTGTGTTCGGAAGGTCAGGGTGGTTCTCGTGCAGCAGACTCATTTCCAAGTCGACCATGTGGTCTCGGAGTGCCTCCTCCTCAGGGTTGGTGCACGCGCTGCACTGGCACACGAATCCCCAGTACTTCATCGCAACCTGCCGATTAAACTTCTTGAGGAAGGTACCATTTCTGTAATCGCCAAGGACCTCGTCACCGGCTTTGATGTCACGCGTGGTGTGGACTGTGAGGCGCTCGATGGTTGGATTGTACGAGCTGACGACATTGGGGCTGCATGAGTGGTTCATACGGCTGTGCAGGGGAAAGAGCCCTTGGCCGTACATCGAATCGCGACCCATTCCCATCCTGTTGTTCAGGAAGATGGAGAATCGCGTAAACGCTCGCTTGTCGGCCTTTTTCAGCTTCCTCGTGTTCAGCTTGTAGCCTTTCTCATCGCGATGCTGCTCATGCCATCGGTGAATTATCTTCTGTGCCTTCTTTTGATTCGACTTGGGCAGGGCTTCATCGCAACACAACTCATCCAGGGTTTTGAGGCCCTCCACAGACAGAGCTCGAACTGCTGTGCAAAATGCCTCGATATGCTCCTCAAATACTTCGGGCGCGGATGCTGGCTGGACAACAAAGAGAGGAGCCTCGCTGATGACTCGTGTGCCACGAGCGATATCCTGGACGGCGAAAACCCCCTTCCCGAGGTCCCCAGAAGAGCGGACCTCAATGAAGCTTGAATTTTGGACTTGGGGAGCTGATCTTATTAGCTTCTGAAAACAAATTTGGGAGGTACCGGACCGAAAGGAATCCCTGACCTTTGGGGCCCGATCCGTTGGTGCCGTTGTGTGTAGAGGGTTCCTCTGGAGCTTCCAAAGAAATCCCCTTCACCAGATTCGCGACATCGTCCACCGACTGGCTGGTCTGATCGTGGTTACCCATATTCGTAAGTGCTGAAATTGGCGACCAGATACTTGAGTTGGAAGTCTTTGGTGACAGATGCTTGGGCCAAGCGGAGGGAGGCCAAACGATGCAAGTTGGAAGCAGGACAAATGCATCCAAATATGAAAAAGACATCTGCCGGGGATCAAAAGCTGTTTCCAGTCGTTGAGCTCTCAAGAAACAGATTAAGTAAAGTCCAAGAAGCTTGCTTTCAGGTGGTTCTTTCCTTCAATCTCAGGAGCACCGCAATGGATCTGGCGTGTGGGAAACATGGCACAACCGGAAGGCTCTAAGCAATATTGTCTTGCAACAGCAAGCCAACTATATGGCCTCTCAGGCTCTAAGAATTCCTAGCTATGACTCGAACAAGGGTTCATCTGGAAAGCTCTTTATCAAATTTCGGAGATGCTGCTCCTGTTTGGAGAGAAGGTGCGCGATAGCATGCAGTAATCAAGAGAATGACATGCCTATCCTCCAGGCAGACCCAAAGGGCCAAGGAAAGAATGGTCGATGTGGCGTGCAGCGGGCTCATTGTCGAAACTGAAGCCTGACCCGGATGATACAAACCTGCAGGCAGAAATCGCCCGAATCCAACGACAGAACCGGAGGTTTCAAAAGCTGGCCACAGTCTCAGAAGTCTTCCCATCAGCGCCTCATGAGCCTCTCAACTCCCATCCACCTCCAAAAAGCACCAGCCAAATCTCCTAGAGGCCATCGGCCTTCATTTGAAAGAGCTCTTTCTCAATCTTGTGCAGCCATGGCGCTGCATCGTTTTCGAAGAGGAAGTTCTCAGCTTCAAATCCCCAAATGCGAACCTGCAGAGCCAGTTCCTGCCTCGCATACGTGGCGGCGGCTTTGACGTTTCCAAGCCTCCGGTTGACCAGGGAGCAGACGTGGAGCGTCACCTTGAGGTCAGCACCATCCAAACCAACAGAAGGGTGCTGGAAGAGACCCACGAGCTCTTCTGCAATGGCAAGAGCATCCGTGTTGGCGTTGGGTGTGGGGAAGAACGAGTTGATGTCGCCGGGTAGCACGCCTTCCTTGACAAGGAAGTTAGAGAGGCTAATGTACGAGACAAAGACCCTCTGCATGATGACCTCGGCTTCCTCACTTGTGCACAGGGTGCAGTCGCAGACGAAATGGTGCCCTTTCAAGCGGTGTTCAGCTTGCCGCTCTGCTCGAGGGAGTGCCTGGAAACGATTGTACGAGACAAAGATCTGATCATCGGCCTTGACGGCCCTGGTCAAGTGGACCTGATGACGTTCCTTCGTGTGGTCGTAGAACGCGTGAGCGTTCGGCGAGCAGGAATGATTGATGAGACTGTATTGGTCGAAGACGCCACCTGCATCTTCCTGGCGCAGCCTAACTGCGTACCTTTGGTAAACGGAAAAGAGCCTCGAGTACTTGGGAACGTAGTAGTCCAATACAAACTCAGAGGCCTTGGGATAGTTTTCTTTGAACCAGTTCTGGACGATCTCGGTCGTTTGCGCGTCGAGCTCGACGCTCTCGTCGCTCGAAAGGGTGTCCAGAATCGCGAAGACATTAGGAGCAGTTTGCCGAGCTACCTCGCAGAAGGCGGCGATGTTCCCAGCCAATGTCCCTCGCCATGGATTTCCTGGTACCATGATGAGTGGCATCTCGGAGAGGATTCGTGTACCGGCGGGGATGTCTTTTGCAGCAAAGATGCCACGGCCCATGTGGCCCGCGGAGCGCACTTCGACCAAACAATTATCGAGGCGGTCTTGAGCAGCTACGCACATTATGAGTACCCAAAGAGGCGGCAAATACACATGCCAGGGGTCGGCGAACCTTGTTCAGCCATTAAGGCTGGATGCTGCTGCCCGTTGGAGCTCATCTTGGTTGATAGTTTGCTGCATGTGATGCTTTGGGCGAGGATCTAAGATCGCGATTGAGAGTGGGAAATGAGAGATGGGGTAACGAATAGCACCCAAAACCAGGCGGAAGCCTTCAAGTCGGTGGGAGATGCTGTCAGACGTTGATTGTTGCAAGGGAACCTGGCTTGACGAAGGTGATTGACGTGCTTTTTTCTGGCCCAAGGAGATAACAGATGTTGGAAGATAAGACAACTGAATTGGATTCACTCAGTTACGATGAGTCCAGATGACATTTGACTGTTCATCGGGCTACCATTGTCCAGCCTAAGTGGCGGTGCAAGGCAAATGGATCACCTGGGACAATATCAAGCACGCGAGACCTTGTCATTCCTAAGCTGTGGCATTCAGTCAATTTGGTTTCAATCGTCAACTTCAGCACCAAGTATAAGTCTTTGTGAAGACGGCAAGAACGCTGCATGAATAGGCATGGCGTACGAGGGTATATCTTCCAACCACTGCAAGATCCACGGCTCAAGCTTCGCTGTTCGCCGTTTCTCCTCCAAGGTCGAAGCCACTCAGTCATTTTGTGCAAAATGGAAGGAGCAACACATGAACAACAACAGATAGTTCAACCGCTCAGACTTTTAGGGAGTTCTGCCCCTGTACTCCAACAGACCCATTCACAACAATAAGTGTCCCACGAGAAGAACCACACATACTGTTCCAGCATTGTCCATCCCACATTGATTACCTCTTACGACTAGCAGACGTCCAAAGAAAAAAAAGAAAAAACCAGAAGACTAGGTTATCATTCATTGCTACAGCACACATCCGCTCGCCAAGATGGACACAGCACCACCCGAGAGGTCACATCTGTTCTTCCAATACCTCCGTGAAGCAGATTGGCACACCAGGCATCAGTACAACCCAACCGAAAGACCTGAACACGCACTTTTCGAATCCATCATCCCAAACCAGCAGCAAAACCAGCAGCCAATCTACCTCGGACTTCTGGTTCCCGAGCATGGTTCAATGTCAATCGGCCTCTTGGCGCACCCCTCCCCGATGAATGCTACGGTGTGCCCAGAAGATGAGGAACGGATGACGGCGCTGTTTGCGGGAGAAGGAGTTCGGCTCATTCCACCGCACGTCCTCGGTGCGATCATCAACAGCCGGGGGAGAGTGTGTCCGGGAAATGAGAGGATGTATGCGCAGTTGGGGACGGTGATGGTGCGCCCCAACAGCCTCACAGGGTGGTTCAGGACCAACTTCGTGTTCGCAGCGGAGATCGACGAACATGGGAAGGCCGCTCTGCTCTGGATGATGGAAAGGTTTGGTTACCCAAGCTCCGATCCCCACGACCCGAGGCTTCAAACATATCCCGTGTTCGACCTTCGCACCCTCGTAAACATACCGGCAGACCGAAATCACCCTCAAGTCCTCTTGGAACTACACTGCGGCGAAGCGGGTTGGCGCGAGAGGAGCAAAGCAACAGACTATGTAGGGGTGGGACTCACCCGCCTCATGTACTACGCCAGCCCAAAGCCTGTTCACTTTGTCAGAGTGGTGCAGATCTCGACAGGACCCCTCCGGCACGCAACACTTTTACACAGGAATCCGACTGAGACGGCGGGCCCGTCGTCGGCACCTATCTGGCTCTGCGCGCTGTGTCAACACCCTCAAACGGTTTCCTGTCCGCATCTCAATGGTGAGATCGTATGACTAATGCCAAAGTTGAAACATCATACGGGAGGTCAAGGCGGAGTGTTGACGATGTACTTGTTACGATCATTCCGTGGGTGCTGCGTGCCTTGTGGGAGCTTGTTGGGCTCCTGGATGCTGGATAGAGCTGGTCTTGTGCATGTATCTTGTTTCGATACTTCAGAAGTACACTTCAGGCAGTGATAGCGAGCAATGAAGTGAGCAATCCAGCGACAATTTCAAACTGAGTCTTCAGCAGCAGTCTCTCTCTATGTCAGGACGGGACTGCGCGATCCTATTTGCATAGGGACATTACGAGCCATGGCACGCACTGTCCTTGGTGGCAAACCCAGCCTGCTGGGGCCGGGGCCGTGACAGGGTGGCCGGGACGGACCGAGAAACCATCCTTTGTATTGATCTCTCTGCAGGTTGGTGGTTCGGTCGTGCGTAGCCATTTTGGGGGCGGCAGCGCATTGTTCGAGTGCTACATCCGAGTGGTGCGGTGTACGGAGTACATCTACCCATGTTCTCACTACTATTCTAGACTACCTTGAACGACAGAAACATTTGGAGGAACAGGAACAGGGAACAGGAACAGAGAGCAGGAACAGAGAGCAGGGACGAGAGCAGGGACGAGAGCAGGGACGAGAGCAGGGACGAGAGCAGGGACGAGAGCAGGGACGAGAGCAGGGACGAGAGCAGGGACGAGAGCAGGGAACAGAGTGATCCAACCGGCTTGCGCCGAATGGCAAACGAGCCCGGTAGTCCTGGCCGATGGGAGAAATGCGACGAGTACCGTAGACCTAGAACCATGTAGACTACAGAGTCTCTCGATTGGGCATCTCTTAGGCAGGGCCGGCCAATACTAGCCTCTGGATGGGCGATGGACGAGGTGAATGGTCCAACTTGGGCGCCAATGGTTCCCAGATGTCCGGCACTGCACCTCTAGCCCCCGACGTCATCACACATGACACTCGCATTCACTCGCACTTTGGGGTGAAGCGAAAGAGAGCGGTCAAGCGGTCGAGACTACACACAGTCGACTGGTGTGCTGGGCCGCGGGCACTGAGCACAACATTTGAGGCCCTGGAAGGCTAGGACTCTGATGGGAACGACAAGGCCAGGAGAAGTGGGGAGCGAACTGTCTGGACTGTTCTGAGGCCACAGATACCTGCAGATGCTGCCCGACTGGCGAGCCCGAGAGAAAGGGGCCAGGAAGGCTGGGAAAAACAAGACAAAGTGGGTAGCGGAAGTGGGAGGCAAAGTGATGTTGGGCCATGTGGAATGTGTGCCTGACCATGGTGACCATGGTCAGGAGAATGAAAAGAACGCCGTACGAGGACAGGAGATGCCTGCTTGGAGGGGAGCAGGTTGAGACGGCGTCGCAATGGTCGTGGAGATGGGATCTGCTAATGCGTGCATAGTGAGGAGAGACAGTCACTAACACGTCCCATCACCTCGCACGCAAGGGCAACCAAGCTCGCCGGATGGGGGCTTTGCCGGTCTGCCTGGGCCTCCCCTGCGGCAGCTGGACACGTCCTGCGTGCGCCCGAGGTGGCAGCGGCGGTGGGCAACCACCTTCTGCCCTTCCCAATCAACCCAAGGGACCCACGGCAGTTGCGCTGGCCAGGCAGTCCAGGGTTGCTTTCGGTCTGGCTTGCTGGCTGCCCCTCCCATCCGCCTCTGCCCCTCCGTCCGCACTCCACCCCAGGCGAGGCAGCGATGCCAAATGGGAAACTGACAGACTGACATGCCCAGGATCAGGATGGATCCATCGAGATCCAGCCCCCGGATTTTGAGTTTGAAAATACAATTTGCATGCACGGCATCACTGTTTGATGTGTTGACTTTTGGCTTGACTGGAGAAGGGGAAGAAACCGTCGTCTATCATCCGCTGCCAGAGGTCATTCATTCCTTATTAGCACATGGGCAGTCGACTGACCGACTGCATCTGTCTGCACCTGCAACTGCACCTGCAACTGCACCTGCACCTGCACCTGCACCGGCCCAGATTCCTCGGACAACAGACATTATACACAGTAGACATTGCACGTTCCGCGTGGTGAGGTCAACCGCCAAAACCTGAGCAACACCATCCATCCTGTCCCATCTCATCCGGCGAACCGGCAGGGTTCCTTGGTTTAGAGAGTAAAGACAGAAAACAGGGAGCAAGGGCGACGCTGAGAAAGAGGAGGGCTTTTCGTCTGTTGTGCTTGTGACAACCTGGGAGACACAATCCCCCTCCCTCCTTCACTTCCCCCTCCCCCCCTGACCCATCATCACCCGCCCTGCTTCTCCTCCTCTGGCCGCAGACTCTACCCGCCGTCTCATTTGATCACTTCTTGTCGATGCATAGTGGTTCCTGTCGCACCGGCACACAACCTCGCTGCCACGGCACCTTGTACGATAACCACCACGAGGAGAACCGTCAGACACAGACACCTGGCGACTCGGGCCCGCTCGTACGCCTGCACTGCTGCTGCAAGCACTCCCACAAGGCTCGCGGCGTTGTCTGTCCTTCGCCTGCTTGCCCTCGTCCAACCACCCTCGCCGAGTCATTTCTGCATACCTGCATTCCGGCGGCCCTCTAAGCTGGCCCGCCACCGGTTTCGAGCGAGCATTAAGGCCCCTCGTATAAATATATCCATACATCCACAGCATCTTCAGGAATAGCACCAGCTGCGCTTCGTCTTTTCGACCCTGCATCAATCCTACAGGCCTCTGCTGCGCGGACTTCCTGTCTGTCTCATTCTTCTCTCGCTGCAGGCGACAGATCCAGAGCAGCGACAGAACGGGCCAACCCAGATACAGACCGGACCAGACCAGACCAGACCAGATCAGATCATATCAGACTCGAAATAACCTAGAAGGCGACCCAGAAGGCAGCCGGTATAAGCGGGTACCATCATCCATCCCGAGGACAGAACCCCCGTTGCGAATCCGACCAGGCTACCAACGGGTAGTACTGTTAGGCACAGCCCAGCCCAGCCCAGGCCGAACCCACCTGCTGCTGCAGCTAGCTTGCTGCGGTCCTCCGCTTCTGTTGTCCCCCAGCCGGGCAGGGAGAAAAAAACAGAGAGCAAGTGATAACGGTCCCGAGGCCCAGTCACAGAGGGCGAGACCATCAGCCCCTCCATTTTCTGTCGTCATCTGCGCCAACTTTTGAGACACACTCTCCTGTCCCGTCCTGTCTTCGACCCGACAAGACTCGACTCCCAACACTATCTCTGCGTACAACAAAATCAATCCGAATTCCTGCAGTCTCCAAGACCAGTCGACGGCGTCCTTATTGTTCCTGGCCCGGGCGACTTAATCTGCATCGGGTTTTGGACCCGTTTGACCTTCAAACTTTAATATTCCTGCCACAACGTGCTCCAGTGCGCTTCCGTGGTACCATTCCGACCTGCTGGTCCCACCGTTGATCCCGTCCGTCGCCTTGCTGCACCCGCTTGCCTGCAGCCATGTCCCGCAACACCTGGGACCGCGAACGGTTCATGTACGAGCGGGATCGCGACCGAGACCGTTATGAAGACGACGACCGCTACTACAGGGGCGGCTCAAAATACCGAGAACACTCGGCTGACGAGCGCTACGAGCGCCGCCCAGAGAGACGGCCCTTTGAGGACGAGGTTGTCATCCGCGATTCCCGCAAGGTCTACTACGACGAACCCGAGCCGAGGTTCGCCCGCCACCGATCACCTCCACCCGATCTCGAGCGCGACCGCCGTGTTGTGATTGAGCGCGAGAGGCAGAGAGTGTCCAGCCCTTCACCGCCAAGCAGGCCGGCGTTCCTCCGGAGACAATCCAGCCTCGACACATTCGACAGGCGGCCTAGAGGCTACCACTACGAGGACGAGGAAAGGGAGAGGTACGGCCCGCCTGCAAGGCGCGAAGACTTCCGCCCCCGGCCTTATGAGCCTATCCCGCTGCCTCGTACTCGCGCCTTGCCTCCCCCGAGGAGGTTTGCCGAGCGTGACTCCTTTGACGAGATCCGTGTGAGCGACCCGGACTACTATGGCGACGAGGAGTACCGGTCCTACCCGGAGCGCGTGCGCGAGCGGGAGATCATCCGCACCAAGAGGCGAGACCACAGCCCGGCCCACACCCACCGGTCCAGTCGCACCCGCAGTCACCGCGGCAGCACCGTGCGCAGCAGCTCCCGCTCATCCACCACCACCAGCAGCTCCGGTAGCAGCAGTGGTGGTACCACTGTCACTGTCAAGAGCGAATATCCCAAGAAGGGCAAGACTCGCATTCCAGCTCGCCTGGCTTCCAAGCGGGCGTTGATCGACCTGGGCTACCCATTCGTTGAGGAGGTAAGGCTTACTTGCGCGTCTCCCGCCACTGAATGAGTGCTAATATACTGCAGGGTAACACAATTGTGGTGCTGAAGGCCCTTGGCCAGGAAAACATCGACGACTTGCTCAAGCTCAGCGAGGACTACAAGAAGAGTGAGTATTCCCAGTCCGCCCGCAGAGGGCCGTCAACTAACCCACATCACAGGCGAGCTTGAACTTACCGGCGGACGGTCCGAGGCGGGCAACATTATTGAAGAAAGGCGAGAAGAGACCATCGTCCATGCGCCAGCGCCGCCGCCGTCGCATCACCCATCCATGCACGCACCACCACCTCCTCCGATGATGCATGGGCCCCCTCCGACTATGCATGGGCCTCCACCACCCGTCATGATGCCCCCTCCGCCTATTGCTCACCCACCTCCGATGTTCCACGCGCCGCCGCCTCCCCCGCCGCCTGCAGAGGTGGTGGAGAAGACCACCGTCATCCGTGACGTTTCGCCCGCTCGGTCGTACACGACCACCACATCCGGAACGACGCACACGTCGCACACGTCTCGCACGCCTTACATTGTCGATGTCCGACGTGAGGAGGTCTCCGAGGATGTCCCCGTCGGGGCGATGGCACTGGTCAAGTCAGACCGCCACCGCTCGCGCTCCCGGTCTGACCGGGACATACGGCACGAGATCCGCGATCTCGAGCGACAGCTTGACCGGAAGCGCCACGGCGAGCGCGAGCTAGTCAAGGCAGAACGGCTCAGCAGCGGAGAGCTGGTGCTGTACGAGGAGCAAGTGGAGAGAATCGAGGAGCCGCGGCGCGGGGTGCGCATCGAGAAGGACAAGAAAGGTAGGATGTCCATCAGCGTGCCAAAGTATCGTTAAAGGTGCGGTGCGCGATGTTCTTTCCACCGTCCTGATCCGAACAGCGGCTGACTCTTTCTTGTGCGTTTTAGGCCCTCCGCCTGGCATCGTCAAGGCAATGCTGGCAACCCTCACTTGAGCAGGGGAGCTGTCAAAAACAGGTGCCTGGCGTTGGAATACCGGCGATTCAGGCGTCTCATACGTTGGTGAGAGAGCCATTTTTCATGATCTATTTGCCATTTCGGAACGACCAATTTGCATCTTCACATCGCCTCCCGGGCGTGGCCGGGAAGTCATCGTGTTGGGGACCTGGACGGTTTCTTTACGACGATATGATCTTTTTGCCTGTTTCTTGAATATCACAGAATTATATAGATTGGGGTTCTTCAGAAGCTGTGTAATGATTTCTGATGAGGGGAACGCACCGAGAAGTGAAAACACAAAAATACCCAACAATTATTGTCTCCTTGAGTACTGATGCGAGTGTCGTGCGATGATGCATGGCAAGAAAGACGCCGTAGAAGAAAAAGTCCGCTTAGTGCATGAATCTCATTAACCCCCAATAGGGAGCTAGCTCGTTGCAACGCGGACTCGTCTGTTCCGCCCACGTGACGCCCCTTTGACAACACCACTCCTTCACCCCCGGATTTCCCCCCCCCCCACGCGAATGCCACGCCCCAGTCCGGACTAATTTCCACCGATGGTGCTTGCGTAACCGCGCGCTCTTCCTCTCCGGCCCTGCGGTCTCCGTGAGGCAATGGACTGGGGCGTAAACTTCCGGTCGACCGCGAGCCAGGGAAAGACAAAAATGCACTCATCATTAACCTTGACCAGAGCGTCGTGGCGCGATGGGGCAACCTTGTCTTTTTGCGTGACGGCAGCCACCCGTCCGAGTCGGTTCCTCTTTGCGGGGCCGTCTTGTTGCCCACTTCAGCAAGGGCCCTTGGCCGGAGTGTCTCCATCCTAGCGAGATTTCCGGATCGCCAATTTGGCCCACCTTCTTGACCATGTGGCCCATGTGGCCCACGTCACATTGGGCCGGCGGGAGTGGAATCGCGCGTGTTTTGTTTCTATCTGACGGGCGTGGGTATCCATCCCGTTCCTGAACATATATTGCTCTCGTTCCTTGGCGTTCGGGTAGCTACATTGCAGGCCTCGCTTGCGGCTGGGTAGGTTGTCTAGGAAATAGTGCTTGAGTGGTGTGAGCGTGCGCCTTATAAGGAACCTCCTCGACCTTCTCCTATAACACTGTCCTTTGGCGTCTGAGTAGTCCTCTACGTCGGCCTTCACCTCCGCAGTCAAGCCCACCATGAAGCCTGTCACGCACGTCCTCCCCCTCGCCATCGGGGCAGCAGCCTCCCCCATCGTGTCCCGCCAGTCCGCACCCAACGCTTCCACGTGTGCGGCAACGACGGAATGGGCGGGCTTCTCGGGCCTGAAGCACGCTTTCGTCTTCGGCAACTCGTACACGACCACCGGGTTCAACTTCACCCAGGAGCCGTACCCGCAGCCGGGCAACCCGCAGGGCAACCCTCCCTACCCGGGGTATACCTCGGCCAACGGGCCCAACTGGATTGATTGCTTGACCGTCAAGTACAACCAGTCGCTCCTGCTCACGTACAACCTGGCCTATGGTGGCGCAACTGTCGACTCGGACCTCGTCAAGCCCTACGAGGACACCGTACTAAGCGTGAAGCAGCAGGTGCAAGATGAGTTCGTTCCGGGTTACACGGGTGCCTCACCGAGCGCCCCCGGGGCACCGGAATGGGCCGGCGAGGACACGCTCTTTGCGGTGTGGATCGGCATCAACGACGTCGGCAACTCGTACTACAACGGCGAAGATGCCACGAATACTCTGTACGCGAAGATCTTTGACGTGTACACCGGGCTCGTCGACACCCTGTACGAGGCCGGCGGCCGCAACTTCCTTTTCCTCAACGTCCCGCCCGTCGACAGGTCGCCGCTCATCACCGAGTCGGGTGTCGAGGGCGCGGCGGCGCAGGAGAAGGCCGCCATCGGGGTGTGGAACGGCAAGGTTGGGGACCTCGCTGCGTCGCTGAAGAGTAACCACTCCGAGGTCAATGTGTGGGCTTTTGATGCGAACTCGGTGTTTGAGGAGGTCCTTGATGATCCCTCCAGCTACCCGCAGACGAGTGGGTACACGAATACTACTGGGTACTGTGAGGCTTATGAGAAGTGAGTTCCCTACCCCGTAGTCTTGCTTTGGGTCTTTGGATGCGTGGGTGACTGACATTCTCACTTCCGCAGCGGAACCTCTGACCCGGACAGCTTTGTTGAGAGCTGTGGTGTACCGGTCAACCAGTACTTCTGGTTGAACACGCTGCACCCGACGTACCCCGTGCATGATGTCGTGGCTGAGCAGGTCGCGAAGGCGTTGGAGGCTGGGCCGAATGTCTGTGCCCAAAGTCGCCGCAGATAGAGCAAATAGACTTGCATGGGAATGAATTCGATACTGTGTACATATGAAATAAACCCGCTTTGACTAAGATCTCGAATCTCGTGGTCACAATGGGACGGGCAGATATATTGCTGTGACGTTGCACTGAATACAAGAGATTAAATAAGAATGTCTTTCATCGGCTGAACTTGGATTACACTAGTAGACTCTGAGGGATGGGCTACACGAGGCTAAAAGCGCATTGCAATATTGCAATCTCTGGTCAATAAATAAATAGTTTCTTAACGGCCAGAAGATACATGAACTTGCACCACAGAGGCAACTCAATCATCATTACCGTGTCCTCGTTGTGTCTTGTCACAGCTTTCCAGCCACAATGTCCGCCCCCCTCGAAAGAACCAATTGCATAAGACAAAACAAAAAGCATGCTTGCCATATTCGGCAGCATCTGATAATGAGAACATGAAAGAATCTCGAGGCGAGCATCTGTCAACGTACGAGGATCTTGGCAAGAAATCCCAACACACAACGCTCTCGGTCCGTGCCCGGTTATATGTTGAGGTGGGCCAAAAGTACTACTCCGGTCTAGACTCCCCGAGAAGAATCTTTCCGAGCCAGAAGCTTCCTATGTCTCCGAAGGCAGCCACACAGTCAAAAGAGAATGCGCGACTATAACACATCTCACATTCTCCGACTCAAATGTATTGGCTCTGTCACTGCACCAAGTCAGCATTTACCCACAAATACTCTCCCTCATTGCCTATTTCTTCGAGAAGAGATACTGTATCGTATCTCAAGTTTTGGTCTCGGAAGGAGGTATGAATTGTTACAAGGACACATATCAAGCGCTTCACTTGATGAAAGAGTCTGCGAGGCTGGCAAGTATAAATTTCATCTGACCTCGTTGCCCAACACTACGGCATGGCTTCACAACGCAAGCTCCCTTTGTTCCTGCTCACATATTTAATTCAATGCCTTTGATGCAGACTTAGACAGTGGTCGGAGACGTTCCATCGACTTGTGAACCTAGTTAGTATGTTTCTCGAGACATCGAAAATCGCGGAGCGAAGTCAAGAGAATTCTACGCTTTCCACTGGAGCTATTGCGGATGCATATCTTCCTGTGGAAGGTGAGATGTCATTTCCAGCATTTCCGTCCTCACTTTCACCCAGATCACAACTGTCCTCATTTTGCGTTTACTCATAAATCACAAGCTTTATGTTGTTTGAGTACCTACGCTTGCCCGATCTTGATCACATATGGTGTACAACAAGGCACAGACCGGAATATTCGGAGTCTACTCCGAAGTTGAGTCACCATAAAAAGCGTACCATGTCATACTTGCTATTAGCTAGCGATCCTGATGGTTTGTTTAGGCAAGTTTCGTAGTGGAGAAAGCAAGAAAATACTTCAGCAACATGGTTGTGATGCGCCGTACAACACGGTGCACTTCTCCTGGGACGCACATTTGTGGCTCGCTTTGAACTAAGCAGGAATGCACCCAACGGAAGCAAGGCGAATGTGTTGGTTCTGCCAAGCACATGGTCTATATTGCGTGAAAAGGGGCCGCCCAGCCTCGACCGAACCCGACCGTGGCGGTGCCGAGTCATATCGCGCATTTAAAGTTCACACCGGGAATAGCATCACCGGACAAGCCGGCTCTAGTATGGAATAGGAGGTAATCACCAATTTGGTATCTCTCACTTGCCTTGGGTATATGAAGCACAAATCCCACCTGCTGCACGCCCATATGGAGACCCAATCGATTCGCACCCAGAATCTGAGGTTCCTACAGCTGACGGCACAAATAAGACGAGAACTTCTAGAATGAAGCCAACCACAGTCTTTGGCCTCCTCATCGCCGACCTGGTCAGCGCGGTCGACATGAGCCCCTACAAAGCTGGTACCGGCGTCGAGGATGGGTTTGCCACGTTTGTCGAGGAGTGAGTAAAAATTCAATCCCTTGCCTTACCAGTGATGATTTTGGCTGACGATCCCGCCCAAGATATTACCGCGTCTCAGAGGACAAGGCTGCAACAACTACCTTCACTGATTTCTGGACGACTGACGGAGAGCTCATCATCGCGGGGAATGCTTACCAGGGGTACGATGCCATGCTGGCTGTCAAGCAGGCTCTTCTCCCGGTGGACGGGAACAAGGCATGGTGGCACTTGATCCGTGGCTCCGAACTTGTGGGAGAGGCGGCAGACTCCAAGACATACGTGGCAGATATCGTGATCCAGACGACATATACTCCCGGAAATTGCTCGCAGGCATAGTAAGTGAAGCAATCGTGTTGGCGCTGTGAGACAACTGGCTGATGAATGTCACAGTGGCAATGCGTCGTTCACATTATTGAAGGGAAATGATGGGCTGCCCATCTTGACGCCGCATAGTCAAGCATTGACTATCTACAATCTGAGTGTCTCGACGACGGCGTCACCAACGGACATTGCTTGCACAACTTCATGACAGTCGTGAAGCTCGCTTGGCGTACGGTGTTGGATCATGTTGGAGCGGCTCCGGGAGAACATAGGAAATGCTGTTTAGACTCTCTATTTGAAAAGATCACATTTGCTTTCTACGAATAGACAGACAAACCCCCTTCGCCGCATTGGAAGTTGAGCCTTCAATGTTCTCAACTTATTTAGCAGCCTCAAAGTGCCGGGGACATTGCTTAATTGACTTTGTGCCCGATCTCTGATGCTTCAGAAACCAAAAGGATAAGCTCCCGGAGAGTTATTATGGAGGAGCTGCTCAGAAATCGAGGGAGATACCTGGAATGTGATCCGGTTCCCGGGTAAGTGTTGTATTGTGGGCCAGGACAGGCTCAGAAGATGCGTATAAGTAGTCACGGCCGTGGATTTTCTCATAAATACACACATGCTCACCAATTCAAGTCCATGTGACTCAGTCTAATGTGACTCAAGAGGTAGCCCGTCAGCCCAGTCAGGCCAGACTGAGATTTGATGGTCCCAGAGCTGCTATGCTGACGTTGTTGTACTGCCATTTTAGTAGGCGCTTTGGATCCTTAGGGGACCTTTCGAGTAGTGGGTTGGCCCTGCCCCTCGCCATGGCTGCGCCGCTGCGATAAGATAAGCCCCGCGGTTGTCCCCCCTGTTCAATCGAGTCACCATGGACAAAATTTCCTGAGTCACCCCGCGTTCGTACAAAACATCCAAGGCATCTCCATCTCTTCTTCGACCCGGCCAGAAATCAATTGACATCCCACACTGCAGATAGCACGACATCATGGCCGGAGAACCAAGCGAAAACGCCTCCGCTCCTCCTGCTGAGCAGCTGGAAAATCTCCAGCTCGACGAGGTCACCGGAGAGAAGGTATGTTTGTTAATCAATGCCCTGTCTCTGCTACCTTGACTACTCCTTCATGTGGCTTGGAAACTCACCACGAGACTGCGTGCAGGTGTCCAAGTCGGAGCTGAAGAGGCGACAGAAGCAGCGCCTAAGGGACGAAGAGAAGGCCAAGAAGGCTGCTGCGGCCCCTCCCAAGGCTGCGTCCAAGAAGAAGGAGGATGAGGAGGAACTGGACCCTCGAATGTACTACGAGAACCGAAGCAAGGCCATCAAGGCGCTTCTCGATTCCAACAGCCCCAATCCTTACCCCCACAAGTTCCACGTCACCTACGACGACAAGCAGTTCGTCCACGACTATGAGCACATCAAGGTGAGACTCAACAGGTCCTATTTGTCACGAGGCTAGAGCTGACCTGGGCAACCGCACAGTCTGGAGATGTCGACCGCACCAAGGTGCTCCAAATCGCCGGCAGGATCTACAACCGAAGATCCCTGGGCAAGCTCATTTTCTACGACATCAAGACCGCCGCCGATACCGTCTCCATCGGCACGAGCATTCAGATCATGTGCCAGGCCGAGAACGTCCCCGAGGGCACTACCCCGTTCGAGAAGCAACACGAGAACCTGCAAAGAGGCGATGTGATTGGAGTCATCGGATACCCAGGCCGTACTGCGCCCAAGAAGCTCATCGAGCAGGGCAAGCAGGGCGAGCTTTCCATCTTCGCATCAGAGGTCATCCTGCTCGCTCCTTCTTTGCACATGCTGCCCACACAACACTATGGCTTCAAGGACCACGAACAACGCTTCCGCCAGCGATACCTGGATCTGCTCTTCAACGACGCTTCGCGACAGACTATGTGGACACGCTCCAGGATTGTTCGCTACATTCGAGACTTCTTCAACGACCGTCGCTTCTTGGAGGTCGAGACCCCGATGATGACAGCCATCCCAGGTGGCGCCACTGCCCTTCCCTTCGTCACGCACCACAACGATCTCGATTTGGACATGTACATGCGAATTGCACCCGAGCTGTTCCTCAAGATGTTGATCGTCGGACAATTTGGCAAGGTGTTTGAGCTCGGAAAGAACTTCCGAAACGAAGGAATTGACCTGACCCACAACCCCGAATTCACATCTGTCGAGTTCTACTGGGCATATGCCGATGTCTACGATGTTTTGAAGATTACAGAAGAGCTCGTCTCGGGCCTTGTCAAGCACCTTACCGGCGGTTACAAGACCAAGTTCACCAACCAGCACGGCGAGACCTACGATGTGAACTGGGAGGCACCATGGCGACGTGTGGAAATGCTTCCAGAGCTGGAGCGCGTCACCGGCGAGAAGTTCCCGCCCTACGAGCAGATGCACACAGCTGAGACTGGCGAATTCCTCAAGAAGGTCCTCAAGAAGATGAATGTCGAATGCCCACCACCACTGACCAACGCACGCATGCTCGACAAGCTGGTTGGAGAGTTCATCGAGGAGACGTGTATCAACCCAACATTCATCCTCGAGCACCCCGAGCTGATGTCCCCACTTGCCAAGTACCACCGAGAGAAGAAGGGCTTGTGTGAGCGTTTTGAGGCGTTTGTGTGCAAGAAGGAAATCGCCAACGCTTACACGGAGTTGAACAACCCCTTCGACCAGAGGATGCGATTCGAGGAGCAGGCGAACCAGAAGGCTCAAGGAGACGATGAGGCACAGCCGGTCGACGAGAACTTCTTGACAGCACTGGAGTATGGTCTCCCACCCACGGGTGGCTGGGGCCTGGGTATTGATCGTCTGGTCATGTTCTTGACGGACAACTACGCCATCAGGGAGGTGCAGGCATTCCCTTTCATGAAGGACGAGCAGGGAGGCAAGAAGGAAAAGCTGGCAGCCGAGGTGGTTGATGTGGAGCCGAAGCCAGTCGAGGGAATTGGTGAGTGAGCTTCGATCGATGTTCATCGGTATGTTGGCTAACTTATTTGCAGCACACAAGTAGGAACTGGCGGTTCACAAGATTGGCCCTCTAACCGAGGAGAAAGATGTCAGACCTGAGGGGCCCTTGATGACGAGCCCCTATCGAAAATACTTCAGCCGTCATAGACAGAGAGTAGATGTAGTCTCCAGCCGCTGCCCAAAAAAATCTAATTTGACCAGCCTTTGCCTGTGGGTTAACCTGTCGGACAATCTGTGGAATAGACTCCTCTGGGACGATCTGCTCTGGGATGACCTCTGGAAAAATCTCCTCCAGCATGACTCCTGAATCTAAGTGGGTGTTGCTTGCTTCCAGCGAATTTCGGAATACACGGCAAGCTTTTGAGTTGCACATGGACATGTGAGCACTTTGTTCCCTAGTTCTGACAGAATGTACGACCGGATATTTCAGTTGCTGCATTCTTAGTCCTTGAAGGTGGAGTAGAGATGCGATTCATTTTTCATACAACACATCTTGCCTGTTCGGACGGAACAGCACCGATGTCTGTCATCGGGCGACCGTCCCACCCATCTACATATCTATAACGGAGTCATGAATCTTAAAATCCAACGCTATGCGTGTGCAAAATCATGTCTAGGCGCCTACCGCCCCCATCACTTCTTCTGCTGCATCGTCTTCAGCTGCCTCTCGACCAGCCTCATCGTGCCCCTCGGAATCCTCAGCCTGCTTCCCAACACCAGGGCGCCGGTGAGCAGGGCCAGGGCGCCGGCCTGGTGGGTGGCAGCCAGGTGGGTGGGCACGATGTAGATGAGAGTGGTGATGCCGAGGGTGACCTGCATAAGCATGAGGTGCAGCAGGCCCATGGCGCCCTTGCGGGCGTCGGCGGGCAAGACCGCCTTGACCCTGCGGGTGCGGCTGTACGTAAACAGGGCCAGCACCGAGGCGCAGACGGTCATGGCCAGCATGCGGTGGTCGAGCTGGACCAGGCTGGGGTTCTCGAGGATGTTGCGCCACCACAGGTCGGAGCCGTCCTCCTTGCGAGAGTAGAAGTTGTCCCACAGCTCAGAGCTGGGAGGAGTGATGCCGGTGCCCATCATGGGGAACTCGTTGTAGATCAGGCCGGCGTCCAGGCCGGCGACGAGTCCGCCGGACATGGCGGTCACGAAGACGAGGGCGGTCAGGGCGGCGGTGTAGCGCTTGAAGGGGGCGAGGGCCGGGCTGGACAGGGCCTTGACGAGCTTGGAGGCGGCGGCCGGGTCGGCGAGCAGCTTGTGGGTGCGCAGGATGGACAGGCCGGCGAGGAGCATCCAGGAGTAGCAGACGAAGGCGGTGGACAGGTGGGTAGTCAGGCGGTACTGGGAGACGCGCGGGTGGGCGCCGGGGGCGAACAGGTCGTCCTTGAGGCCCGAGGCGACCATCCACCAGCCAATGAAGCCTTGGAAGCCGATCAGGCCCGAGATGCCGACGAGGTTCCAGGCCATGCGCTTGGTGACCCTCCTGCGCGCAATGAAGTAGATGGTGGGCAGCACGAAGGTCATTCCGATGACGCGACCCCAGATGCGGTGCGTCCACTCCATGAAGTAGATCTTCTTGAACTCGTCAAGGTCCATGTGCGGGTTCAGCTTGATGTATTCGGGCGAGGCGCGGTACTTTGCGAATTCGGACTCCCAGTCCTCGGCGGACATGGGAGGGAGGGAGCCGGTGACGGGGCGCCATTCGGTTATACTCAGACTGTGAGAGAGGCGTTTAGCATGGTCATGACGGTGCTGTTCATATGACGGTAGGGGAAGAGAGCGCATACCCAGACTCTGTCAACCGGGTCAGGCCACCAAAGACGACGATGCCAAAGACGCTGGCGGCACTACCCAGCAGCCAGTAGGCGACGGACTTGGAGCTGGTGTCAGGGAAAGAACTGCTCCTTGACTTGGACTTGTCATTGGATTCGGCGGCTGGCTCGGCAGCATATTCGATGCTCGCAGCTGGGGAGCTGGTGGCCTTGTTGCTGGTGGAGTTGCTGAGATATCGTGCCGAGGAAGGGGCCGGTGCCTGGAGCTGTCGCACGGTTCGAGACCGAGCCAGGAAGGAAAGCAGAGAGGGAGGCGCAGAGGCTTTCTGTCCGGTCGTCTTGAGACACTGGCGGCAGACAAAGGGCGAGGCAGAGGTCGAGGTCGAGGTCGAGGTCGAGGTCGAGGTCGAGAAGGAGGACGGCGAGGACAGTCGCGATAGCTGGTTGGCCAGCCCTCGCAGGCCGGCACGCCGGATCGGCGCTGGCTGGAGATATGCCATGATGCCGCCGGCTCAGAGATCCGAGTTCAGAGGCGATATCTTGTTGCTGAAGACAGACCCATTGGGTGGGTTGACGGGGTTGTGGAGGGCCTCCGGGCGGAAATGCTTCAAGCAGACCTTCGTGTAAGTGCAAAGCGAGGTCGAGAAAGACCCAATCAATCAGGTCATCAACGACTTTTTGCCAGTGGGCTGATTGGCGCGGCGCCATGGTCCTCGGCACGGCGCGGCAGGGATCATCGCACGAGCATCCAGGGTCCAGACAGGGCACCCGCAGCTCAAACTCATCAATACCTTGAGCCGCTCAGCGACCTCCAGAGCACAGCTTAAAGCACAGCTTCAACAGCCGTCGCTCTTGCGCAGGGGCACCAATAGAGCATGGCATGGTGCAGCTAAGGGTGGGCTCCAAATATCCCTCCTCGTTCTGGACATGGATGCTGACTTTGTCTCTGCAGAACCAGGCGAGCTCGAAGCTCCCGCTGAGCATGAACGTGAAAATGGGCGACCACGGGAGGGCCATGCACATTGTCAACTGCTCCATCCGTCCCCACCTGAGAGCTGCTCTCACTGCCGGTCGTTCTCTCACATCCACGCCCGTCTGCTGTATATCCTCTCTATCAAAGCCTTCCTCGCCTCAGAAGTTCGGACACAACGCTCTACGCAGGCCGTTGGGTCCCCGCCTGGCAAGCATTCTTCAGGTCTCCCGTAAAAACAGCACATCACACCAGGAGCTCCCGTTACCGGCAGTGCAGACAGATGGCATCAACAACAGCCTCCGTTCTACTCCGTCTTTTGACCAATTCGCCGGGCAGGTCCTCCGGCAGTCGACCAAAACCCCACAGGCTGAGCTCACTCGCGAAGCTGGCTCTGAGGAGGGCTCGTCTATACGCCCGCCCACTACGAGCCCTGGCCTCCTTTTGCTGAGTCTCTTCAAACGCCTTGTACCGCGCGGTCTTCTGCCCCAGGTCACCACCGAGCCGCCTTCTCCTGTCGGTCATGAACCAGCTTGGACTGTAACCATATCTCTATGTGAATTGGGCATCGACGTAAAAGGTCGTGGCTCAAACATCCTCTTCGCCGAGGTTGCTGCTGCTATCGAACTCGACCTCGCGTTGAGCAGCCCTGAGATTGTTGCTAAGCTGTCGTCTTGTTCACAGACCCGACTCTCGCCCACAGACGCAAAGAACATAGAACAGAGCTATTGGCAATTCGTCCACGCCTCCAGTGGCGCCCTCAAGAGAACTACCACAGAGCTAGACTCGGGTGCTTTTGAGGTCCGCACCTTTGCAGGGAGCACCCAGATCGGAGATCCTGTGACGTCGGCTGTCAAGGAATCCGCCAGAGGCATCCAAAGTTTGACCCTGGCCCATGCAATCATCAATGGTCATCCGGATTTGTGGCCCGTAAGCCTTGAGAACCCCTTCCAGGCCAGGATTGTGCTCGATCACGCACGCTTGGAGAAGCTGCAACATCTGATCACGGCAACGAACGACTATCTCCGCACGGCACCCGGACATGTGATCGGCGGGAAAGGGCGCGGCACCTTTTATAGGCCCACCCAAGAAGGTCCTGAACAAGATACCGTTAATGCCCGAGGAGGGTTCGAGGGTGCGCCCCACCGTGATATCCCAGATCTCCAATCATGGCTTGCGGCCTTGCCATTCCCGCCCTTCAGAGCCAAGATGCTGGTCGCAGGTGCAAGTATCAGGTGCCTGGAGCATGCCATCCTCCTCGCTGCCATCGAGAAGCATGCTGTCTATCGGGGAACGGCCAGTCGTGGTAAAGAGGATGACGGCTATAGAAACCCTGCTACCACGAACGTAATGGAAGGCGATCATCCTGGCGTGCTCTTGTTATTCCAGCGACTCCGTGATGAAGGATGGGCCATAAGGAAGCAAATGCGGCTCCCCAAGACCGAGGACGGTGCAGAGAAGTCTTCTCAGCTCCACGATGATGCACAAGATCAAGACATGGAAGACGTGACGCCTGACACGAATGATCCAGTAGGTCATCACGAGGGCTTTCAGGCTTTACCCAACGGCTTCCCCGAGCCCTTGGAAACATCCTCCACGAACGAGGCAATGGTCGCTAGGCGATTCAATCATTTCGATCCTGATGCGATAGCCTCAGTCAATGCTGCTGCCAGAGAAATCGAGCGTTCTATGATCACAGCTGGTCTTGTGGGCTACCCAAAGGAGGCATCCTACATCAGCGTCCCCGGGAGTGAGCTTAAGGTACGAGCAGAACCATACGGCGGCAATTTGAGCCGGACCACGCACAAAAGGAGCACGCTCCGCCATCTCCTAGTGTTGGGCTTCCCCGAGAACATTGCTCAAATCGGGTACGGCACTCTAGCTCCTGGACAACCACCGCAGCTACGCATCAATTCCGAGGAAGTGTATATGGACTCGCCGCTCAAAGCCCCCATGCCTCAAAAGCAACTCCACAAGAACTTGAGGGCTGGTCCCATGATGGTTGTCACTGGGGTGACTAGCAATCCAGAAGGTGGCGGCCTCAGCGCTCGTTATTGCACCCCTCTCTCCACCTGGGAAGCTGTTCTCTTGGGGAAAGACTTGACCCTTCCCGATGGCAAGGAGACTCCTGTGGCAGGCGCTGTCCAAGTGCTCGTCAACAACTGGTTTCCGGTTCTAGTCAAGTCAGAGGTTGAGGGGGTCTCGAATGAGCAAGCCCGGGACACGCTCTTCGAGGCGCGCGAGGCGCTCCACCGCGCGATCGACAAGGCGATGTACGACTACGTCAAGTACTCGTGGCACTCTGTTGACTTCTATGATTTATTAATGGACCTGCCGAATGAGGACAGTTTTCAAGCCATGGCGATGCCCAAGGAAAAGCGGGACGCAATGAAAAACGAGCCTCGGAGACCACGGCCTAGGGAATATCAGCCTCATCGTCAAGATCGAATGATCAAGGACGTCAACAAGTGAGCTCGAGAGATATCGCGCACAGCCGGTGCGGTGACGCAGTTCCTGAGCTAGGTCAGGACGTCTAATCAATAGCCAACTTGGATGTGTGCAGCATCAGAACAGGCAGCATTCCGGCCTTTCGCAAGCCCAAAGACGTGGGGAAAACCTCTCTGGGCGGTGGTGCTGCCTAGCTCAAGCACAGGGCCTCGAAGAGCAGCAAATGTACCATTCACCGGACGCCACCAGCACGTTCGCATTATTGTTGAGAGGTTACAAAAAAGACAAGCACATCAACAACCGCTCACGCACTTCCTTGAGTGACCATGCAAACGGCACTTCGGTGCCCTCAGCAAGGTCGGATTCAGTTAGCAATTGACTAAGAATTTTCAGCACAAAGAGATATTGCCTCCCCAGCGGCTGGCGCAAGACTCTGCTTGCTTGTGCATGTGGCCATCTCCAGGCACTTGGACCTCGTTAGCAAGGAGATTGCTCGTCAATGGTTATGTGCTTGCTGCAGGCTGCTGCAGTATGCAGCTACAGTTCCTGCATGAGCGCAGGAGAATCCCTTCGGTTCCCACCTCCGAGCCTACGGCAGCTTGTCCCCTAGCGTTTGCAGGGCAGCCTGCGGCTGTGTTATATCCGGACTGTCCGGACGACCTCCGGAGGCGATTTGCCTGCCAGAACGGTGTCGAAGGCCGGCAACGCTTGTGGACTGGACCCACAACGGCTTATTCCAAATGGAAGTCCCGCGGAGGCTGGGACAGCGAGGCGTACTGTTCTTTCCATCCTGGGTGCACGATGTCCCGCAGGGATGTTGTAGGGCTCTGGGCACCAGATTGACGAATCTGAACCAGCAGATCGATGATCAATGCACTAGACCAGAGAGATACTGCGCCTTGGAAAGGGATCGGAAATAGTCGAAATGAGTGTGGGGACCGAGGCATCCTAAAGATCTGGATTATGGAGACTGCAGGGAAACCCAAGCCCCCTTCTGACGTATATATTAGGGTAGTGATCCATCTGGCAGACAATGTCTCTAGTACGATCCCTCTCCTCAGAGCTTTCAAAGGCTTCGCCCTCGTTTTTCAGTCGCTTCGAAGCTTCCTCTTACTTCCCCCTGGGTCGTCATGTTGGTCAGCTTGCTCACTCTGGCCGCCCTTGCTGGGGCGGCTTTTGGATCGCCTCTCAGAAGGAACAACCTGACCGATACTCCGTCGGTGAACTTGGGATATGAGATCCATACGGCTACCACGAATGTGCGCAGAATACCTGTCCCTGCCATATGTATAACGATCTCGGCTGACCTGCTATGTAGTCGTCTGGTGGCTACTACATCTTCTCCAACATCCCCTACGCGGAGCAGCCTACCGGTGACCTGCGGTTCCACACCGTTGGCCTCCCTCAGGGGAACAGCTCTGGTGTCAACAACGGCTTGGAGGACATGATTTGCATGCAGTCGTATCCCAAGTGGATTATTGAGCTCACGGCTCAGTCGAACGGCGTATCGACCGAGGTGATGGAGCAGATTATGCTCTCCCAGGCAGGACAGACCGAGGCCTGTTTGGCGCTTGATGTTCATGTACCTACCGACGTCTTCGAGAAAAATACGACAGAACAAGGTGTGTAGTCATCTGCCTTGGCGCTCCCTGCCAGACTTCCGTCGTTGCACAAACTGACATTGAGTAGCACCTGTCCTGGTATGGATTCACGGTGGTGGCTTCACGTCCGGATCCAAGACCTCGGTAGGAAGCCCGGCTGGCATTATCGCGCGCTCAAAGCTCAACGACAACGAGGGTGTCATTGTTGTATCGATCAACTATCGTCTTGGCCTGTTCGGCTGGCTTGGCGCTGGCGGTATTACCCCTAACCTCGGTCTCTACGACCAACGCGTCGCCCTGGAATGGGTCCAGAAGTATATCGGTCGCTTTGGAGGAGACGCAGCTCGTGTCACCACGATTGGCGAGAGTGCTGGTGCAACAAGCATCCTTCACCACATTACAGCCTACGGCGGAGAAGGCTCGCTCCCCTTCGCTCAGGGCATCATCCAGTCTCCGGCCTTCCAATTCAACCTCAACCTGACAGACGCTTACGAGGCTACACTGACTGAGGCGACAAATGCCACTGGAAAAGCCATCACAAACGCCTCCGAGCTCGCCTCCCTGGACTCCGAGACGCTGAAAGCCATCAACTTCGGCGCCGTCAAGGCAGCACCCCAAGGCCAGTTTACATACGGCCCAGCCCCTGACAGAACCTACGTGCCCGCCCTTCCCCAGGTCCTCCTCGCGCAAGGCAATTTTCACTCAAATGTCAACGTCATGGCGGCACACAACTCGTTCGAAGCCGCCCCCTTCGTGCCCTCCACCATCGCCAGCGAGGAAGACCTGATCCAGGCGCTCACGGCCAGCTTCCCCGAGATCGCGAACATGACGCACGTCCTCGACACGCTGTACCCGGCGTCCGACTACCAAAACGACTTCCTCCGAGGCGTGCAGCTCGTCAGCGACGTCGACTTTAGCTGTACGACGCGGTATCTCGCCCTCGCCCTCGGCAACCAGACGTACAACTACATCTTCGCGGTGCCACCGGGCTACCACGCCCAGGACACTTCGTACACCTTCTTCAATGGTGACACCAGCACCCTTAATGACGGCGTCGCCGTCGACGCGAACCTGGCGGCCGCGCTGCAGGACTACATCGTCGGCTTCGCGGCTACGGGTGTGCCAGACGACAACCCGGCCGGCACGGCGCCCGAGTTCCCCGTCTACGGGGAGGACGCGGCTGTGGCCCGGATCACAGCTGAGGGCGTTGTTGCTGGGACGGATGATACGGCTAATGAGAGGTGTGCTTGGTGGCAGCAGGCTATGGTTGAGGGAATTGTATAGATAGAGTATAGAAATGGGCTCAAGGCTTTTGGATTACCTCTGGTGTGGCCACATAATCATAATCCGCGAATACTCTCCCGGTTTGAATGTCAAGCTGCCATAAAATGTGAACATTTTGCTACCTCGTGTGTATACCCGACAAGACTACCTTGGAATAACGCCTGCTGTTCATGACTCTCTTGCTAGCAAGTCGCACGCTGATGGAAGGGATGTGCATTGATTATTTGAGTCTGCGAGTTTCTACGGACCTCGTTGGAGTCTCGAGACTAATTGGAATCCTCTGAAAACAGATGCTCTGCACAAAGATTCAATACTCAGCAACAGCACTGAGTCAGGCCTTCTCAAGCCTCAGGTCTCCGAATTTCTCCACCGTCAAATGCGATCGCCAGTTACACCACGTGCTCCCTTTCAGATCGGAGAAGGTTCCGCTGTTCACATATGGGCGGAATGATCACCTGCATGCCACGTACTTGCGCTTACTAGAGATATGCCTAGTTAGGCTCTGGTGGATGCTCTTCGCCTCGGAGGCGTAGATCCGGAGCCCGCGGTGACGCACACAATACAGTCACGAGGGACCCCGATGGGCGACAAGCCTCATCGAGCAAGTACTGTACATGGTAGATTGGTGCCTTAATTTTCTTGACATACAGGCTGCCGAGTACTAATCACTATAGTCAACACTTGCACTTTTGGAGCCGAGTGGCTGCTGTGGCGTTATAGATGAAGGTGGCCTGACGTTGAGATAGACAAGTCATTGCACTTTTACATGTAACACGAAGCATGATTACCAGATTCTTCGGAGCCATGCAGCTTGGGAAACAATGCATATGCATGCTACGAGATCGGTTGATTGGGTGTCGGCCAAGGCTTTGTACTTCTCGCATGCGCTGGGACTGCGCGCCGAGCCAGGAGATTGAGGATCAAAAGTACACACACACACACACACACACACACGATATCTCTTTCCCTTCCGCGTCTATGCACAGAGCACGGAATCGCATCACATTTCAGGTTAAGCACGGACGCCACACGCGGGTGGGATGCGCATATTCACCCGTTCACCGGTGTCAGGGCGGCCAAGGACAAGCAAGAAGATGCACGAATGTGCCTAGGGTAGGGATCATGATAATCTTCTCACACCAACTTTTGTCCTGTTCGGCGTATTTGTGTCATATTCTTTCAATGTGGTAAGGCTCCACTTCCGCACATGTATATACAAGATGACAGCTGTCGTATCTCACAACGTTGCCAGCTTAGGGGGCCGACCTCGCCATTGGGAAAAAGCAAATACGTCTCGGTCAGCTGCTGAGGCGATGGGCCATTTGTGGAAGCGGATCATCTCTTCTCTGTGACTTTCTTTGACCGGTCACGAAATCGAGTTATCAGAGCCGCGGAAAAAGGAATAGCTTGTTGGTGTCGCGAGGATAATCGAGGCCAGGCCCGGAAATGTTGCACTTCGCTGGCGAGCATAATGGGGACGGACTGTTGGTGCAAAGCTGAATGATATACCCTTGCTCAGATCACGCCTTGCTTTATGTCGAGTTTTCTTATATCAATGCACCTTCTCCGTGATATTGACGACTTGAATACGGTGTGCCCCATCTTTCCATTTCGTTATCCATTCGGTCCCAAGGAGCCAAAATGAGTCTCAATTTGGACAACCTCACCAGCATTTCGCTGGCTTCACCACATGCCCTAGCCTGGTCAATCTTTTCCGATGGTTTCGGCTTCGTGTCCAGCCTCTTTATCTGGTTATGTGTAGCCACGCTCTTCGCTGGGTTCGTTGTGGCCAAGACTCAGCAGCAAAAGTCTTTCAAAGAGCTATGTGATGCCACAGGAAACATGATTCCTGATGGGCCCACGCCTATGCCAATACTTGGTAAGGTTCTAGCCTAGATCATGACAACAGACAGATACAAAAAAACCAGAGAACTAAGTAACCTGTCAGGATCCTTCCCGTTTCTGACACAGTACCCTGAACTTACCCTCGACAAATGGGCAAAGAAATTCGGAAGTCTGTATTCCGTATGGCTCGGCAACCAGTTGTTCGTCATCGTTTCCAGCCCGCAGGTTGCTAAAGACCTCATGGTGACACACGGTGCGGTGTTCTCCTCCCGGAAGGAGATGTTCATCAAGAGCCAGACCGTCTTTGCAGGGCGTGGTATCACAGCCACGCCATACAACGACCGCTGGCGAAAACACCGGCGCATTGCCTCCGGCTGGCTGAGCCAAAAGGCTGTCGATCAGTATACTTCTGTTCTCGACCGTGAGGCCACCGATATGATGGTCGCTCTTTACGAGGCAAGCGGTGGAGGGAAGAACCTGGTCAATCCGCAGCCATATGCGGGACGATGCTCCTTGAATAACATGTTGACCATCGTCTTTGGGACGAGAACAGGCTCTGTCAACCACCCCATGGTGAGCGCCGCTCTCAGGCTCAGCCGGGAATTCATGTAAGCCGCTCGTTGAACATCCTGTCTGAAGAGCTTCCTGAGCCGAGACTGATATTATTCGTAACCTAAGGAACTGCACTGGACCCATGTCCAACCTGGTTGACTTCATCCCGATTCTCCAACACTTGCCCTTCCCACTACGGACACGTGGTCGCAGATTACACAAGGATCTGGTGGATACTTACGGTGGTTTGATCAACGATATCGACAGGCGTATGCAGCGCGGCGAAGACGTCCCTGCATCCCTGGCGAAGACCATGCTCCAGGTCCGCGAGACAGAGCAGCTCGACCATCTCGACATGGCAATCACTGCGTCAGCCTTCATGATCGGCGGTGTTGAGACGGTCGGTCACTACACTTGAACTCACCCTTGTGCACGAGAGAGTACCGCTAACCGAGATGGGATACAGACGGCTTCCATCATGCAGTGGTTCTCTGCCCTCATCCCAGCTTACCCCGAGATCCAAAGAAGGGCCCAGGAAGAGCTTGATCGAGTTGTGGGCCGTGATCGGCTCCCAACTGTGGAAGACGAGGCAGGTCTGCCATATATCCATGCTATCGTCAAGGAAGTCGAGCGCTGCCACAACCCCTTCTGGCTCGGCACCCCTCATGTTGCCTCGGAGAACTTTACCTATAATGGGAACTTCATCCCCAAAGACACAGTCATGGTGTTGAATACTTGGACAATGCATCATGACGAGAATAGACATCACAATCCGATGGACTTCAACGTGAGTTCCGTTTCTCTAGAACACATCCAGCCCTGGACCCAGAGGAACAAATTGCTGAAGTGACATAACCAAACACAGCCGGATCGATACCTCGGCGACCCCCTCACGTCCGCCCAGTCCTCCAGCCTCACCGACCCATACCAGCGTGACCACTGGATGTTTGGGGCTGGAAGGAGGATATGCCCGGGCATGATAGTCGCGGAGCGCGAGATCTGGCTGGCCATCTCCCGGCTCATATGGGCCTTCACGCTGGAGCAGGTCCCAGGCCACCCAATCGATCTCCGGGAATACGATGGACTGAGCGGCAGGTCGCCTGTGCCGTTCCACATCAGGCTCATCCCGCGACACGAAAATGTCAAGAGAGTGCTGGATGCTGCTCCGGTGAAGAGTAGCTGCGTCCGTGTGAGGTAGAGCGAACATGGGAGGTCTCTTCACATCTTGGCGTCGGGAGTGCGTGGAAGGTTGATATAAGCTCTGCTTCCGTCCCAAATCTTTCTTCTGTATGGCGTAGTAGTGGACCTTGTGTGTTTGAGCAGTCAACGTTGTGGGCGCGGTGGCTGGTAAATTCTGCGAGCAGCCGTCCTCAGACCTTGTTCGGGTACTTATTCGGGAGATCCCATGGAAACTAGGAAATCAATATCCAGGGTTAGTTATATCACGCTTGCGAAGTTGAGAACCTCGTGAACATGTGACGCTCGGTTCCTTCCTGCGCCGGAGTCTCGGGGCACCCGTCCCAATGCAACATCAGGGGGTCGGCCACCCGGTTGAAGCTGACCATTGCTGACGACCCCACCAAAGTCCCCGAGGAATAATGGGCCTCGCAAAGGAGATGGCTGCCAGTTGGTGAGGACCCCAAATCAACGATCTGGCCAAGATGCATGAACTGTGAAGTCATACGATGCCAGCAAATGGCCCGATGTTGACGACGCATGGATCTCGCTCCATGGTGAGAGGCTCGGGGAGCACAAGGGAATAAAGACAGGCTTAGGCTTGTCTTGTCCTGTACGACGGCAGACTGACAGAGCTACAGCAAGGGCCAATCAGAGCTCCAAGGAACTTGATGACCAGGACGCCCCACATCCGCCAGTCCTTTTTTGCCAGGGAAGCAGGTCTCTTCAAAAAGAAGGTTCCGCTGAAGAGGGAAAGAGGCATAAGGGTATATTAATCTGACCTTCTTCAGTCTCTGTCGCTTTCTGAGTTGCCTGGTAGCCTCACTTGATCTGGTTGTTGCCTCTGTCACCACCTGGACATCCTCCTCCAAACCACCGCCAATCAGGCCGAAGCGTTTGCCAAGTTCGCTCTTCGAGGCCGAAAGAAACCCTCCTCAACGACGGCACTTGGACGAAGCTGGGCCTGCCGGGCTGCATACGAAACCGAAATCTTGCACATCAAGCACATCATGGCCAATCCCTCAGAAGCAGCCCCACTGCTTGGCAACGGCACCGCCAACGGGCGTCATCACCACGCCCGGCTTCACGGAGCCGAACCGGCCGTCGAGCGGGCCCCACTCAATTCACCACTGCTCCGGCCCGACGCTCTCAGACGGCCTTCGCAGAGGCACCTCGCACACCAGCACGATCCCCACCACCACTCCGAGGAGCACAGCAGCAATGGGGACACGATTCGGGACATCACCAGTAAGTGGCCGGCCTGTTTATGGATTTTTGATTGAACTGTTCGCAGTGGAATATTTACGATGGTGAGAACACTTCACTGACCCAAGCAACAGTCGGCTTCGCAGACGGCCTCACCGTTCCCTTCGCCCTGACAGCCGGCCTCTCCTCGCTGGGGAGCACCAAGCTCGTCGTCATCGGCGGCCTGGCCGAGCTCTTCTCGGGCATGATCAGCATGGGGCTGGGGGCCTACCTGGCCGCCGCCACCGAGCGCCAGCACTGGGAGGCCGAGTACGAGCGCGAGCGCTGGGAGGTCGACCACTGCCCGGACCGCGAGCGCGAGGAGATCTACGAGGTGTTCGACAAGTACGGCATCTCGCGGGGGGCCGCCCGCGGGGTCGTCGAGGAGCTGTGCGTCACGGGCGACCCCAAGCGCGAGGAGGGGTGGCTGCGCTTCATGATGGACTTTGAGCTGCAGCTGCCCGAGCCCGACACCAGCGCCGCCTGGGTCTCGGCCGTCACCATGGGCCTGAGCTACTTCGTTGGCGGGCTGATCCCCATGATTCCTTACTTCATCATGGACTCGGCCCAGCAGGCACTTTTGGTCAGCATCGCCATCACGGTCGTCATCCTGCTTGTGTTTGGCTACGTCAAGACCTGGGTCACCATCCACAACAAGAGGGCCGGCGTGTGGGGCGCTCTGCACACCCTGCTGATCGGTGCCCTGGCTGCGGGTACGAGTTACGGCATTGTGAGGCTCCTCGATTCCGGCGATGGGTCCACTTGAAAAGCATAGATCTGTGCGCTTCGGCTTGTGTGGTTTGTTGGTGTTCTGGACGGGGGCAAATGTGGCGTTCGGTAATGCAGGAGATTTCGGCGCGCCGAGGATGCGGAACTTGACACCCTTCTAAGTTCACGATCAGTCATGACCAAAGTTGGAGAGCAACTTGTTCGCGTAGCCTACCCCGGTGACTCTTCCGTGACATCTGCCCATAATTGTAACTGAAGACGCCTACGGCTACCAGCACAGCCAGCACCCTAATGGGACGTACTATGCCGCGTTGGTGAGCCCTGCTCTTGCGTGTATTGGGTGATAATTCAGATATTCACTTGGCAGTCATCTTCTTAAAAGACTTCCTCGCAAGCCTCGCCACACCAGATCAGCTGATCGGTAGAACCGACCCTGGGACGGGACAGAAATTGCGGTCTTGAGAGCCTATGATGCAAGATAACCTCTGCCGCCTGTCCCCAAACGCCGCCCAGTACGTTGTCAAGGTCTAGCGACTTCGGTTCCGGCTAACATTCACTCGGCAACTCTTCTTGGAAGTAATGGTTGAGTGGGCGAGCGTTACAAATTATAATAGCTGCTCAAGAGCGAGGGCAGAACGACTGCGCACAAGGTTGAAGGCTGAGTTTCTGACCGGACAACTCCTAACGAAGCTACGGGCACCATCGGGCACCATCGGGTCAAAATCACAGAACACCCTCCATACTCTCAACGAACGCTCTGAGCGCCATACTATTTCGCGGGCTATGGTGGTTTTTCCTCGTGTCAGCACCCGGGCTTTCATTGCAACATGACGAGGACGCGAGGTTCGGGCCATCGTTGGCAAATGGAGAGGATGACAAATGCTTTCGGCTGTGGAATAAATTGAAACACAAGCACATAACTTCCTGGCGTTTATTGCCAGGCAAGCTGAACTAATGTCTCGGTGATGTTTTGCTGGAGGCGAATATCTTGTAACAGTGCACCTTGCATGTGAGCAGTACCGGCATATTGCCTGCACGCTGCCGGTTTGCCGCAGAACGTCAATGAAAAATAGGACTATACATTGAAAGTACAACGATCCGCTGATTGGAGCCAACCGGATTTTGCTTTGTGAGCGGGGCTGTAGGCATGACACGTCTGTCAGTCTTCGGCAAGCACTCGAGTGAGTACACATTGCCATCATTCGGAAGACCCTGCGTGCGTAATGTCTTGGCTTAATGTTTCGCCTTCGCCACAAAGCCAGTTTGAGGCTTCCCATCATTTGAAGTGCGAGGCCAACTTATCTTCCAGGTGCCATGGCTGTTCGGGTACCAAGGCCGTTGCATGCACCCCGATCGGGAGAGTGGCTTACGCTGACAGCCGTCACCACCAACACTTGCACGAAACGGCAGTCAGCATCACCGGCATTTCTCGCCACTGGGGGACTTAAAAAGAGATTTCCATGTAGAACAATTTTGGGTCATTCCAGTTTCAATCAATCTACCCATCACAGACAATCAGACAGTTATCCGTGATCTGACACAACCTCCCACCGAAAAGCCTAGACACACACGCTGGCTCCCTTCCAATACTTTCTCTTTTCCTCCGCAGACAGTCCCGAAGTCAAGATGGTCCGCGTTGCCAACGTCGTCCTCCGCAACCGCGGCGGTGCCACCACCAAGGAGACAGAGGGTGCATCTGTCAAGGGTGCCGATCTCAACGTCACCGCCGCTCCTGCCCCTACCCCAGCAGAGCCCGAGACAACGGACGAGGCCACCACTGGCGCCGTCGCTGAGGTTTGCGCCGACGTCGCAGCCGGGGACGCTACCGAGGAGGAGGCGACCCCCGCCAGGACCAAGCGCGCCGCCCGCCGCAGCTCAGCCGACAAGACCGGCAAGAAGGAGGCTCGCAAGGCCGAGCGGGTAGAGAAGAAGGAGGTCCGCCAGGAGAAGCGCGACACCAAGAAGGTTGCGAAGAAGGAGGCCCGCAAGGAGGCCAACGACGCCAAGAAGGAGGCCCGGGCTGCCGCTGCCGCCGAGAAGAAGGAGAAGGCTGCCGCCGCCGCAGCAGCAGCAGCCGAGAACCCCGAGAGCGCTGGATACTTCGCCAGGCTCCTGAGCTGGGGCAGGGGTAGCCCGAAAAAGGAGGGCGAGGAGAAGGTCGAGGGCGTCGAGAGCTCCGACGAAGAGGACGAGGAGACTCAGGTGGAAGAGGCCGCCGAAGGCCAGACTCAGGAGCCGTCTGTTGAGCCTGCGGATGAGCTCTATGTTGTCAACGACATCCCCATCAAGATGACAGTTGCCCAGCCTCAGCCCATTGCTGCCTGCTGAAGATGTATCAGCTGCGTCCTTGAGATGCCTTTCGTTCTTCCAGGAGCTGTCGGTGAGAGTCAGCGTCGCAGTCTTGCATTTCAGTCACTTTCTGAAGGTTAGCGGATAGAGGTAGTCAATGATCCTTCACTTTGTCAGCGGAGATGCCCTTGGCTTTGGCTTTGTTTGTATAGTCATCCAATAAGTGTGACCATGTTGACTAGAATTTGATACCCTCACAGTGGGCTTACTGGAGGGATACTATATAAATATGACGACTTGTTCAATGCACACTGACAGGAGTAGTGCCGTAAGCCAACCTATGTGTATTTGGTGAGCGCCAGGCACCTTTGTCTGGTAGGATACCGTCTATCCTTTCACCTATCACCACTGGGGGAAAAGTTGGAGGTCTCGGCTGGAAACATTTTTTCAAATACAGTAAATTCGGGGACACCTTACCTGAATTTCCTTCTCTTGTGTTACGAGAAGGCTTCACATCACAAGACTCTGCCAACTCAGACCGACTCGCAATTGTGCTTTATGAACAAACGTAAATTCGCCGAAGATTTCCCGGCGACTAAGACCACAGTTTCCGGATTTTAGCCGTCGGGACGTCATTCCAACAAGTGTCCTCCACCAGGGCGGCTGTGAATGTGTAGGAATCTGTAAGTGCTTCGTACATAAGTACCCACCGCTCCCTTTCAGCTTGGATCTCTCTGATTTCAGTGCCTGCCTAGCATCAAACCCAATTACCCGCCAAAATGCCTGCAAACACGGAGAAAGATGCTGCCACCATTGAATATGCAAAGACTTTGGCACACACCCCGTGGTGCGATGACTACGAGAAAATGATCTCGGGAGTCCTGTATGGTCATCTTTACCCACAGAGTAATTGCTCTATTTTCAAAACAAATCGCTGACGATATGAGATCAGATACGATGCGCAAGTGCCCGAACTGGTGGATGGCCGCTTCCGTGCACGAAAGTTTATGCACAAATACAACCACCATTTCCCAGACGATGCCACCCCAGAGTCGCTCACCGCAGACCGGGAAAAGCTGCTCAAGGAGCACTTTGGCAAGGTCGGCAAAGGTGTCTTCATCGAGCCCCCGTTGAACGTCGACTACGGCTGCAACATCTCCCTGGGGGATAACTTCTACTCCAATTTCAAGTATGAACGCCTGCCCTAATAACTCCCAAACTTATGGCGATATCGTATGTTGATCAATGCATTCCTCAGCCTCGTAGTCCTTGACTGCGGCATGGTGCGCATCGGACACAGAGTCATGTGAGTACAAGTTTTCCCCTTTCACAACTCCCCATCAGTTATGTTTTTTAATCCTCCAGAATGGATTATTGTGGGTTCCATATCAGGTGACTGACAAACTGCAGGTTCGGGCCGTTCGTGTCCATCTTTGCGGCCACGCACGAGACGGGCGTGCAGTCGCGGCGGGACGGCGTCGAGTACGCGGGTCAGGTGACCATCGGCGACGACTGCTGGATCGGCGGCAACGTGACGATAATGCCAGGTGTCACCATCGGCAAGGGTTGTACTGTTGGCTCTGGCAGTATCGTCACCAAGGACATCCCAGAATTCTCGGTCGCTATTGGGAACCCGGCCCGGGTGGTGAAGAAGGTCGACCCAGTGCCGGATATCAGATCGACTCAGGGTGAGCCTGTGAAAACGATTCCAGAGCCATATTAGATGATGGCTTCCCAGCCGTGAGGTTCTAGAAGTAGAGCTAGAAAACGAGCCTCATCTTTGATTTAAAATTATTATACTAGACTAAAGACAGACAACTAGACCAAGGCTTGATTGACACACTTAGCAGCAACTATGGACACTAGAAGCCTTATAAGATCTTCAAAAGGCACATACATCGTGTCCAAGCTTTTTCCAAGACACAAAGCCTGCCACATAACACAATATTGCATGGCAGGCTTGACTATATCTCTCACCATTTCCATGTAACCCTCTCAGGCCCAAGACTCCGTGAAAGGACATTGGTCAAGACCTCGAAGGTAACTTCTGTACGGTAAATTTTGCACGGTAATTCCTGTACAGGACGGGGATAAACATGATGCTGATTTCCTTCCATGGTTTGGAATGTGAATGCTACTACCAATGAGCCATGTAGCAAGTGTGGCACATAATCGTATTTGCTCCAGTTCAGGTCTTCAATTACGCCAACGTTAAGATCAATGGCTCACATGAGCTAAGATCCACAGTAGTCACACATGCAAACATCTGGCCAGAGTCACCGAGTTCGGAGTATTCACATTGGGGCAAGATCAGATTTGCCGTTTGTAAATGCTAGTCTCAGTAAATCAGTACCGGTGACAAGGATCTTTCCAGTCACACATATCAAAGCTGAAGTGAAGTCCTCTGTTATGATCTTGTTGAGCAAGGCCAAAACCAGGGGCATTGGATCGCAGCCAACTCCTTCTTTCTTCCACAATGGAATTCCATCGAAACCTCATCCTCAAACAAACACAGACCAGCACCAGCAAGGCGGTGTTTGGCTGTGGGGGAGGACCGTCGAAAGTTTTTGTCCTTGTGCAATTGATTTGGACAGTCCACCATGATGCGTATCAAGCATATTCGTGCACCGGTCGTCAGCAAGCTCAAACGCAAGGCCGACACCGACGTTCCCACCTGTATGAATGGCCGCCCAACCAAACGACACCAGATCGTCGACGACAGCCTGATTGAAGGCTTTGCCAAGCTCCTTGCCCAACGCTACCTCGACGGCCTTCCGCAAGAGATCCTCCTCAACATCTTCCAGCACTTTGCCGAGCCCTGGGTCCTGACCGACGGCCTTGCCGACTGGGAGGTGTACATGCTCGACCGAGAGAGCAGGATCAGGCAGCAGACCCTCATCTCACTCACCAAGACATGCCGCCGCCTCAACCTGCCTGCTACGAGCATTCTCTATCGATGCGCCCACCTTCCGACGCACAGGTCGGTCCTCCACTTCCTCAACTCCCTTCGCATCCAGCCGAACCTCGCCGAGCTGGTCAAACAGATCTCATGCCCCCACGAGGTTCTGATGTCTCTCACCTACGCGTTAATCCGACCCCCTGGCGACGAAAGCTCGTCCGGCACCGCACTCGTCCGTCGAATGGGATGTTCGATCGGAATTCCACGCGACGTTGATCAGCCTTTCCAGTGGTACTACGCGTACTACCGCATTGCTGTGCACCGCAAAGTCCTTGACTGGATTTTGGAACGCGCACCAGGAATCAGGGCTCTCTCGGTGACCTGTCACAGCCCATGGCACAGGAGCCACCCGATCAGCCACCTGCCGCTGGAGCATCTCTCAAAGCTGAGCATCGCCATGCCAGCCCAGCCCGAGGCCTTCATGAGGGACCCGAGTGGTGAATACCCCATAGTAACATGGCTGACTAAATCTGCCCTCGGCCAGTACCGTGCCCTCAAGCAGCTGGAGCTCCTCCACCCTCGCGGGAAATGGATTGCCCGTCTCGTGACCGTCGAGGCTACCGCCGATCCAGGCTCCAATTGCATCGAGAAGTACGTCGAGTCGCTGACGACACTCAGGCGGACCGGCGGCGCATTCGCCGAGTGGGACCTCTTGAGCCTGCAGCAAGACATCTTCAGCCCAGCGCACTTCCACACTCTCGACTACGCGGGCCAGAGCCGGCGATGCACAGGAGCCTGCTCAAAGATCCAGGCGTCTGGCTGGGACATCAACCGCTTCCTAGCGACCACGGGCCGGGGCACCAGACAACTGGATCTCGACTGGGAGAACGACCACATCCAACTGGGCCAGCTGGGGCCTACGGGCACACTCACATCGCTCCCGATGCTCGCGAACCTGACCCACCTCACCGTGTCGATGCAGGTCCTCTTCCAGCAGCAGTTCATCTTCTACAACCAGCTCAACACCATCCTCGACGACCCGGGCGCCGAGCTCGCGCGCATGTTCCCGCCCTCCCTGCGCGTCCTCCGCATCAGCGAGTTCATGCTCGGCGTGCTGCGGCCCCGGGACCCGGGCGCCGAGGACCGCAGCGTCGGCAGCTACAACGGCCTGCTGTTCCGGTTCGTGGAGCTCCTGCGCGCCCACTGGCTCGACGCCCGCGGCGACAGGGAGCTGTGGTTCAGGTACTGCCTCAGGCTGGAGCGCCACCCGCGCATGGCCGGCGAGAGGTCGCGCTGCATGCTGAGGTGGCTCGTCAGCCCCCAGCGGCACCAGGACGTGGGCAGGGGGTTCGCGCGCGTGTGGCGCATGCTTCCTCCTTGTGCTGCTGCCGTCCGCGAGCGGGGCGAGGCGAGATGAGAGACGGCCGGCTAGATCCAGAGTCCTGCTGCAGAGTACCGGGTCCGCATGGACCGACGGTCGTAGAACGAAAGCAAACATGTCGACAGAACGAGTAGGTAAAAAAAAAAGGGCAGCGACTCGACGCGTGCATAGGAATTTCTTGAGGGCGCGGGCACAACTGCGCACGTAGATAGATAGATGCGGATAATCCTAGATTGATCACACACAGGGGCAGACGAGGAAATTTACCGTTCACTCAACTTCAGGCCCTACCTCTCGAGTATTAGACTTCCGCTGTAAATGACTGGCCAAGATACGCCCGCTGGACTTTTGCGGTAGCTGATCTCGGTGTGTTTGAGTGGTGTTTGTTCCTAATATCTTGCTTGGTCCATCACACACTCGCCTGGCTGGAAGAAGTGGATGGCATCCTCATAAGCGAAGTGGAAATGTATTTACGGCCTGACACGACATGCACGGCTCCCTGCTTCATCGTCCAGCCAGGATGGCTGGTTCAACTGTCCTGATGTAAATTGGTAAACACCAGCACAAGCAGTCTTTAGTGGCATGCAGTACTGGAAGACGAAAAGGCTCTTGGAAATGTCCGAGCCCAAACAAGCTCAAGAGGACACAAGAAAAATCCCAATGATGGCGAGCCCAAATTCCGTGGCTTGGATTGCGCATTTGAGCAGGAGTCGTGCCGCCCTTTAGCTCTGTAAAAATGTGTTTGTGGCAACTTACCTCCCAGTTTTTCCTGTGCCGTTTGCCTTCGCAGCTCTTCAAATCCTGAAAGGGACTACCCACAAGTCCCCTAGTAGATGGCCTAATTGGGCACGCAGGTTAGAAACCTAATCTAGCAAGCACCACATGCGTTCTTTTGATGACATCTCAACTGAAGAGGTGTGATTTTATAATTCAAATCGAGCTTATCACAAGTCCGATTGCACCGTCCCTGGCTCATTTCGATTTTTCTATGCACACAAATCAACTAACTAGCTCGCCGGTGTTTGAACCTCCATTTTCCTTCCCGAGACCAAGGAATCCAGGAACTGTCGCCTTCGATATAATGAACCATCGCTTCGAGGGCCTGCTTCATCGCAGGGCCGGAGTAAAGACACGTTCTGTAGTGCTTCTGCCCTTTATGGAACTTCACGTCGCGGGGAGCTCGAGGAGTGTGGTGTGTGAGGCCGATGTGTTCTGTTTCCGTCACATCCCTAAGATGCAGGTGCCGCAGCTCGTCACTCAACTCGGTTTCCAGCGATTTAAGGAATTCCACCCAAACGCTGCCCGGGGCCCTGGGAGTCGACGCATGGTCCTGCAGCCTTGTTTCCAGATGCACCTGATGAAGCTGCAATTTCTGCAACGTCGGAGCAAAGTTTCGTGCCACCGAAAGCAAGGCTTGCACACGGATTCCGTAAATAAGTCGGAGAGATAGTTCTTGAAGGTAGCTGAAAGTGATAGCTGGGGGCGATTGCGGCAGAGCACCTAGAGTAGCTCCCTCAGAAGCAGGAACTGACGCGAGCCATTCGACGAAGCCGTCGTACAGATTCTCGAGGCTGTTGAGAGTAAGACTTAGGTTGTGCAGTCGAGTCACATGCTGCAGAAAGACGCGAACATCATACGTCGAGATTCCTTGAGGCTTCTTCACACCAGTAAGACTTGGGCACAGAACTGGTCCTACATTGCTGCCAGGAGAAACACTGAGGCGGAGGCTCTCGAGCTGTGCAAGGACTGGGATGACCGACAGGGCAATGCGTGCTGGGATATGCAATGCTTTACAGTGGAAGCCAAAACTTGAATTGCCTGCAACCTTCAATTCTTTCGGGCGGGCGTCGGCCTTGCCCAAAGCGAGAAGCGTGGAGTAAAAGAAGGCCCTCTGGGAATGGATGTGGCCGCGGACAGTCGGACGTTCTCTCCTCGCGGCTGCTTCTATCATCTCCTCCTGTTTAAGAAGGATCTTCCTCAGGCCCAAGCTTCTCAGCCTCGCAGAAAGATCCCGAGGCGCCGTTGACATGCTGTATGAAGAAGCGCTTTGTACATTCCGGATCGGATCAACTGTACCGATTTAAGGTTCAGAAGCGCTTCGGTAAGCATCTCCCCATAACATTCAGTTGAAATGAGAGCGTCCTGATCGGCTGTCAGGCGTGTCTCCGAAGGGGGCCCAGAAGGACGCGAATCACAAGAAGACCCCTCGGTGGAGCGGAGAACCTCTGCCGACACGCTGAGGCATTTTATAAAAGGTCCCAAGCGCGATTTGGATATGTCGATAAGAGTCTGGGTACTCTCTGGTGTGCGCATGACACGACATCTCGTGAAAGAATCGCGGGCGAAGCATGAGAACATGGACGCTTCGATGCGTCTGCAGGTGAGTCGGCAGGCAGCGTAGTCCTTCCACTCGAGATGGGCGACCACATTGGTCAACAACTCGACTGGGAGATATGACAGCATATCTGTGGCCATTCTCGGGATCTGATGGCCTTGATTGTTCGACAGAATCCAAAGAAGAATGCCGAGCCAAGCCTCGGGGTTGGTGGTCATTTGTTTGGGCCTACAAAGGATTCTGCCATCAGACGTGTTCAACTTCAACGCCCAAGCTACGGAATATTGCTGCGACCTACCTTTTGAATTGGCTTTTCCGCGAAGGTCTCAGTGTCTGAAAGAAGGCCTTTGTTGGCTGAGGTGACGAATTAGGTCGAATGGGGTACGTAGAGGGGACTTCTACATTAGTCGCCGGCGGACTTGGAACCCAGCCTCGACAAGTGGAAAGAAGCTGGCGGAGGGTGCGAGGTGGAAGATGCCCAGATGAGAATTGAGAAAATGCAAAAGTATATTACCTTTGAGGCCCTCAGTGGGGAAAGGCGACCGTAAAGGAGTTAGATTACTAGATGTCGAGATGAAGGCAGGGCGGGCCGAAGCAGGCAGTACGGTGGGTCGTCCAAGGCCGAGTGTAGTGATGCCTTCCCAGCCACGCTGGCTCGACAACGGTGGCAGGCAGCAGCACGGTGGGACCTTGGTCTCACCTCTTGGTGAGGATCATCTGTCAAACAAACACTTCCCCTTCCCAAGTGCTCAGAGAACACCGGCTTACCCCATCCAAGTTTGCTTCATAAGTGAACGAAGGGGCCAGGGCCATCAGATACCAGGAAGCTAACCAACGTCCTCTAGGCCTCAGTCGTCTTCCAGTTATTTTACTAGGGAGCAACACGCACAACACACATGGCAGCAAACCCAACGAATCTGGGTCTTTCACAGGAAACCGAATTCGATTTTCCACATCTCTTGTACCAGAGCAGCTCCAGAGCAGTCCTAAGTGTGGCCAGGCGCGCAGAAACCACTGCGTGTGCTTCGCCTGTTGCTCCCATCGAGAACCAACGGCCATACCTGCCAGGCCAGTCCTTCCATTCCTTTCAACGCCTCCGGGAATTCCCACAATGGTCTCTCTGCCAGATGAATCAAGAGAGTTTGAAGATGAGAAGAAGCCTTCACTGCAACCACCCGCTACAATCAACAGTCGAGTTGCACCATCTCTCTCCCAGACTTGGGAAGTCCTCTTTCCGGCCTGCCATCCGTTCTAAGTCATCCCGACATTCCATATGATCAGTACATGGTTTTCCCTACACGTGGCCATTCAGGCCCATGAATTGACGACTGTCGGCACTGAACGTCTCTCATCCAGTATTGCCGGGTCCTTTGCAGCATAGCAAAGTAGAAAAAAACATGGTTGTACATATCCCATCCATCCATTCATCCATGTCGTAGGACCCGCCCGGCCACGGCCGCTCTCTCCACAAACGACACAAGGGGGCAGAAACCAATGCCACCCAGCGCTGACGGCTTGCCCGAAGGACGAGGTTTGAGGTGAACCCTTTGGCTTCGTCATCAAGGTTGTCTTGGTCGCAGTCACCTCGGCGGCGGCTCGACAATCCCCTTGGAAATCTCCGGGCTTGGAGATCATCCCCGCCCCCAAGGGTGCGTGGTCGCTCCACGAAGCCTTCCTCCTGAGCATATTCTCAGAACATCTCAGCCAGTCGCCTTTGACCTTGGGCCAAGTCCTCAATAAAATGAGAAAGTCGCCGGCCGGCTTCCGCAGGATGCAATAATCGAAAATGTGACCAGACAGAACCATAAAAATGCTTGAAGTCTGCGGTCAAATATGTGCAGGCGAATCGATATATGAGAGTGTTGATCTTGGCAACATGGACGCTGATGTTGTTTACAAAGGCTGATCGCTTGCGCGAAACAATCGTCGAAGTGGAACTCGGGTATTGGGTTCGTTCATTGGCCGCCCTTGCGTGCCTTCTCTTGGGCTCTGGCCTCGCGTGCTGCACGCACCAGGGGCGATAGTTGGGCCAAGTCAACACATTCCTTCATAAATTCATGCTACAAAACTTTGTTAGCGTCTCATTCCAGGTCATAGATGAGGAAGCAAAGTAATGCAAACAACGTACTCTGAGGAGATCGTGCGCGCTCGCTCGTTTCTCCGGGTCCACCTTCAGGGCAAAGTACAAGAAGTCCCGGAAAACTGCTGAGAGGCTGTTCTCGTCCTTGATGGTCGGAGTACCGTTGGTAGCGATGAGCCAAAGAGCCCGCAGAGGAGACTCAGTCAGATATGGCGGCTCTCCCTCGATCATTTCGATAGCCATGATGCCGAGCGACCAAATGTCGACCTTTCTTCCGTACTCCTTACGGGTGACAACCTCAGGAGCCATCCAGTACGGCGTTCCAACCATCGTCGTTCTCTTGTTATGGGCCTCGTTGATGGTAGCACAGAACCCAAAATCGGCTGTTCAACCACGTTAGCGCCCGATACACACCGGGTCTACGAAACACACTTACTGAGCTTGATGTGGCCCTCCATCGACAGCAAGATGTTGTCGGACTTGATATCGCGATGGATAACGCCCTTGGAGTGAAGATGTTGTAGCCCCTTCAGGGTCTCTCTGCAGACCGAGGCAATCTGTCCCTCGGTCATGATGTTGAACGTAACGACGTCAGTTAGGCTTCCTCCCTCCATATACTCCATGACAACCCAAAGCTCTCCTCCGCAAAGGTAGCTGTCGATGAAGTTGACAATGTTGGGATGGGAGCTCTCCTTCATGACCAGGATCTCGTTGATGATCAGGTCCTTCTTGGGCTGCTGCTCCAGGTTCATCTGCTTGATGGCGACCAATCTGTTGCTGCCTCTCTCGTGTCCAGTAAACACTCCACCAGAGGCACCCTGGCCGATCTTCGAGAACCCACGGTAAATCTCTCGAGGGTCACCTTCCGAACAGATGCGCTTGAGCGAAGCGATGACGTCGATTCCATTGCTGTGTCTCTGTTGTCGCTGGCGAGGCCTGGCGCCTGGCACAGCGCCAACCTGCGGCTGTTGAGGTCGCTGCGCCCCGTTCTGCTCAGGGCCTCTTGTGAACTGGTGTTGCGACTGAGGTGGAGTCGGCTGCTGGTTCTGCTGTCTCTTGCTTGGGGCTCGGCCGACCTGGCCTGTCATTGCTGCTTGCGCCTGGGCCATCGCCTGTTCTTGCTGCTGCTGCATCAACTGCTGCTGGTACGCGGCCGGGGAAGGCTGGACGGGAGGGGAGGGGGCGGGGGCGGGGGTGGTTGGGACGTTGACCCGGGAATTCGACCTGGACCTTGATCGGTGCTCTTCGGGCAGCATGGTCGGGGGCTCCTTCGGGTGGTTGTATGGGCCTTCGTCGCCTGCTGATGGCATACCGATGCCAGAATCTTTGGTCGGGTAGGGAGCCGGGGCATTCGCGCGGTTCGACATGGAGACCGGGGGCTTGGGGGCTGGCCGGTTGGGCATCAGGTTGATATCCTTGGAAGGATGGGAACCAAAACCTTTCGGGACCGGAGGGGGGGACCGGGGATTTTCGAAACTGCCTTCAATATTCTGAGGAAACCGCGGGCTAGCAGGCGGGCTTATCATAGGTGACATACCCGTATATCCAGGTGGGGGCAACGTGGCCGACCCAGGCTGAGAGTTCATCTGGCGCATCTCGGGGGCTCGAACATCATGGAACTTCTCCAGGTTCTGGTCCTCGTGAGGCTTCTCTGTTGTCTCCTTGTAGAATGTGAGCACGTCGACGAGCATCTGCGGATTCGCCTGTCTGTCCTTCTCAGGGATGCCGCTCTCGTTGATCAGTCGTTGCCATTCCTTGGGTAGTCCCTGTCGCAGGCACGGGTTAGTAGACGGTCTCGACGCTCAATTGACGGAATCAAGTCGACTGTCAGTCAAGTTTGGGGGGCGACCAACCGTGAATTGGCCAGTGGAGCTATCATAACCAACGTGGGTGACATGGACAGGATTCTCGGGCGCTGAGATGAGCGGCTTCTTGGGCGAGCCGACCAGACTGGTCATGAAGCCGGTGAAGCCAGACTTCTTCCTGAGGACCGACGGCATCTTGGGCTCCTTTGCCTCGTCCGAGAATCTCTTGGGCCCATTCAATTGATTCTCGGGCACCTTGGCGCCCTGTGACTTCTCGGCGGCCATGATGTCGGGAGCAGCCGAGAAGCTGGCGGACTGATCGAGAGTCGGGCCAGGAACACGGGGATCTGGTGAGGCGTAGGCAGAGTGTGGGATCGACGGTCGCTGGTGGGCGGTGGGGGATTTCGTGGCTTCGATGCGGTTGAGGATCGCAGATCCGTCGAATGGGGCGCCGATGAATTCTTCGGAAGCCTTGGAATGGAGGCGACGATGAGTGGACGTGGCCGAGGCCGTGCCGTGATTAAGATTGTTGTTGTGGGGATCGGACAGACGATAGTGGTCCCTGCGGGCAGGGTCGCGGTTGGCACTGGCGGATTGGGGGTAGGATGAGAAGGAGAGGCCGGCAAACTCGCTGCTGGGCACGATCGGGGAGGGATTCAGTGAGCGCTGGGAATAAGTGGCACCGGCAGTGGCAGTTGCAGTGGCAGCAGCAGCGCTGTGGGCAGAGGTGGGAGGATGCCGTGGTGAGGAACTGTTTGACGCGTTGGAGGTGGGAGTCCTTGCGGGTGGAGCACTTGGCGCTCGCCTCAGACTCGTGGAGCTGCGTTTGCTCTGGATAGATTGGGTGTCAAACCGACCATCGATGCTGTTGGAGCTGCGGTGCTGGTGCTGGTGCTGGTACTGGCTGTGCGAACTGGGTGGTTTCTTTGTAAGTCTTCGTCGCGAGGAGTTGCTCGAGGCGAGATTAGTGTTGTTTTGGCTTGAGCCGTCCATGATCCAACGCAACGTCGAAGACCGGGCGGAAAGAGGGGGGGTAAGAAAGGCAAAACGGAAGAATGCTGACGGTATGAAAGCCGGGAGATGGACGGACAGGGCGAGACAGGGCAGGGCGTGTGGGATGAGAAGGCGGAAGGGGCCCGAGCCTCTGGGCGGTCTACCAATGAAGACGTCGGACGGAGATGAGCAGAGGGATGCGCGCTGGAAGATGCGAGGCCGGGCCTGAGCATGAGCGCGCGAGCCTGACAGGTGCAGCCAGAGCCAGAGAACCAGAAAATGCACTGAGAGCAATGCGAGGGAACGAGCGGATGGGGAATGGTGCACGTTGGAAATGAATAAGGTCGCCCGCCCTTTTGCCTGGGGAAAACCTGGGAGCTTTGTCTTGGCCGTGGACCTCTCCTGACTGCTGCTTTTGAGGGCAGCCCGAGTCCAGTTGATAAAACTTGCGTGTTGCTTGCCGCGGTTGGGCGCAAGGCCGCGCAACCTTGGAAGGCCAGGTCGGTGATTGAATGATTATCAGGTAGGTACCCAGACAGGTAGGTATGTACGCGGTATGCAGTTGCAGCGCAGGTGACGATGGGGCTTGTCTGCTGGCGCGGGTGCAATTAACAACAACGGTTGTTGTGTGTACACCCCCCTCGATACTACTGCCGCTGCTCGCTGGTGCTGGTGCTCCTCTTCCTCTCTCTTTCTCTCACTCCTGCGTACAGGATCGACCAGCTTTACAGCAGGGGGGCCGAAAGAAGCTCGGCTGAGCTTCACGACAGCGACCGTATCTACAGCTGTTGCTCACACAGTGGCAACTGTTCCCCGGGGGCCTTTTGAGCTGGCAAGTGCAAGCAAGCTTCGATGGAAGTCCTCCTGTGTGGGACGACGGCAGGACGGGGGCTTCGACGGGGGGGGCCTCGAAGTTGCGTGTTGCGGGCCAGCAGCAGCTGGGTGGGGTCGGAGGTTTTGGGCAAGGGATCAGGGAGATCAACGATGGGGGTGTCCTTGTGCGGGATGCGTCAGGACAGGAGGCGCTGAGTGGCCCGCTTGCCCTTGCTGTCCCTGCTCTTGATGGGCCCTCCTTGCGGGCGAGGAGGGGCAGACGCGACAGGTGATAGGCGCGGTGCGGGCGAGGGGTAGGGCGAGCCAGCGGGCGTGTCTGTAGTAGCTGAGACGGCGACAGGTGACAGGCGACAGGCGGCAGGGCGCAGAGCTGGAGACGGAGAGGAAGCCAACGAAGCTGGTGGGATGGAATGCGGACCGTACTGGCCAGAGCTGCCACACTGGGTTGAGGCGCCAACTGCCACCACCCCGGGAGTCAAACAGACAGTAGCCACAGTAATCAGTGCCCAGCGGTCAATCGACGGTGACTGCTGACGGTGACGGTGGCTGACCGGACTGCTAGTGCAGTAGGGGTAAGGTGCAGCGCAGGTAGTGTGATGTCTGTGGTGTTGTTGCTGATCCCCCAAGGTCCCAGTGGTTTGGCGACGAGAGGGAGCAGCCGTCGACCGTTGCGAGGCGAGACCGAGACGGTGCCTGGGCTGGGCTCTGGACCTGTCGGCTGCACTGGGCTCAGTTTCTCGAGATGCTTGCTCCTGATCACCAGACGCTCACGTCTCTTGTCGTTTCGAGGACGGGTCAGTCAAGGTCAGGCCGATGAGGTGATTCGGGCTGCGTTCCTTGCTTTTTTTGGCGGCGCCTAGGCACAGACTGGTACGGTGCTGGAACGGCCAGAACGGTTGGCAGGTCGCAGGCTTGTGCTGCTGCTTGCTGCTGCTTGCTGCTGCTGCCCTGTTTTGCTGCTTCTCGTTCCATTGGAAGCTGCTCCTTTTTCGCACCTGCGGTTTTTGGCACCCATCGATCGCTCAGGGCCAGGGTTGGAGGTACAATGGCCATGTATACCGTATACAATGCTGACTTCATGGTGTGGGCTGGTGGGAATTCGCACGCTGTGCACGGTGCATCTTTTGGTGGTTTAGACGATGAATACAGTGCGAATTGTGTCCGGCGCTAATCTGGTGGGGAGCAGGGGTCAGCGGGAACAATCCATGGTGGGGCCCCACCAGGAGCAACATTGAACCTAGGAGGGCATGTTGGAGCTTCCAAGATTCCTGCCCTCCTGGCCCCTTCTTGCTGTTGTTCTCTTCGTTGCTGCCACTGCACTGCACAATGACTGACGCTGTCTGGGCAGCCCGGCAGCGTGCAGACAGACTGACAGAAGACCAGAGGGTCTTTTTCATATCCAGTTCTCAACTTTGAACCTGCCTGCAGGGCCCAGGAAGCCAGGTCAGAAGGCAATTCTCGCAGTCACCCAAACAAGGGCAGCATTGCACATGCAGGGTCCGAGCCAAACAAAGTCTATTCCAAGGCTGTTTTATTTTGTTGTGATTCTGTTCCTCGCCAGGGGCCCCGGGGATGGAGACCGAGGAGCAAGCATAAATTGACCGTGGACGGCTCTGGGTGCAATCATGTTCGGCTTCTGCTTCCGTGTAACCGAGCTGGTCCTCACTTCTGGCCCCCCTTGGTCCTGTGTGCGACTACGTTAAATGAGGCAATGATTTGCCACACTTCCGTCCAGCCTGTCTTGTTCCCTGGTCCAACCCTCACCTCGTCTATTGCCTTCAGACCACTGTTTTCGATGAGAAAACACTCTCGTATATCTGAGTGGTCCTGCTCCCGACGAGCAGACCCTGCTGTGCTTGGTGACGTATGTGTCGAGAGCTTCTTCCCCGTTGGACAATCCAGTGACACAAGACACAATCACTACCGAGGTAGAGTCGCGTCATCAGAGCAGGGACACGCGGGAGCACATCGGACAGGAGACCAGGGTCACTGGGGCAAATTCGGAATACGCTGCTGGCGGTCGGACGCTATTAGGCATTGCTCCCGGGAAACGTATTCTCGGATGACGCCCGCAGCATAGCGCAGCATAGCGGAAGGCCAGTAAGCCTCTCAACCGGACATATTCCCGCGACGAAGGGTTACTGTTTTCTGTCCACTAGGGCAGCATCGCCTGTGGGCGATCACTACTTTCACCTCATAAACGGAACTCAACGCACGTCCACAAGCAGTCGGGGGCCTCCAGTGAGGTCGAGCGCCACCGGCCATCCGAGCTGCCGGCCTGCTGACGCCGGGCCCGGTTCGTATCCTGAGCTCTGATAAGCAAAACATCGGACCAAGCAGCTGCGGACGACATGGCTTCGAGGCCAAGCCTGCGCTTTCATGGGACGTCAATGCGAGCGAGACCGTCGATCTGGCCGCCCTCGCATTCTGTTGAGAGACGAAAGTACGTGGCCAGTCGCTGAGGGAAGGGCTTACAGGGTACTCATCTATCTGCCTACCCACGCATCTACCATGAAGAGAACCTACGGGAGGACAGCTGCTGGCGGGCGAGCTTGGGTATGCTCTCGTTTTGGCAAAGTGTGGCTCCTGGCCGCAGCCGCGTCGGTCCGGGAGGGAAAAGCACCGAGCACGAGACGACACTCGTAGCAACGGAGATCGTTTCCAGTCTTCTTATTCTTCCCTAGACGGAAGACGACGTGTTGATCGGTCGTCTTGCTAGTACGAACTCGCATATCGCAAGGCTGTGCACATATTTGTGGTGGTCTGCAATGCTCAAAGCATGATACCGATGGACAGTGCGTAGCTCTCCGATTGACGAAGATGTGTGTGCTTCTGCCATCGATCAACATCCATGACTGAGACCTCATTCTGTCCATTTACTCTCTTTGCTTCAGCACTTGTTCCTTTGCCCTCCAAAATGCCACTACGCACTGGTCCACTTCCGGACAAGGTGGCTAGAGCTGTCTGTCTCTCCTCAGGCGTGCGCCCGTTCCCATGCGTTCACCATTTTTCGTTCAGTCAACATCGACAACAGCACGCGATCGAGCACCACAGACTGGGTAGCCATCGCCAGTCCTTCGTCGCCCAGCGCCAGATGGGGTAATCCGTCCCCCACAATCTTGGTCAAGTCCAGCAACGCAGTCCGTGAACACAAGAAGACGGAGTCTACTCGTGCGGAACGCAAGGCTTGTTTCCGTTGTCCCAAGGCACACCACAGCGCCGGCTGCAAAAGTCGCAGAACACAGTCTTGAAGCCGTCGTACGGGTTGACCAAAGCGAACTTCTGCACCGCGCCAGAAGCTATCTCGGCAGACGTCCGCTTGACCAGGTCCCCGCGCCAGATTATGTTGCTGCAGCCCGTACACGCGCAGTCCGCGTGCTGCAGGTTCCAGTCCATGGATGTCTGAAAGACGCCCTCGAGGCCGGCGGACTGGCAAAAGAGTTCTGCTCTCACCAAGGCGTGGGCAAAGGGGCCAATGTGGTTGAGCCGCAGGATTTGCTGCATGACCCGGTGTCCGCCGTCGAGGAAGTCGGTGACATGCCGCATGGTGAGGAAGAAGCGCGCAGTCCGAACCCAGAGCCCGCTGGTGGCAGGGACGACGCGCGCCGCCCTCGCGATGGCATCGGCTGTCTGCTCCAGCATGCCGGGTATGTTGGGCTGCTTGAATTGCGCTGATCCCGGAGAACCCACCGTGGAGATGAGGAAGAATCTCGTGAAAAGCGTTGTGATTTGCGTGCTCACACAGGCGGCGGTGAATTGTTGGAGACGCTCAATCTCAAAGAAGTGTGCAACCGTGTGCAGGTCGACCCATATCGAGATGCAGCGATCATACGTAGGACGTGGAATGAGGTCCGCGGGCAACGGTGTGTTAATTGGGTGTTGATCTTGAAGAAGACTTCGTGTTAGAAACTGCCGGATACAGGACATTCAACTGATGTCATCCAAGCGCATGGCTGACTTACAGGTGAACTGCAGGTGTTGCAACATCCAGGTCAAGAAGCTGTGCCGGTCCGACAGTTTGTTGATCACGATCGCCTCGATGGGACTGATATCGCAAGCCTGTTCGGGGAGGTTGGCCTTGATCTGAGACAGCAGCCTACACAGGCGACCTGAACCTTGGGCAATGACGTCTCTGTACGCGAGGGCGTTGAGGACGATTCCGAGCCGGAGGGTGAAGAAGAGGATGCGGCAGTCGAAAGATCTTCCCTGACCCTGCGATGTAGCTGGGCTGTGGTATTGCAAACCATGTTAGTATCAAAATACTAATAGCCTAGAAGACGTTCAAGGCCACTGGCAGCGCCCGCAGTGTGCAAGGGATACAGCAAGTGTGTTGTGGGACAGATAAAGCAGGTCACTTACGAGTCAACTACCGGACGTTGACCACCGTTGGGATCGGCGGGATACTGTGCCGAGGCTTGACCCTGAGTTGTCTCCATGTTGTCTGTGTTCTGATGCGGAAGAGCAAGAAGTTGACAACGAGATGGTGTGGCAGAGGCAACAGTTCAAGAGGGGTGGAGGGCAAGGACGAAGGGGGAAAAGTTTTTGTATGGTGTTTACTAAAAGAAAGTGAAGCATTCCCGGAGTTACTCGAGCCTTTACTCGTTCAGCGGCAAGTGGCATTAGTGATGGCCTACTAGACAACCCTCGAGGATGGCCAGGACGCGCAAGCCGGCGTCCAGAGGCTGTGGGCTTCTTTTTACACATGGCGAGGCATTCCCCGACGCGACGAAAACGTATCGAGATATTCGCCGACGCGGTCAAGACATGTCCGCCAACAGAGGCGAGCCTGCAACAATGCAACTCGAGCGCTTTGTGGCATAAAGCCACATGTGAGTAGGAACGACGTGATATGGGAGGGCCGGGCTATGATGAGAAGCTATGCATACACCACACGACAGCCCCTCGATCTTCTTCACACAGTTGGACAGCGGCTCATAATAACTTGGGCAATACATATTAGCGATGTGGAGAAAGGCAGGTCCGTTCTAGCGGAAGAATGCTGTCGGTATCTGTACTTGATCTTGTGAAGGCAGTTGGAGCCACAGACTATATGTAGTTGTGAATACATGAATAGAAGCATGCAAGAGCAGGCACAGCCCTCGAGTTCCTATGTGTGACTTGACACAGAAGACTTATCTCTTACATGCCACATTGCTTCATGAGAAATGAGGCTTGAAGGAATATCGGAATGAGGTCACTGACAAGAAGCTCAAGTGCTATAGCACTTGTTTCTACAGAACACACCCTCACAGCTGCAGGCCTAGGCTAGGCATCTTGTGCCATGAGGAACCTTGATCAGTATGAGATCGCTACATTTGTCCATACTGGCTGGCTGGCTGATTTGGTGAAGTCAACGTATTTATAACCCGGATGCTTTGCAACCCAGAAAGCAGACTCCAAAATAACTTTTACCTCCCACTGGTCCAAAAATTCAGGTGAGCTTATCATGATTATTGTCCACCGCTCACCACAAGCCCTGCGTGTCATCGGCTTCCAGCACCTGGTGGCCAGGGCCAGAGCTGCTCTACTCCCTCGCCCTGGAACCACTGACACCGTCGCGGACAGCAGCCAGGATCAGGTCCTTGGCTTTCTCAACTCCCTCCTTGGTGCCAATGACCTCGATGGCTTCGCCCTGGTCACGCGGCACATTGATCTTGCAGCCACTCTGTTTGCGGATCGAGTTCACCTTGCTGCCACCCTGGCCAATTACGTGGCGGTATGTCTTCGGGTCAGGCAGGACCAGGTAACCAGTAACGTTGCTCTGTGTCTGCTCCATGGCTGTGGTGATGGCCTTCTTGGCCTTCTCGATGTTCTCCGGAGAGCCCTTGAGCACCCAAGGGATGTCGCCTTCCTCGCTTGAGATGCTCTCTACCACGTTCCAGGAGTGGACTTCGTCAGCAGAAACGTCGTCGTCGGTGATGAGCGGCAGGGCGCCTCCGTTGGCGCGAGGTGCGGCAGTGAGTTTGGGCGGGGGTGTCTGGCCGGCATGGTCAACTGTGACGTGGAAGTCGTTTCTCAGCTTGCGGAAGAATTGTCCACCATTCGAGATGGCTTGGTGAACGCTACGGGGAACCTGGATGGTTTCCGCCGGCTTCTCCTTGGTCAAGTTGGCAATGTGCTCCTTGGCTTTCTCGACGTCAGGCTCCTGGCCGGTGATCTTGACGGCCGTCTCACCGCTTCCCTGCCTGGGAATGTCGATCGAGACCTTGAACTGCGATTCTATCTGCTTCTTGGCGTCACCACCACGGCCAATCAACGACCTGTGCTTCTCAGTCGGTACATCGACTGTGGCTGTGACCTGGCTCTCGCGATGGGCAACGAAGGCCTCAACCTGCTTGATAAGCTTGTCGACCACCTCAGTGCGACCCTCGAGCTTGATCGTGTTGCCGTCGGCTTCCTGCTTCGGGAATTGGATGATCCTAGCCCGCTCACGAGGTTCGTCGGAACCGCCAGCTTCGAGAATCATGGCTCGCAAGTTTGAGCCTGCAACATAATTAGCTTCCGAAGTCAAAAGTCCACGTCAGAGTAAGTATGAGCTGACCTTGAGCACCGATGAGGGCTCTGTGATATTTCCTCTCTACGTCGATGGTCTTGACGACAGTGTCATCAAAGACGGCTTTCTTCTCCTCAATGATCTTCTTGGCCTTCTGGACATTGTCTTTCTTCCCCTTGATTTGAATCTCGACGACAGAATCGGTAGAATCCCGGTCGTTCGGCACATCGATCTTCGTCTCGGTCTGCTGGCGAATTGCCTCCATGGCGGTGCCAGCTTGCCCAATCAAAGATGGTAGCTGCTTCCGTTGGACAGTCACTGTTGCCGTGAAAGAGTTTGTCTTCAGCCAATTAACCAAGTCCTTGAGCTCGTCGTAGGCCTGTGACACGCCTTTGCTTGGGCCCCGAATGATGACTTCGTCCGCAGCTTGTTGGCGGCGGCTCTTGCCAGCCTCATCGCCCGCATCGGCATTGGCGTCGTCATCCTTGCCAGCTTTCTCGCCGCGTGGGAAGAATATGAGGACCTTGTATCGGTTCTGCAGTTTGTTGATCTCGCTGCCCTGGGCACCGATCAGTTCACGGTGGAACTTGGGATCAACTTGAAGTCTCATCGTAGTCTCGTCTGCCCAGCTCTTGCCGAGAGACTCAATGTGTGACCGCGCAGCCGCGGCCTTGGCCTTGGGTCCCTTGAGCTGGACTTGACCGTTTTCGACCTGGATGTCGACATCGAATTTGTCACGAAGCTCCTTGATGTTGCTACCACCCTTGCCAATGAGATGGTTGGCGAACTTCTGGGGAAAGTCAAACTCCAGAATGAAACCGCGTTCCTTCTCGTCGGCCTTCTCCTGCTCAACAAAAGCTCGCACCTTAGCAGCAAGATTCTGAACAGCGGAGGCTGGACCGCGCAGTGTGACATTGAGGCCCAGTTGGCTGACTCGGATCCTTGGCTGGTTGGCGCGTCGCTTGTCCTGCTCCTTTGCGATGAACTTCTTCAGCTTGTCGTGGAACTTAAGGGGCACTTCAACTGTCTCGGCCACGATCCCCTCTTGCTGGCTCAGGAGGTCCTGGATGTGCTTGCGAGCATCGTTCAGGCCCCGCTGGAACTTGCGGACGTCATCTTGAGATGGTGTCGAACGGGGGATCTCGTAGGAGCTCTCGACCGGACCCAGAGCCTCGTAGACGAGGAGGATGGGGCTACCAGGGTCGGATGGGTCGGGGATGACCACCTGGACACCGTAGTTCTCCCGGACATGGGGTCTGATCTCGTTCTGCATGTAAGGATAGTAGAATGGATCAACCTCACTTTGGCCCAGGGTGCTGAACCTCGAAGGAGGGTGGCTCTCGAACAGACTCCGAATGTCAGATGAAGCCGCAGCCAGCTTTTGGCCCTGAGGGATGTAGAGCTCCCAGGGAAGGGCGCCATCCCCAGAGAAAGGAGTGTTGATGTGGGCACGGTACTGCTTCTCCAGGCGGTCAATCTCGCTGCGTTGGCGAAGGTAGCGCGTGACATTCTTGGAGTGTACTGCGCCTTGACCAGGAGCCTGCTTGTTGGTCCACTTCAGGTGGTCGACGTTGTTCATCTGCATGCTCATCGCCAACTGCTCTGCCTTCTCCAGACCCTCCGCGATTTGGTCCGCCGGGCCAACGATGGTGATGGCATCATCATCTTCGTCAGTGGGTAGAATAATGGCGCACCCCGTCTGGTCGAAGAATTCCTCGGGTGACAATGCCGACTCGCCGATGATGAACTGATGACGGCCGCGCTGGATCTCGAGCTGCTGCAGGAGCAGCTGCTCGCGGAGCTCGGCGGCGCGACGCTCGATCTCTGCCTTGAGAGCAAGTACGGCGGCACGCTCGCCTTCCAGCTGGATGTGGTGGTCTGCAGCAGGCTGGAAAGCTGGGCGCTGGCCGGGCCCAGGTACGGCGGTAGTGGCCTGGGATGACCACGTGCGATGGGGCGGGATGCGGATCTGGGCTCCGCTACCAACATTGGGGTTGCTGAGCAGATCTTCCCTGGCGCTTGCGATGAAGGGGTAGAATTCGGCGGGGATTCCCTTCACCTTGGTGTTCACCTTGGCAGCGCGCTCGCCGACGATCTTCTCGATCTCCTGTTTCGCCTGGGCAGCAGAGATGGTGTTCCCTTCAATCTTGACATTTATATAGACATCATCGTCAAGTTCGTCGACAGGTGCACCGCTCTTATCGTCTTTGGGGACCTCGATACGCGCTCCCGTCTTCTCTTGCAGGGCCTTGATGGTAGATCCTTGCTTTCCAATGACATGGGCACGAGCGGACTGGGGGATGGGGACAGAGATGGATTGCTGCGACTGGTCAGCATGGACTGCGGATGGTACATGATGCTCTTGGGAAGGGGAGAGGACGTACAGGAGTGCCAATCTGCTTGACGAGCTCCTTGAGAGCCCGCTGAGCAGCCTCCTGGGGTCCGGTGGCCTCGAAAACAGCTCCATTGGTGGTGGTGTTGCTTGCGATGGAGATGGTGGCACGGGAAGTCCTGTTGAGGTCCTTGATGATGTCGGGAAGAGGACGCCTCAGCTGGTCTCGGCCCTTCATGTGCTCAGGGCGCAGGCGGATGGTCTCGATGTTCTTGCGGCCAGGGATGGAGACCGAGGGGACGGCGGACTTTGCAGTAGGGGTGGCTGCGCCGGAGGAGGGAGTAGCAGCTCGGGGGGTTCCGTTGGCAGGGCTGTGGCCATTCGTCTTGTCGGAGAGGACGTTCCACTTGGGAGCAGTCTTTGCGGCGGGCTGGGGCTTGGGGCCGCCAAGGTCGGGGAACAGCTCACGGGACTGGGTGTCGAGGGTGCTGGCAGCAGGGGCTGTCTCCTTCTGCTTCCCAGCTGCCTTTGTGGACAGGGCAGGAGAGTCGGCGGCAGCGGCAGAGGCATCGTGGGGCTTCAGATCATCATCGGGGACGTCTTCGACAGTGACATGATGACCCTCGGCGGCATGTTGCTGGGCCAGCTTCTGGGCGGCGGACAGTTCCTGGACAGGGGAAGCCATTGTGTGCACGGGCGGCTGGTGAGAAGGGAGACAATACAGGAGACCAAGAGACAGTAACCAGTAGAGGGACTTGACAGGAAGGGCTGTCCAAATCCTGAGGTTATAGGGAGGCGGAGAGTGTTGATGGGAAGAAGACTCGAGGACGGTGTGGAAGGAAGACGGCCACAGCTTGTAAGTGCGTCGTGGAACTTCGAAAGTTGATCAGGAAGAAGCCCACTTCTTTTGCAACCCGCCATTCCTTTTGTGGTGCTAGCGTCATCGGAAGCGCCCCACAACAGGACCCCGACAGCTAGACTTACTGGCCTAGATACTTTGGGTGGAGAGGGACAGAGGTACGTACCTACGCTGCCATGTCACACTGCATGCACGTGCCAGCAGTAGGTACCCAGGTGCTGTCCTAATCCAATTAGCTTAGCACTCTCTCTTCCTTGGAGTGGGTGACTCCGATGGTCTATGATTCCAATCGCAAGCAGACAGCAGTCTGTAGAATGCAGAAGTGTGGCACACTCGGTGGCTGACTGAGGGTGTAAGTGAGTCTTGTCGAGTCAAGCTTTCACATCCCAAAGAGCATTGTTTTATAAAATTTGTCAATATTATGTAGGCATCTAATTAATTATAAATAACATCTCTTCCATGTAGCATCCAGAGCGAACTTCTCATGCTCATATTCAATGAAACTATGCTATCCTGACGACAGAATTAGACAGGGGCTTTGACATGCTCTGAACTTTCGTCCTCATGTTTGATTTGAGAAGCCAAGTATTCCAGTGTGTCATTGATGCTTTCAGGCTGGCCCTTGTACCTAGGTAGTTAGGAAATGTACTTTTGAATAGAGAACCACGGTGAAAATAATAATAAAGTGGACCTTCATGAACCACCGTGAGTTGTTCCATCATCCTGTTCTAGCTCTCATTATGGACAAGGGCCATGTCGTAGCATGATATGTCCGCTTTGAGGATGATGGTGTTGATTTTCCCAAAATGCATGTCCACTTGAGCATTCTTCTGCTACGTCCAGATGGTCTCCAAGTTAGAAAGATAGGGGTTGCCGCATAGAACCATCCTCGTCTCGTCTATATCTGTGGCTTTGGCTCAACAGTAGGTCATGTCCTCAAAGTTGGGAAGATAGGCCCGGTTCAATATGTGATTAAGTGAGTTTACTTAGCTAGATATATGTTAGTGGATTTGGGTGAGTTGCTCATATAGCTGTGAAATCTTTTGAGCTGCACTTACTACTGGGCGCTGTCTCTAGAGTGGAATCGAGAGTGAACGGTGGCCTTCTTAAACACCTTTAGAAATTGAGCTTTGTCCCACATGATTTGGACGGACGATGCTATGTTCGTGGGCAGAAATAATTTAGAAGCTGCCGAGTCCTCCACCGCTGTCAAGCGTTGACTGAGGAGATCATCAATCCGTAATCCCTCCAGAACCTGGCAAGCCTTCGTAAGCCTTCTTCTCTTCCTGAAATCCAATTTCCGGCAATAGTCTGGTCTTTCTCTTTCCTCTGCAAGGACACTGCAGTCAACTGTGCAGTCTCAAATACACTTCTGAGTATGCCGTTTCGGTGTGCACAATGGCGTGCATCATCATGTCCTCCCATATACCCTTCCTTGAGGTTTCATCAAAATGCTCTCGTCAAACTCAGATATACCAGTGATGAGCGCTTCCACCGTCGGCTTCGCCATGCCACTGTCAATACTCGCACATAGACCTGAATTAGACGATCTGCCTAGTTGCTGTATCCAGGACTGTGCTTGAAGTGTTGTGTGTTGTTTAATCCTTGCTTGATCAGCATCCTGAGGGGGTTAAGTTTCTGTGAGAGATTGCACCATCGGATGTGGTCTAGAGCCTGCATGGTGTGGACAGTGTATTTGGGCAGAGAGCAAAGCGTTGGAAGCCACTGGGAGCTCAATGGCGACTGTGTTGTTCCCCTGGGATTTCGAATCCGGTTCCTCCAAAGTTGGGGTTTTGTTGGCGCTGCTCGACTGATCTGATGATGTAGTTCTGAATTCAGGAGATCAGGAGTCCACCTACTGGGCTGAAGGATCTGATATCGAGCCAACCATGTTGTTCATTCTGCCCAGCCTCCAAGCACAGAGACTGTGACATAGTTCACAGTGTGGCCGCTCAGTACACCTTTGAAGTGCACATTTCCGTGTCGAACTCGAATATCAAGTTGATGCTTTCGATATCCTGTGGACCCATGCTTTTGTGACTTCCAATGGATTGCGAGTCTTTCAAGCAGAGCAATGATTATGTGTCGCCTCGTAAGCAAGAGATACTGGCAGTCAACTAAACTTCACAAGTTCGACCAAAGGTCATCCGGCATGCAGCGAAGTCTAAGATTCATTATCACTGACCGTTGTAAGGCTGTGAAAGACAATTTGGGTGCATTCACCTGATTATTCAGCGAACTCAAATAGTCGTTCATGGTCTGTTCATCACAAATGAACCCAACTCAGCATAAGGTTGTTATACCATAGTCCGCGTATTCAGAGTAATCTTTATGATTACCGCACAATTGTTGGAACAACCGGAACGTTTTCAGACTTGTCACAAGAACAATTTGGATCACTTGGTGACAGCGGAGTGCAAGAACAATCGCCACATCATTAGACTGGGCTTGACAGGTAGCATCTTATTCCCAAAAAAGCGATATAATGAATTTTCAACGTAGAGAGACTATCCCTAGACTCTCACTCCCAACGCCTGAGTGGTCTCGTTTTTAATCTGTATACATATGCTTCTAAAGCAGTATGCATCCAGTCCCTTCATACAGTGAAAAATACTTAAACACCCAGCGTTAAAAAAAAATACAATGCCGATAATAGCAGGTTTTGAACATGATCATAGCTTGTGGCTAAGAAAATAGTGACAGCCGCACAGACGAGGCTAGCAAGAACCGCTTCTGGCGGCGCCATAAACCGTCAACACAAGTAGCCCAAGACAAATCTGCCACAGCACTTCGGAGTCAACTTGAGGTATTCAGCCATGCATCTAACCTTGAGTAGACAAATGCCACAGGGAAAGTACTTCTAGTCGGGCAATCCGTCATACGGCAAAGACCAAAATAGTCTCGAAGCAATCCGTCTATAAAATGAACTCCACAAATGCAGTCCCAGCCGAAAACTTGGTCTCTTTACATCCACATCGACACACACCTTCCCAAGGGATCTTCGTGAAACCACAAGAACAACCTCCCAAGAAGACCCTCACCAAGTAAGCTAACCACAATGCCTGAGGAGATAACAAAGCTACCTTGGCATGGTTTGTAAAGTACATATCTGGCTGGTTAACAGCACTGACACTGTATGAAGGGACTGGATGCATATTGCTTAAGAAGCATATGTGTACAGATTAAAAACGAGACCACCTAATAGTACTGAGGAATTTCAAGGGAGCAAGGAATGAACGAGACAACACAACAAAATATTCAAAGCTGTCTTGTTATTGTCAATATAAAACAGAAGCGATACCTTCAACATTGCTGTCCAGAGGCCACAGAACTTACTCCCTTCAATAATTTCCAAACACGAACTGGAGTAGTATTCACTTGTCAACAACCGGTTCTGAAATTGCGGTCACGGGCTAGACTTGATTCTGAGTCTTTAGAACAAGTTGAATGATATATACCAGTATACTTTTACCGTATCTTGAAAGATTCAGAGGGTAGGTGGTAGACCTGTTCGTACCGTGGAACAGAGGAAGGGAATGAGGTGTATCAATTTCCGCACCAGAGAGCCATACAAAATAACCTCGGAAGCCAGTGTCAAGAGGCCTCAAACGTGAAACACTTATAGCCAATGCAAGTCTTACCGCCACTGCCACGAGATCAAGCCAGGTCCAGGCGTTTTACCTCGGCGCTTTTGTTCTGCCCTCAAAGCGCGTATTCGTGGGAAAAAGGAATTCCCATCGCAGGTCATCGCATTGTCAATTGTGGCCGTAAGCATTGCATTTTCTGGGGAAGCTGGGATTTGCTCCGATGCTAAAAGGCGGCATGACCGGGACAAGAGACTTCAAGCATAAGATGTGACGCGTCGAAACACCCCGCATGTTCACACAGTTCATAACGACTCGTCATGGCAACGAGCACGCGTCTGATTCCAAAGGTATGTATACAAAGTGTTCGGACGGCGTTCACCAACTTGCGGTTGCTCTTCAACTGGAGGCCTTTACCCAAGTCACCTTTTATCTCAGTCACTTATTTGCAGAATCGTTTTCCATCGAGAGAAATTCTCCCAGAATCAAACTTGTCTTTCCATACATAAACCCAGGAAAAATGCCCGTCGCTTTCGTCGCAGCATACGAGAAGGGGTCCAACGTTGACAAGGACTACTACGTCAATAAGCATATCCCTCTCGTGACCTCAACCTGTGAGTGTGCCTGCACCGGCCCATATCTTTGCCCTTTCAGGACATTGAAAAGAACGTTGGCTGATTATCTCTGGGGAACTCTAGGGAACGACCCAGCCATGAGCGCTGGACGGCAGCCACGTCCCTGGATGAGAACGACCCGTATGAGGCCGTCTTCCAGGCCGTGTTCGAGAGCAAGGAAGCTCTCGAAAAGTCGCTCAAGGACCTGGGAGAGGAGCAGAATGCTACGTTCTATGAGGACGCGAAGAAGTTCTCAACCAAGGAGCCCAAGGTGTATCACATGGAGATCCGGGCGACTTCCAGCTCCTAGATCCAGGTGGCGAAGGCAGAATATTGGATGCCGGCGGTGCCTGGAGGTTGTGGATGTGATGGTCCAGTCACCGCGTGCAGTCGTGCGACTGCTATGTAGTCCACTCTGAACCCTATATCTGACCGGCCGTTGGCACCGAACTGCAATCAAAATGAATCCTCAAACTTGGACCAAACGTTGGGGATTCAGACCAACCTTATCAGATGTGTTGTCACTCGCGATGTTCCACATGCGAAGTAATGAACGCTAGGGTTAGGTCTTGCTTTTACAGTACAGTGTGATGGACGGGGAGAGGGGTCGCTCTTTATCTTATCGCTCGCTTGCTTGTTCAACCGGGGCAGTGCAACGTCATCCCCGCGCTGCTCTTATGATCTGTGACCCAAAGCAGTCTCGCTGCCGACCTGAAGCTAGCGTTAGCCATGGATTACCTGTTGTTGTTTGCTTTGTGCACCTGACTGCTGCTCCAGCCCGTCCACAGCATTGCCCCTTGTGAACCCCACTGCAGCTGTCGCACGGCGCGATCCGCCCTGTGGATGCGCCGCCTGAGTTTCACCAGCCGAAGAGTCTCCGCCCCGCCTGCACCTTCGGATGAAGGCTGAGTGAGTCGAGTTGAGTGTGCGCGTGACTGCACGACGACGAGCTGCTGTCCATATCTCACCCGGAGATCCCAAGCTCAGCAGCAGACGCAGCTGCGTGTATCACTGGGAGAGGGCTGTTCGCAGATACGAGCCGGCATAATGTTCTCCCAAGTAGGTCATCTCCAGCCAGGACAGTGTAAACACGTCGGTTGACTACGACGCCTCACAACACTGCTCGCCTTGATCCTTGGCAGCCAAGACAATCGCTGATATCCCTTGCAGAAGAAGCCATTTTCGGCTGTCACTGTTACTGTGGAACAGCTGACGAGTGAGGCCTACGAGGAGGATGATCTCAGCGGGATCCCTGACCTCGTCGAGGTTGTCAAGTTGCAGGCCACCGGGCCAGCTGAGGCCGCGCGCGCCATCCGGAAGAAGCTCAAGTACGGCAGCGTCCACCGCCAGCTGAGAGCTCTGACCCTCCTCGATGGCTTGATCCAAAACGCTGGGCCGCGCTTTCAACGCGCATTCGCCGATGAACCGTTGCTTGAACGTCTGCGTGTCTGCGGCACTTCTGACCTGTCGGACCCTGATGTGAAGAAGAAGTGCTCAGAGCTATTCCGGAGCTGGGCCACCGAGTACAACAACACTCCTGGCCTGGAGCGTATCGCCAAGCTGTACAAGGAGCTCCCGAAGCGCAAACAGGTCGTCACCCAGGAACGGTCCCGTGTCATTCGCGAAACGGAAAACCCCTTTGGCGAGGATGAGGACGAGCAGCCGGCGTCTCCAGAGCCAGCACAGCCCTCATCCTCCCGGTCTCCACCGCCCAACTTCAGCACGCCCATAACAGGGCAGGTCAACTCATTCAGCTATGTTTCTTCCTCAAAGGACAAGAAGAAGAAGGACAAGGACAAGAAGAAATCCAAACACCGCAAGTTCAACCTCGAAGCTGAGAAAGACTCGATGAAGACGGCCATCGCAGAGGCATCCATCGCGGCAACGAATCTCATGAACTCACTGCAGAGCATCAACCGTGAGAAAGAGCGGATATCCGAGAACGCAGTTGCCGTGCAGCATTTTGAGGCGTGCAAGCAGTTGCGGCGGAGGATCCTCAGATACGTAAGTCAGATTCATACATGGAAATCCTGGTCTGCGAGCCACGGAACGTCCTCTGACACGGCAGAACACACTAGATCCACCACGTCGAATCCGAGCAGTGGCTCGGCTCCCTCCTGCACGCCAACGACGAGCTCGTCCAGGCCCTCATGACCTTCGAGCAGCTAGACCGCTCCATCGACGCCGACAGCGACTCGGACGACGAGCTGGCCGAGCAGGCCCACATGTACCGCATGATGACCGAGAAGGGCAAGTCGCCCACCTCCCCCGGCAGCCCTACCAGCGCCGTGGCTGGCCTCCACATCGACTCGCCGCCACCTCAGCCGGCCCGTCCTGCGGCGCCTCCAAGGCCATCCGCCGTGTCGAAGCCTTCGTCTCAGCCGTCTGTCCCCGGACGGGCCCCCGCAGAGTATGCCGACGCGTCTGAGGACGAGGACGAGGACGAGAACGACCCCTTCGCAGACCGCAACGCCCTCGCGACCCCTAAGGTGGAGCGCAGCGAGCCAACTTGGTGATTGGGAGCAGCGTTGTTCACCTGGTTTCCTAGCTCTGTCATGCAGGGTCTCCGGCAGCAATCGAGAGAAAGATGATGTATTTCCTCGTAATCTATCCCCCCGAATCTTGGCTCTTGATCCATCTCCACTTATTCCGGAGCACCCTCCCCACCTTGGTCGATTTTCACGCCTGTCGATGCTCGGCATACTATGCCCACGCGAGATAGATACCTTCATAACCAACACGAATCCCCTTCCACGCTTTCCATGAATGCGAACATGTGACATCACTATCCCAATGTAGATATCAAATAGGTAACACGGGCCCGGCGGCGACACTGCCTCTCGACAAGTTCACTTCCTCGTCACGCATAAAGCGCACATTTCATAGTGAACGCGGCCCAACCCAGCCCGGCCAGTCCATCCCTGGCTCTCCCAGCCTCTAACAAGCGGCAAAGAAGAAGTACTCAAACTTGGACCGCTTTTTGGCGACTAGCGTTGTCGAGGGACCAAGAACCGCATTAGGGTCACCGCACCACAGGAACAGCTCTCATGCTGCGGGAAGGTGGGACTGTGCCGATCATGGCCGAGATAGAGTAGCTTTAAGCCACTGTCTGTCTCAAGCAAAGTGATGCCCCCCCTGTCGTTTTGGTCAGCTGTCCCCCCCCCCCCGCACCAAAATTTGGCTGTGAACGCGGAATACGCACCAAGATTCTCATGAACACCCTCATTAATATCATCATGCACCTAATTTAGCAAAAAAGAAGTTATTACAACCCCATTTTACATATATCTTTAAAATAATTAGGAGTAGCAGAATTAACTTAAGCTTATTACGTTAAGGGGCATATATTTTATTAACCCTAGCTTAAGGTAATTATAGCTTATTTAAATTAATAAGTAACTTATTTTAATAATCTTTAAAAAGTAAAAGCTTAATTATTATAACTATATACTTATTTATAATATTAAATTATTTACTTTATTAATAAAGCATATATTAATTAATTAATATTATTATTATATATAAAAAAGTTAATAATAAAGATAAAGATTATTATTATTATAAAATAAAAGCTAATTACTTAATTAAAGCCTTTTTAAAATAAGTAAATAATTATTTAATATATTGCTTAATATATTATTAAGAATGCTTTTAAAGTTATTCTTAATAAGAATAATGCTTTAAGCAGCTTAAATAAAGCTAAAAATACCCATGTTAGTTAAAAGATATTAAGTATATTTAAATCATTGCCATTAGCTAGCAATGTTAAAGGTAGTGATATTAAGAAGCTAAAAAGCCATTCCTTATTAAGGAAGTTATTAAGGAAAGCATTTTTAATATTATATATAAAAGTTATTAACATAAAGGCTTTTTTAATGTTATTAATAAAGTAATAAAGCTTTAAATTTATTACGATTTAGGCTTTACTCATTGTAATTAATTAATTGGCTTTGGCCTTATAAGAATAAGCTTTAGCACAAATGCAAATAGGGAGCGAACCTTTTCCTTTGCACTTTAAATATAAACCCCTATTTAAGCACCTTATAATAAATAACCTAAGGCTAGCTTATAATATATATTTAAAATCCTTTTATATTATAAACCTATAATATAATTATATAAAACTTAATATAATGAAACTTAAAAGGAATAATAATAGCTTATTAAGCCCTTTTTTATTTTAAGGAACTTTTATTTTAAGAATATTTAATAACTTAGCTGGTAAAAATAAGGGCTAAGTTTATAATAAATAGGAAGGTAATTAGCATTAAAGAGCTTAATTTTTTTATATATTTAATTAGCTAGGAATTTTCTATAATTAATTTTTATCTTATATTAATTTTATAAAGATATTTAAAGGATAGTTAAAGAGCTTTTTAAAAAAGGTTTGCCTTATGCTTAAGAACCCTTTTAAGTAAAAATATGCTAGGCTTAGCTTAATTACGTTATAATAACGCCATAAAAAGAGGATAGTAAAATTTCTTACTTAATTTAATTAATTAACTTATATAGTAAAGGCTTAAAATTAGCTAAATAAGTATAAAATATTATTAATAGCTAATAGCTTAATCTTTATAATAAAAGCTTAGCTTAATTATAAAAAGTAGCTAAATATATTTAAGGCTTTTTACTTTGCTTTATAATAATATAAGGGCGTTTTTAATGCTATAATAAGAAAAAATAATACTTAATCTTAAAATAATAAAGTAATAAATATTAATATTATAATGATTTTAATAAGCAAAGTTAAGTATTTTATATATAGCTAACTTAGCTATTATAAATGTAATTACTTAAATTATTATGAGAAAATAAGGGTATAGCTTTTATTAATTAAGGCTAGCAAAGGGGAAGAGTTTATTTAAGGGGGCGTAAAATTTTTTTTTATAAGGTAGGGCTTAAAAGCATTACTGGCTTAATGCCGGCCTAGGCTTAAAGTGGGCTAATTATATGTTAGTTAGTTTAGCACTATAAAAACGCTTAAGATTTAGAAAATCCTTGTTAATAAAGCAAATTGCTTATAATTAAGCGTTAATTAATTGTAAATTATATAATAAATCCACGGTCCTAAGGTTTTAAATAAGGGAGCTTATATAAAAGGCTTGCATTAAAAAATTATAAAAATGCTATTAGTTTAGCTATTAGCTTGCATTTAAATAATTATTTCTTATTAGCTTACTTTAGCTAATATATTAAATTATAAGGGCTAAGGCGTATTAATTATAAATAATAAGCTAAGCCTTTAGCATAGTTAAGAGGTGTTAAAATATAATTAAATAGCTAAGTAAAGAATAATATTTAATTTATAATTAAATTATAATATCCTTTATTTTTATTATATAGCTGCCCTTTAAGGCTTGTTATAAAAACTTAAAGAAGGAGGATATATTATGGTTTAGGCTTTACTTATTATAATTAATTAATGGGCTTTAGCCTTATAAAAATAGGCTTTAATATGGGTGTAAATAAGGAGCGAATCTTTTCCTTTGTACTTTAAATATAAACCCCTATTTAAGCACATTACGGCAAACAACCCAAGGCTAGCTTATAATAAATTTAATAATAATAAATATAAAGCTTTTAATATTAATTTATTATTTAATAAGCTTTTTTTAAAATAAAAAATTAAGTTAAATTAAGCTTATTAATATAAGAAATATAATAATTAAGTTATTATAAGTTTTATTTAAGGTAAGTTATTAATTATAAATAAAAATATTTTTAATTTAATTAAGTATAATAAAGAAAATTAAAAGGTATTTTAAGGGAATGTTATGGGCTGGCCCCAAAGGGGCTGCAGGCTGGCTAGTGCCTTCTTCCATAAGCTGCAAAGCAGCAACCTTTTAATTAAACCAAAAGGTATGTAATAATTTAAGCTCCCTTGAATTATCTAGCCATATTATATAAGGCTTGGGTAATAGCTTAAGCTTATTATATAGCCCCTTCCCCTAGGACCCCCTTAATATAGTGATATAATTACCCCTAAGGCTTACTTGCAATATTGCCTTTTAAGCTAGGGTTTTTTTTTATAAAAGGGGTGCCTGTATTTACTTGCGGCAAACGTAACTTAAACCCTTAATTTTAAAGCTTGGATTATTTATTATGGGCTGGCCTTAAAGAGGCTGCAAGCTGGCTAGCGCCTTTTTTTATAAGTTGCAAAGCAGCAACCTTTTAACTAAGCCAAAAGGTATGTAATAATCCAAGCTCCCTTAGATTATTTAGCTACATTATATAAGGCTTGGGCAATAGCCTAAGCTTATTATAAGGAAAACTTTTTAATAATAAAATTATAAAGATATTTTTATTAAATAAAGGTTTTTATTATTTTATAATTATATATATTTATAAAGTAATATATTTAATAATATAAATAATATTTTATAATATTATAATATTAAAATAATTAAATATTAAAATTTTTAAGCATTCTTTATTAATAAAGTTAATGCTTAGCTTAATAAATAATTTATTTATAATAGGCTTGGGCTGAAAGCCCAAGCCTTATAGTGGCTGGCTAGGTAATCCAAGGGAGCTTGGATTATTATGTACCTTTTGGCCTAGTTAAAAGGTTGCTGCTTTGCAGCTTATGGGAGAAGGCGCTAGCCAGCCTGGAGCCCCTTTGGGGCCGAGCCCATAACAAATAATCCAAGCTCTAGGGTCGAGAGTTCGAGTCATGGTCTCACCCAACCATGAAGAAGATCTCTGGCTTGAAAAGGCGATGTCGCGGGTGAGCCTTGGTGTTGGAGTAGGTTGGGGGATCCCTGGCTGCGCGTCTTGTGGAAAGGTTGACATCCCGGGTATAAGGTCGTTCGCCTCCATAATGTAAGTATCCTCCCCGATGTGGTTTGGAGATTGCAATTCAATGTTATGGGTTGGCCTTGAGCGTTTGCTGGAAGGTACCCAAAAGGAGTTATGAATTGCAATATTTAAGAAGTAAGTTAGGCCCTGAAAGGGCCTAACTCTGGATCTATCTTTTAAGTGTGTGCCCCATCACGTGAGAGGGTTGAGCGCAGTGTGGGCCCGGCACGGGCATGCATTACGGCTTGGGCAATAGCCCAAGCCCATCACATTTATTAATAATTAAGTATTTAAAAATATTTTTTAATAAGAAAGTTATTATTATATTAAGGCCTTTAAAAAAAATTAATTATTATTTATATAATAATTATAATAAATAATAATTAATTATTTATTTTTAAGGCTTATAAAAAATTAATATAAATATAATAATATTTTAAAGATTTTTATTATAAAGTTAATTATTATTATTATAATAAGGAAAACTTTTTATAATAATAATGTTATATTAAAAAAATAATATATATATAAATAATATTAATATTAATTTAAACTTATAAATATAAATAATAATTAATAATAAAGTTATTATTTAAAATCCTTTAAAAAAACTTTTTATTAAATAAATAAATATTATTAAAGTTAATAATAATAATATTAACTTTATATATAAATAAAAAAAGCTTTAAAAAAATAATAAATAAAAAAAATAATATTAATATAATAATTAACTTATTAATTAATCTTTATATTTTTAACTTTTTATATAAATATTTAATAATATCATTATTAATATTATAAATACCTTTATTAATATATTTATTAAAAGGTTTTAAAAAGCTATTAATATTATTAATATTAATAACTTTTTATTTAATTAACTTTATATATTATTATTATTATTATAAATACTTAATAATTAAAAAATATTTAATAAAAACTTTATATTTAAAGCCTTATAAAAGTATTTTTATATATTAATAAAAAAAGTAAATAATAAAGTTATAAAAAGTTATAAAATATAAAAGTATTAATTTTTAAGCTTTATATTTAAAGAAGAATATTTAATTTAATAAAAAGGGCTTAAATAATATTAAATTAATTAAAAGGCTTATAAAGTTATATTTAAAGAAAAGAAAAAACTTTTTAAGCTTTTTAAAAATAATAAAAAGGAGGAAAATTTATTATTATTATTAATATTAATATAAGATAATAATTATAATTTTTAATAAGTAAAAAGCTTTTTAATATTAATTAATAATATATTAATATTAAAAAGTAAATTTAAGGCATTTTTTAATAAATTTTAAGCATTTAATTAATATTATTTATAAGAAAAATAATAATAAAAAAATATTTATTTAAATATTTAAAGAGTTAATTAAGAAAATTAAATATATTTCTTATAATAAATTATTAATTATCCCTTTTTAATTATTTTAATAATACTTTTTTTAATTAATTTATTTATTATTAAAAAACTTATTATAAATAACCTTATTATAATATTCTTTTCTTTTTATTAACATTATTTTTTTACCTTTCTTTTAATTATATAATATCTTTATTATTTTTTATTATTATTATTACCTTTAAATTTCTTTTTTATATATTATATATATATATATAAATAAAAATATTTTTTTAATTATCTTTATATATTAATTAACTTTTTAAATACTTAAATATAAAAAACTTATAAAGTTTTTATTATTATTATAATTATTTATTTTATATTAATATTAATAATAAATATATTTCTTTAAATTCTTAAAATATATCTTAATTAAGTTAAAATTAAGAAAATATAATAATAAATATATTAATTAAATACCCCTTATCTTAATAATTATATAAATAATATTATTATAATATTATAAAGCATTATTTATTATAAATATTTATTATGGGCTAACCTTGGGTTATTTATTATAAGGTGCTTAAATAAGGTTTATATTTAAAGTATAAAGGAAGAAATCCGCTCCTTATTTATACTTATATTAAAGCTTATTCTTATAAGGCTAAAGCCCGTTAATTAATTATAATAAGCAAAGCTTAAATTATAATATATTTTCCTTTTTTAAATCCTTATAGCGGGTTTTAAAGGGTAGCTATATAATAAAAAATAAAGAATATTATAGTTTAATTATAAATTAAATATTGCTTTTTGCTTAATTATTTAATTATACCTTAATGCTTTTTAAATATATTAAAAGTTTAATTTATTTTTTATAATTAACATGCCTTTAACCCTTATAATTTAATATATTAATTAAAATAAGCTAATAAAAGATAATTATTTAAGCATAAACTAACGGTTAAATTAATGGCATTTTTATAATTCTTTAATTTAAGCCTTTTATATAAGCTTTTTTACTTAAAACCTTAAAATTATAAATTTATTATATAATCCGTAATTAATTAATACTTAATTATAAGTAATTTGCTTTATTAGCTAAAAATTCTTAAATTTTAAGTATTTCGTAATATTAAATTAACTAGTATGCAGCTAACCCGCTTTAAGCTTAAGCCGGCATTAAGCTGGCAAGTTTTAAGCCTTACTTTATAAAAAAATTTTACGCCCCCTTAAATAAACTCCTCCCCCTTATTAACCTTAATTAATAAAAGCTATATCTTTATTTTTTTATAATAATTAAAATAATTATGCTTATAATAATTAAGTTAGCTATATATAAAATACTTAACTTTACTTATTAAAATTATTATAATATTAATATTTATTACTTTATTATTTTAAAATTAAGTATTATTCTTTTTTATTATAGCGTTAAAAATGCCTTTATATTATTATAAAATAAAGTAAAAAGCCTTAAATATATTTAACTACTTTTTATAATTAAGCTAAGCTTTTATTATAAAGGTTAAGCTATTAATTATTAATAATATTTTATATTTATTTAATTAACTTTAAGCCTTTGCTATATAAGCTAATTAATTAAATTAAGTAAGAAATTTTATTATTTCCTTTTTATAATATTATTATAGCGTAATTAAGTTAAGCTTAATATACTTTTGCTTAAAAATGTTTTTAAATATAAGGCAAATCTTCTTTAAAAAGCTTTTTAGCTATTCCTTAAATATTTTTATGAAATTAATATAAGGTAAAAATTAATTATAAAAAGTTCTTAATTAATTAAATATATAAAAGAATTAAGCCTTTTTAATATTAATTACCATTTTATTTATTGCAAACTTAACCCTTATCTTTACTAGCTAAATTATTAAGTATTCTTAAGATAAAAAGTCCTTAAAATAAGAAAGGGCTTAATAAGCTGCTATTATCTTTTTTAAGTTTTATTATATTAAGTTTTATATAATTATATTATAAAGCATTATTTATTATAAGTATTTATTATAAGCTAACTTTAAGTTATTTATTATAAGGTGCTTAAATAAGGTTTATATTTAAAGTATAAAGGAAAAGATCCGCTTTTTATTTATATTTATATTAAAGCTTATTCTTATAAGGCTAAAGCCCGTTAATTAATTATAATAAGCAAAGCTTAAACTATAATAACATTAATTAAAAGCTTAAATAAGCATTTATTTAAGAAAAAACCCTTTTAAAAAACTATATTAAAAAAAAACTCTTTTATTATATATTTTTTATATATTATAATATTAAAAAGATTATTAATTATAATTATTAATAATAAATAAAAATAAATACTTTATTTAAGAAAATTTTTAATTTAAAAAGTATATTTTAATAATCCTTAGCTTATTTTTTTTATATTATTATATTTATTAAGTTTTAATTTATTATGAAAAATAAATATTTTAATAATATATTATAACTTTAAAATTTTAAAAAAATAATAACTTTAAAAATCTTTATTATATTATTAAGTTAATATATATACTTATTTATTAATTTAATTATATACTTTAAAGCCCTTAAAATAATCTTTATTAAGTAATTAATTTAATATATTTTAATAAAAAAGTATTGCATTTTATTAAGGTATATATTTAACTTATTAAAAACAAATTTTTAAGCTTTTATATAATAATAATTAAGTATTAATAATGCTTAGCAAGCTGGTTATGTTAAAGAATATTATATATTTTAAAAGCTTATTGCTTAAGTATTATAAAATTTAATAGCATTAATAAAGGCATGTTAAGGGCTATGATATTTATAATGGCAACCCTTCTTTTATATTATTAACTTATTATTTTGCCATACTTAAATTTAGCCTGCAGCTATTTATTTAACGGTAATGGATTTAAGTATAAATAAAACTCTAATATTTATAGCTTTATATAAGTTAAGCAGTGGCCAGCCATCACGACGACCTCTCTTTTGCTGAATTAGGTGCGTTAATAACGTTAATAAGGGTGTCCATAAGAATCTTAGTGCGTATTCCGCGTTCACAGCCAAATTTTGGTGCGGGGGGGGGGGCCAGCTGACGAAAACAACAGGGGGGGGGGCATCACTTTGCTTGAGACAGACAGCAGCTATATTCAACAGCCTGGCAAAATATGAACTAACAGTTGAGATTGGCAGCCTTGTTGTCTGTGTTCGGAATTCCTAGTCTAGCCTTCAGCTGACTTCGCGTGGATTCAAATCCGAAAGTGGACACGCAGTCAGGCTGGTATCAAGATCAAGCCTTTATAAGAATACTACGAGACTTCTGTGTATCATACAAGACGCATGTGGCTTTCTACCACTGCACCAATCAATGCATCCTTGTTCCCAATCACCGTACCAGTAACACCGCAAGAAGGGCGTGTGCCGAATAAATAAATCATAATTACTCCTGTAGACTTTTATGGACTTTCTCTTATCACCTTAGGGAGGTCTATTTCCTTCCGCTTGGCGTGCTTAGAGCTCGTCGTGGTCCACAGGCTCGTCGTCACCGCCAGGACCAGCAGACTCGTAGAGCTTGCTAGTGATGGGGTAAGCAACGTTGGACAACTTCTCCTTCTGCTCCTCGAAGTCCTCGGCGGCCGCAGTGGCAGCGTTCTCCTCGAGCCAGTCAGTGGCCTCCTTGACGGCCTCCAGAAGCTATTTTGGATGTTAGCAAGCTGCCAGAATATGTAATGGGGTCGGGGTTTGGTAAACTCACTGTCTCCTTGTCCTCGTCGTCGATCTTGCCACCGAGACCATCCTCGTCGTTGACCTGGTTCTTCAGGTTGAAGGCGTAGTTCTCAAGACCGTTACGAGCCTCAATGCGCTCACGGGTGGCCTTGTCCTCCTCGGCGTACTTCTCAGCCTCGGCGACCATGCGCTCGATTTCCTCCTGGGTAAGACGGCCCTTGTCGTTGGTGATGGTGATGGACTCGCCCTTGCCAGTTCCCTTGTCGACGGCCGAAACCTTCAGGATTCCGTTTGCGTCGAGCTCGAAAGAGACCTCGATCTGGGGCTGGCCACGGGGAGCTGGGGGAATTCCAGTCAGCTCGAACTTGCCGAGGAGGTTGTTGTCCTTCGTCATAGATCGCTCGCCCTCGAATACTTGAATCAGGACGACGGGCTGGTTATCGGCGGCCGTGGAGAAGATCTGGCTCTTGCGAGTAGGGATGGGAGTGTTGCGGGGGATCAGCTTGGTCATGACACCTCCAGTGGTCTCGATACCAAGGGTGAGCGGGTTGACATCCATGAGGACAATGTCGGCGGTTCCCTCCTCACCGGAGAGCACACCAGCCTGAACGGCGGCACCAAAAGCCACAGCCTCATCGGGGTTGATACCCTTGCTGGCCTTCTTGCCGTTGAAGTACTCCTCAATGAGGGACACAACCTTGGGGATACGGGTGGAGCCACCGACGAGGACGATGTCATCAACCTCGTCCTTCTTGACCTTGGCGTCCTTGAGAACCTGCTCGACAGGCTTGATCGTCTTCTTGAAGAGGTCCATGTTGAGCTCCTCGAACTTGGCCCGAGTCAGAGTCTCGGAAAAGTCCTTGCCGTCGAAGAAGGCCTCGATCTCAATACGGGTGGACATCTGGGAGGAGAGAGAACGCTTGGCCTTCTCGGCTTCGCGCTTGAGCTTGCCCATGGCCTTCTGGTCCTTGGTGATGTCGACACTGTTCTTCTTGTTGTAGGTCTTCGCGAAGTGGTTGATAACACGCTGGTCAAAGTCCTCACCTCCAAGATGGGTGTCGCCGGCAGTAGCCAAGACCTCGAAGACACCCTGGTCGATAGAGAGCAGGGAGACATCGAAGGTACCACCACCCAGATCGTAGACAATGATTTGACGCTCGCCCTCGGTCTTGTCCAGGCCGTATGCGATAGCAGCGGCGGTGGGCTCGTTGACGATACGGAGGACGTTGAGACCGGCGATAATACCGGCATCCTTGGTAGCCTGGCGCTGGTTGTCGTTGAAGTACGCGGGGACGGTAACAACGGCGTGGGTGACCTTCTCACCGAGGTAGTTCTCGGCCACCTCCTTCATCTTGCCCAGAATCATAGCAGAGATCTCTTCGGGAGAGAACTTCTTGTCCTCGCCGTTAACGGCGACTGTGACGAAAGGCTTGCCATCCTGGTTGGTGACCTTGAAGGGAAAGTGCTTGATGTCACGCTGAACAGCGTCATCAGTGAACTTTTGGCCAATAAGACGCCTGAGAAATCCGAATGTTAGCTGAAGCTCTGGATCATGCCTAGTCTCGCAAAAAGGCCACGTACTTGATGTCGAAGATCGTGTTTGATGGGTTTCCGGCGGCCTGGTTCTTGGCGGCGTCACCGACCAAACGCTCCTCCTCGGTAAAGGCGACGTATGATGGGGTGATACGGTTTCCTGTGGGAAGGAGGAAGGTCAGTACATGGTGCTGCAGAGATGGCGCAAGAGTAGGGGAAAGCGAGAAAAAGCGTACCTTGGTCGTTGACGAGAATCTCAACCTTGCCATTCTTCATCACGCCAACACAGCTGTAAGTAGTTCCAAGATCCTGTAGAAAGGGCTGGTTAGTCTTGCTGCTGTGGGATTGTCAGGGCAGCGAGCTGAGAGCAGCAAGCATGCGGCGCACGACTCACAATTCCAATTACTGTTCCATAGTTCTCTGTGTCATCAGCCTTGGCCTGTCCAACCCAAGCCAGAGGCGAGAAGAGCAGGAACATCCAGAACACCATACCCAGGCCCACGGCCCAGGTGCTTCTCGACCGCGGCTCCATTGCGGATCGAGTTGTGCAAGAAAGAGTATAGATGGGACAAGTCGGAGGGGAAAAGAAGAGGGTATCAACAGAGGTAAGAAAGGGTATGGAGAAAGAAAGAAGTGATCACTTGCTCAAGCCTGTGTGGAAGGCGAGAAGTGTGAGCGGTGGTTGTGATGTTGTTGGAGGAAAGGTAGACGGGTCTGAGGTGGCAGGTGGAAAGGATGGCCGACATAGAAATATCGAAGCTGTAAGTGTCGATGTGTCCAGTTCTCTTTGGGAAGCCAGATTTCACACCAAAATTAACTAGCGCCCGCAGGGATTCACTCGCGTCGCCTGCAGGGGTCTTCAATCGATAACCATGTGTCCCCAAGTAGAGCCCCACCTGCCAGGGATGATTCTTAACAGATTGGCGTGGCGGTCTCGCCTGTGGAAGATAGGGTGTGAAGCTCTTTCTCCAGACAGTACATCCACTCCATGCTTGAGAAAGGCCACTTCAGGCCAGTTGGCATCATCAGCCTCCCGAATTCTGACGGTTTCTATTGATGGATGTTCTGGATCCCATTCACCACATGGAGCACCTGTGACTCTTCATGTCCCTGGACCAGCTGTGCCTGTACGCACATGCCAATTTGGCAAATTCAATGGCCACAGTGGCCATGAGAAGAGAAAACAACGTGTGTTGTCACCACTTTCAGGCCTTCACCCCTCTTCGCCACCTGGGCACTGTCCTCTGAGCTCTGTGGATAGCATTGCCTTTGCCTGCCTTGCCCTCCTTGCCTGCCAGCGTGTCCTCCCAAAAAATGACAAAGTGACCACTGCCTAAAAGAGGTTTCGGGGCTTCATGCAATAAGCTTCATGCGACAAGCTCCACAATGCCAAGGTCTGCCCTTCGAGAAGCATCTCTGAAATTCCTCTGGTGGGGTCACCCTTCCCCATGATCTACTGTCTATAATCTACGAGGTATACTTCCTGATACGGGCCTGCATCAACAGAACAGGTCAATACATACTTCCTTCCCTTGATAGCATGGGTAATCACCGTTTTTGCAAACCAGCAACAGCTTTAGTATCCTTGGTATCAAAACACTTGGTAGAATGCCATACACTCACCGTCGTCATATGAACCCACTTGGCACTGATCCGAATCGCACGGGTCAGCTCGGCCCCGAATAGCACAGGCCACCCTATCCCGCCAGACGGGTCAAGGGACACGGGTGCTCCGTGAGGAGGCGTGCAGAGGTGGGATGACAGGCCCATGGTGTCTCAGGCCTTCGTCCTTTATTTAGAGAACAGATATTCACACAGGGAGAAACCGATAGTATACAGATACATTACACGCCTAGTGCACTCACACCCAACACACCCATAACTAACACACCCACGCCTAGTGCACCCATAACCAACACACCCATAATCAACACACCTACCCAAGCTTGTAGATATGTACATTAGGTGTGGGTTTGGGAATTGGTTGTGGGTGTTATGCTCTGATTAGCTGCAGGAATATTATTCAAGAGGTATCTGTGTACCATCCGTTTGCTTTTGTGCAAAGGAGCATATCAAATCCTTTATTCTTCCTTGATTGCGTCTAATGGTATAAGGGGCTACTATAACTAGGTACGCAGTATGGAAAGCCACTTGTAGCGTGTGTCTCAGTTGGATCATGTGCCGCCACAGCCGCGCCAGGGTATCAAGGTCACTCACTGGGTCTCTTCCACCAGACCAGCCGCCACCGTGTCTCCATTGTACCTGATCACCACCCTGTCGCCCTTCTCTAGTGGAACCTTCTCATGTGTCTTCATCGTGATCCGTGCCGCGCTTCCAGCCTTGATGATCTTCGGCTTCTTTCCTTTGATGGCACCACCGCGTAAGGCAAGCTCGGCTCGCAGTTCGTCGATCTTTCCTGGCACGTGCAACCTTCCCTTGTGGATGTCAACTGGCATGGGAAAGAAGATGTCGAAGGCCAGCACAATCATGGTGAACGTATCAACGCACGGGACCGCCGCCGAGGGAGGGCAGATGACGTCTCCGATGCGGATGTGTTCTTCGTCGACATGTGATAGGTAAATGAAGACGTGCTGCCCAGCGACGGCCCAGTCGACCGGTTCGCCATTCAGCTCAAGGGCTTTCACATAAGCCTTCTCACCACTGGGTTGCACCAGAAGGGCATCTCCGACCTGAAGAGACCCAGCCTCTAGCCGTCCAGCCACGGTGATGGGGCTCAGGCGTGTGTCCCAGAGATCCGAGATGGTCATCCGGAGAGGCTTATCAAGGGGCCGAGCCGCAGGCTCTGACAACTCCAGCTCTTCTATAAGCGTTGGGCCTGTGTACCACGATGCGGCCGGGTCTTTGGAGCGGTTGACAACGTTGTCGCCGTTGAGACCAGAGACGGGAACAAAGCTGATGTTCTCGTCTGGGAATTTCAGAGCTCTCAAGGATCCCATGATCTGTCCCTTGATCTCGTCAAATCGGTCTTGATTCCATTGTGATGTGTCAAGTTTGTTGACGGCGACAATCAAACGGAACACCCCCATACTCCGTAGTAGCAGAGCATGTTCTCTGGTCTGCCCCTTGAGGCCTGCCTCGAACGCTCCTTTAGCTGCATCGATGACCAGGACAGCAAAGTCTGCCTGACTGGCTCCAGCAATCATGTTTGGCACATAATCTTTGTGGCCAGGCGAGTCTACTATGGTGAATAGCGTCGATTCGGTTTCGAAGTTCTTGGTGGCGATGTCGATGGTGACGCCCCTGGATCTCTCCTCTGTTCTTGTATCAAGTACCCAGGCGAGCGCGAATGAAGACTTGCCTTCCTTCTCAGCCTCCTTCCGGTACTTGTCAATCGTCCGCTGGTCGACCTCGCCCAGGTCTAGCAGTAGCCGGCCAGTCATTGTACTCTTCCCGGAATCAACATGGCCCACTACCACAAAGCTGGCACTTCTCTTTCGCCGACTCTTCTCATACTCTTTGAGCACATTCAGATTCTTACTTTTTGGCAGCGGCGTCTCATCGATCTTCAGTTCTTTCAGATTTTTGGCCGCTTCTGCTGTGTCTTTGTTCTTTCTACTTGGCGTATTAGATGCAAGCTTCTTCCCTGCTGCAGAGGGTGTTAGTAGATGTCCCTCATTTTCTCGCGAACCGCGAACCTTGCGACTGGGCCGCCTGCACAACATCGTCAGGAGACGGCTTGGAGAAGGCCTCGACCAGGGCCTCATCAGTAGTGAAGGCCAGCCAAGGTGGCGGATAAAGTTGTTGATGAGGCTGTGGTGCCTCCGAAGCAGACTTGAAGAGAGCTTGCGCAAATGTCGAGGGCTGTGCCTTTTCCACCACTGGCGCGTGATCCTGGGAGTCTGTTGCGCCATCGAGGGCGGGCGCCGGGCCGCGGAGAGAGTCTGATGCCTGGGGTGTTTCCTCGTGACCAATATCCATCTTTGAAACCTTGGCCCGCAAAGTTTCTGTCTCGGGGATAGCACTTTTGGTTGTGTCCTCCGGTGGTGTCTCTGACTGCTTCTCCTCCCGCTTCTTCTTTTCTAGCTCTAGCCGCGGCAAGGGCCTGCAACTTGGACATCTTGGGTGGTTCTGATGAGCCGCCCAGTAGGCCACCACCATGTACGTATGGCGGCTTGATGAACACGGTCCTGCGTTCCTCGGGGACGTTCAACCAGGGCATGTCGGCAAAGAAGCTCGCACAGGGGGGTCTTGGCCTGGTAGTGGCCGCGCATGCTCTCCAGGGATCTGCTTCGGCGGCACCTGTCGGTCAGGGGGAGTCAACGGAAAGGGGTGTTCAGAATGGTTCTTACCGTCGGATGCTTGTGGCGTGGTCTTGGGGACCTTGGTCTTGGCTGTTGGCTTTGGTGCGGGATCGATGAACTTGCTGATCAGGTAGGCGATGGTCTTGTCGACGTCGTAGTAGTAGTGCCATAACGACTCCTGGATCTGCTGGGTTGTGACCTTGCTGGCCTGGGGACCGAGCATGCTCTTTACTTCTGCTGTGGCGGCTGTCATCTGGGCCTTGTCCTCGGGGCTCAGCTCCTCCTCCTCCTCCTCCTCCTCCTCCTCTGCGAGCTCGTCCCCGTCAAACTCTTTCAGGTCGTTCTCATAATCGTAGTTCTGGTACATGCGGTGGCGAGACATCTTGGGCGCAACGGATCGCCGGGCGTTGCGCGGCTTGAGGGTAGGTGGGATATGTCGGGAGGGGCAAAATGGGGGGTGGGCGGCCTTCACTGACGTATTGTCGAAAAGTGGTGGGGCCATCTGCTGCTGCAAGCTAGACTGCCCCTAAGGGACAAGGTGATTTGCAAACAAAGATAAGCCCGATTGCGATAACGATGACTGGAGTTTCTTTTTTTTTTTCTCTCGCTCGGTCCGCTGGAAGTTCCGGCATGGAGCTCTGAGCCTGGCAGCTGAGGGGTCCTGCGGCGGGTCGGGGCTCCACCTGGGACAGCGGCGACAGGGGGGAAATTTTGGCATGGTTTGGCAGCATAGCAGCCGCAGCTCTGGGGCGCGCCTAAACACGTCTACCGTCTATCGTGCTTGTTCACAGCTGGACCCCTTGACCTCCTCCTGACCTGTCAACTCCCTACCTTGTCTGCAGCCCCCCACTCCCCTCTGAACGAGCCTGGCAGGAAACCGTTTCTGGAGTTGAGACCCTGAGAAGCAGCTTCCAAAATGGCGATGAGTGAGTTATAGGCACCCTCTCATGTGTGTCCATATTTTCCATCTGCTAACTGAATGTTTCCAGACCTGGACTTGTCGAATGGTACAGACCAAATCGAAGATCCTCTTGGCCAGCAACCCATACTGACATGATGCTGTAGCTGTGGTGACGAAGGACGAGCAAGGCAGGCCGTTTATCGTTGTCCGAGAGTGCGTTAGACCCTCCTGAAGCTCCCTGCGTACCGGCACACCGACTAACTTGCTGCGTGCAGCCAAGGCAAGAAGAAGAGGCAGTTCGGCAACGAAGCCGTCAAGTCGCATATCCTCGCCGCACGAACGGTCGCAAACATCGTCAAGAGCTCCCTCGGACCTCGTGGCCTCGACAAGATCCTAATCTCCCCCGATGGAGACATCACAGTCACAAACGACGGTGCTACCATCCTTCAGCAGATGGAAATCACGAACCACGTCGCCAAGCTGCTCGTCGAACTTTCCAAATCACAAGATGACGAGATAGGAGATGGCACCACCGGTGTTGTTGTCCTGGCTGGTGCTCTGCTTGAGCAGGCTGCCGAGCTGATCGACAAGGGAATCCACCCCATCCGGATCGCGGACGGCTACGACCAGGCCTGTGACATAGCAGTGTCCGAGCTTGACAAGATCGCCGACACCATCGACTTCAGCAAGGACCAGACCGAGAACCTCTTCAAGGTTGCAAGGACAAGTTTGGGCAGCAAGATCGTTTCCAAGGCACATGACCAGTTTGCAAAGATCGCCGTTGACGCCATCATGTCTGTCGCCGACCTCGAGCGAAAAGACGTCGACTTCGAGCTGATCAAGGTGGACGGCAAGGTGGGCGGGTCGCTGGAGGACACGCTTCTGGTCAAGGGAGTCGTCGTCGACAAGGACTTCTCCCACCCACAGATGCCCTCCGAGGTCCGCGACGCCAAGATCGCCATCCTGACGTGCGCATTCGAGCCCCCAAAGCCCAAGACCAAGCACAAGCTGGACATTACGACGGTGGAGGAGTTCAAGAAGCTACAAAACTACGAGCGGGAGAAATTCATCGAGATGATTCAACAGATCAAGGACACCGGCGCGAACCTGGCGATATGCCAGTGGGGTTTCGACGACGAGGCAAACCACTTGCTCCTGCAGAACGAACTCCCTGCTGTGCGATGGGTTGGTGGCCCAGAGATCGAGCTTATTGCCATTGCGACGAACGGCAGAATAGTACCCAGGTTTGAGGACTTGAAGGCCGAAAAGCTGGGCCAGGCTGGTATCGTGCGGGAGATGTCCTTCGGTACCACGAGGGAGAAAATGCTCGTTATCGAGGAGTGTGCCAACACAAGAGCCGTCACAGTGTTCGTGCGTGGCAGCAACAAGATGGTAAGAGTCTCAATTTCCACCATGTATCCTCAGAATAGCGAAACTGACTTTCACCACTTATAGATCATCGACGAAGCCAAACGCTCCCTCCATGATGCTCTCTGTGTAGTCCGCAACCTTGTCCGCGACAACCGCGTCGTCTACGGCGGTGGCGCCGCTGAGATCGCCTGCTCGCTGGCCGTTGAGGACGCAGCCGTCAAGACGCCCGGCCTGGAGCAGTACGCCATGCGCGCCTTCTCCGAGGCCCTCGACTCGGTGCCCATGGCCCTGGCCGAGAACAGCGGCCTGAACCCGATCGCCACCCTGGCCGAGATCAAGTCGCAGCAGGTCAAGGCCGGCGGCGACCGCGGCAGGCTCGGCGTCGACTGCATGCAGAGGGGCAGCAACAACATGAAGGACGCCTTCGTCATCGACCCGCTCATCAGTAAGAAGCAGCAGCTCATGCTCGCCACCCAGCTTTGCAGGATGGTGCTCAAGGTGAACAACGTCATTGTCAGCGGGAGCGGGGAGGATGACTTCTAAATGGGGCAAGATGCAGAAATGAAGAGCGGCTGTGGATAAAATGCATGTGGGTGGCTGGCAATTGTACAGGGCAGGCGCCTGCGTGTGGGTAAAACGAGGACACATCAATAGATGATTGGCGTGGGTCTATAGATACCAAAACTGCAAAGCCGAAAAACCTCGTCACCTCTGGTGAACTTTCTCGTCCCCAAGTCCTGTCCCATTTATAGTTATATAAGTGATGCGGCCGTATCCTACGGGATGACCAAAGCCTTTACCTGTCGCATATAAGGTATGAACTAGAGAAAGACAAACCAAACCCTCAGCACGAAACTCCCGCCATTCATTCATTGCTCGCTCGTGTAAAATATGACGTGCTCTCATCTGTATCTGAAGAACCCGGTATTTTGGCTTGCTCAAACAAATATACGGGATATAGTGGGGCATGAAGACGTTATATTTTACACACAAGAGAAAGATCCCGCACGTCCGTCTGTCCATCTTGCCCGCCTACCCGCCTCTCTATCTCAAGCAAACCCGAAACCTTGGGCGTTCTCCAATGCCATGCTCAGCCTTTCCTTCAGAACCTCCCTGTCCCGATACTCGGGCAGCAGGAGGGTGCCGTAGCACGTGTACGCCGTGGGTAGGTGCCCGTCGTGCCCATCCTCCTCGCCGTTCTTCTGCACCACAAATTGGATGTTCTTTATCCCTCCGACCGGAACTCTGTCGCTCGCAGTGACGAACTCCAGCAGCTTGCGCTTCATCTGGTCGTCATATTCCCTGACGATCTTCCAGAAGTCTTTGATCGTTCTCGAGGAGGAGGAGTAGCCAACGTACCGCGCGGCGCGGCGCAGCTCGCTGACCTCGATTTCTTGCTGACCCTCGACGAGGTTCTGCAGGAGCTCTGGGCTGAGGAGGGTGAGCGACTTTGGGTGGAGGACGGAGCGAAAGCCCTTGGCGAACGCCTCGTATTGCGGTCGGACCGAGACGTCCGTCATGTAGCGGATATAATCGGAAACATACGCGTTGCGGTTGGCATCAGTGACCAACGGAGCATCCTCGGGGTTCTCGCAAGATAATGTCCAGTGTGGCTGCTGGTTTCCAGTGCTGCTTGAGGGAGGAAATTGAGGCCATTCGTGGTCGGGAGGGGGTTGTGATCCAGGGGAAATGGAGTGCATCTCCCTCGAGACATGCTCGTTGAGCATGTTGACGGAGAACTCATAGGTGACGGCGAAGATGTCCTCAACGGTGCCGTTTGACTCATCCCATTCCAGAAGCTCGGTCAGACTGCTCGCTATCTGTGGCCATCCATCGTTGATGTGATGGATATCTGTGACAGGCTCGCCGAGGAGCTTGCGGTAAAGGGCCTTTGGGAAGCTGACGGGCAAGGTTAGGCCATTGTACACGGCAAGACCTACAAGGACGCCCACTAGTTCAAACTTCCAATCAGGCTCTGTCGACCCGGGCTGAAACCATGCCATCCTGTTCCGTTCATCAATAGTGAACGCGCCGTAGTCAGGGTTCAGAGCCTCGGCTATAGCAAGGCGGAAGAATTCTTGCTGGACTCCACCAGAGTCGAAACCTTCCTCCCCCGTGTCCTCACCCAGATGTACTTTCAGTGGCCTGAGTAGCTCTCTCTCCTCGCGGCGCCAGAGCTGGTCAAAGGCATCTCGCAGTACTGTTTTTCGGCCAATATCCAGGATCAGGTATCTCGACCTTGCCGTGCGCAGAAGATCTTGCAGCACGGTCTTGTGGTGCCGGTTCACAATCAACGTTGCCTGCTCAAAGAGACGGTCCAGTCGATTTTGCAGCGAGGCCGCTTCCTCGTAGACGTGACTCATTCTTGAGAAGTTGATGGCACGGAAGTAGGACACCAGGGTGTCCGGGTTAAACATGTGGGGGTGGTCCAGGAGGTGACCCCTTTGTTTGGTGGATGTGAAAGACAACCATGCGACAGGCATATCAACATTGTCAAGCCTCTCCGCAAAGTAATCAGCAAGAAGCTGCTTGTGGGTGATCCGGAGCGCCTGGCTTTTCTTGTCTGCAACGTTTGTCAGCCAAATATATTCCTGACGTGAGATTCCACTTCGACTCGTAAACTCACGTATGGCGTCTGTCAATGCAAGAGCACCACCAAACGGGCCATCTCCTGGAACTTCTGGGCTCCCATCCCATTCATAGAACATGACCGCACGAGCCCAGTCAAGTAGCAGGGTGGACATGCGGGTCTCGTGGAGACCTTCCTCATTGCTCACGCTGAGGGCGTCGAGTTGCGTGAAGAGAGGTGCCAGAACATCGGGCTCCTCCTCGCTGGCGTCACCAAAAGCAGTTTCTTGGCTCAGCATGTCATTAAAGTACCTGCGCGCTGTGATGGCCGACAAGAGCCTCCTTGCCAGTCTCATTGCTAGTTCGTGAGAAAAGGCGTCATCGTATTGCAAGCAGAGTTCCGCAGGTTGGCTACCGCTCGCTGCCAGACTGAGCCCTTGTGATCGTAACCGCGACATTTCCGTGAGTTGACTTTTCTCAAACACCACCGGCGCAGCGGCAATCAAGGCATGGAGACATATGGACATCAGTCTTCCTGCCTCGGCATTCGACAAGGACATTTCCTGCTTCGGGAAGAGCCTGGCAGTGGGTGACCGCAGGGATTGGACGGACTTTGGAGGTGCAAAGAGGTGTGCCGCCGATAACCAGAGGCAGTGGTAGACGAGTGTAGGCGCAACTCTCGTCATCCGCAGCATGCAATACCAGAGCGCCTGGGAGTCGATGAGCTCGCCTTTGTGTGTGAATGAGTGAATGAGAGCGTGAGGGTCGCTGAGCGTGTAGAAGAGGCTCTGCTCGATGAACAGCTTCCACTCCTTCTTGAGATCCATGGGATAAGATCTCCTGGATCTGTGTCTTCTTTTCAATTTTCCCTCTCGCTTCGCTGTTGTGGCTGCGAGTGATTTAGACACTTCTGCTGGCTCTAACAGATGTTGCTCGCGAGTGCCGTCATCTTGCAGCACATCGCAGACGAAGTCAACTACGTCGACGTTCAAACGCGAAATAGCCTGCGGGAGGAACGAGTCGTACGTAAGCTCTGCATCGCCATCAGGGGCGGCCATGGAGCAGTCGCTGGCTGAGGTCTCGGAGGGGGTGCTTTGATGGTCCGATTCTGGGACAGCCGCCCCTCGTTGCCCCAGGCCCTCGTTGGTTCGCATTGTGTTAGGCTTGCTCCTATCCTCCGAGGGCGCAGGCGAGGACTCCTCTATGCGAGTCCTCGCCAAGTAATCTGCTGAGACTGCTTGAGGCGGGGGCCGGGACAAATTAGAGGTCGCGTTCTTGACAGACCTGCTGTTCTTCTCCGCTTGGAACCCTGGTAGGCGTGGCGACTTGAGGCCATTAACCATCTCATCGGAGACCAGCTCAGGAGGGTATGTGTCTAGTGAAAGTTTTCGTTTCGGCTTGGTGGCTGAGTTGGTGCGTACCCTGGCATTCGAATTGCGGCGCACACTTCCAGGCCTTCGAGTAGACATCGATCCGTTCCCGGTCACAAGTGGGTCGTTCTCTTTCTCGCGTTGTGCAGCTTCAGCCTTGCCATTCAGCGATCTGGCTTCGGCGGCTGTCTCCTCGGCAATGGAGAAGTCATTGGCCTCATGCTCTCTAGGTGACGTGGGTGACGAATCCTGACGAGAATCTGGTCGAGGAGAGGACTTCCTCCGACGAGGTTTCGTGGTCCTAAAGTCCTCCTCACGGTGGTCCTTCTCCAAGTCACAGGCTGTTTCATGCATGTCGTCGAGCGCGTTGGGGGTCAACCACTCCAGCATTTTGAAAGCCACAGTACCGAACATGTTTGCTGCAAATGACCGGTAGTCCTTGCCCGTGTGCCTCTCGGTGACCTCGAATTTGGCACCTTCATAAGCGCTTGGTGTCTCTTGGGGCGACGAGGGTGTATTCTTGTCCTTCCCAGTGTTCAAATCTCTAGAAGTCGAATGTACCTGAACCTTGGCTTTTACGCGAACTTGCCGGCTCTTGGATGAACCGTCCTTCTCGGTTGTAGTGCGGCCCTTCCCGGGCGGCCGTGGCCTCTCCTCGCTGTGCTGAAGGCTGGGTTTGCGGTAGAAGACGAGGGTGTCGAGGGCAGCGGGCGGCATCTTGGGGCTCCTGAGAGCTGGGCACAGGGCATTCTCCGAGTTGTCCTGGCTAGCCATGTAGACAGCCAGGACCCTTGCGCTCGTGACATTGTACCGCCGTATCGGTATGCGTCCTACGCTCCGTTTCCGAAAGGAGAAGCAAGTCGGGGTGCTGCAATAGTTGGAGCCACAGCCGTCTCGCAGTTGGACGATGAACTTCTCCACCAGCTGCTGGAAGCCATGTCGGCGACTGGCCTGGTGTATGGCATAGACCCTTCGCGGGTTTTGTATGTCTTCGACCAACTCCTTCAGCTCGGGCGGCGCATCCCAGGGCAGACGAGCAAAAGGAGCGGTCTCCCAGAGCCCAGCCAGGAGATCTGTTTCGACATCGTGATGGACGTGATTGGGGGCGGGCCCAGCATCAAGCGGCCGAGTTGCGTCTCGCGTCATGACATAAGGGACGGCAGGCAGGGCCTCGAGGGCGGGAGGTCTGCCTTGATACGGCTGACAGGTCGGGATCGGTCGGGCGATGGAGCGGAGTCGAGCGATTCCTTGATGGTTGAGTGTCGGGAAACAGTACTAGATGAAGGAGTTCGGAGGGGTATCACGGAGGGACAGCGAGCTGAGAGACGCAGTGGTTCGGAGAATTAAGAGGCGGCGGCAATGGCAAGTGGTCCAGGAGACACATGCAAAAGTGGCGCAAAGGTGGACCGTGAACCAGAGAGCATCAGCACCAGTCAAGCCTGTCGGGCTGCCAACAAAGACAGAGGAGAGATAACACGAGGAGCAGATCAGAGTTGGGTGTACGCAGGCTGTGCTCGTGATGATTCTCGAGTCGAGGCTGGCGAAGACCAGCAAGTCCAGGGCATAGCAGGCAGGATGGACAAGGATAAGAGTTGTCTTTTCCGATCCTGGGGGAATGGGCATCGAGGGTGCAGGGCATCACTTGCAAATAGACAGAAGGCAGGGCTGTCAGGAGCCAGGGGCCCCTCGCCGGTTGTTCTCTGCTTACTGCGCCCGCATTTGCACCCAAGTACTTGAGGCAGGTAGTCCACCTCGTCCGCACCCAGTTCCCGTTCCGGTTACCCCAGGCGCGACTAGGGCGGCAAGGCCAGGGGGTTGGGAAGGCGGCCAATCTTGAAACGGTCGATGGTCGTACAAGTAACTGTGCAGCCAACCTGCGTTGTACACTCCACACAGACTACCTACAATAGCAAGGCCTCAATTAGATGGAAACAACTTGCACATGCCGTCGTGGTGTCGCCATCTCGTGGCCCAAATCTTATCTTGTATCAATTCTTGTGGTCTCTGCTCGATAGGCTCTCGATCTGGGGTGACTACTGTTGCCAAGAGACGGCAACTCGAACTCTACTCTGTGAGCGATGAGCGACGAGCGACGAGGCCGTTGGAGGTCCGTCCGTCCGTTCTCACACACCCGGCCGCCCAGCCCAGGTGCCCCATGCCCCTGAGGGGTCTCTCGGCCTCTTCCCCCGGGTTGACGTAGACGCCCCTTATCGCTCGCTTATCAAAGGCCATGGAAGTGCCCCACCGAAAAATGAGCCCTGACCGCCAGGCCTGCTAAGGCTGGCTTGGTTCGAGTCAACTGAGAAATCATCGCCACTAGGAACGGAGGATGTTCAAGGCCTCGCTTTACTAATCCGAAATTGTCTCTTGACGCCGGCGTGCCGAGCAAACCCAAGCAAACCCCTTCTGTCACTGTGCATTTGCCCCCGTCAAGGTGACAACGCAAGTAAAGCAACTGCAAATTTTCGGCACTCTGCCTCTGCCTTGTGGTTCAGGGAATCGCTCGTCGACGTCTGTCATAGACAACCCCGCCATCCACAGTCAGACACACATCCGCACGCGCACACTTCATACTGAAATACAACGACCACAGTCGTTCAAGATGGCGACCGTTACCGGCAATCGTGCGGCTCCTCCGGCGCATGATATATCGGCGTCCCATCCATACACCTGCAATACCTGCCAGGTAGCTTTCCGCAACAGCGACCTGCAGAAGGGCCACATGAGGAATGACTGGCAGTAAGTCTTGACAGCCACCACCGTCGGTGCCAGTTCTTGTCGCGGAGCCTATCTGACCGTGGTTTTCTTGTCTCTAGCCGGTATAACCTCAAGCGCCGCGTTGCGACCCTTCCGCCCATCTCCTCCGAGGTCTTTACGGAGAAGGTTCTCCAGGCCCGAGCTTCCACCACCGCAGAGGCCGAACGCGCTGGTTTCCAGACAGAATGCGGCCTCTGCCACAAGACGTACTTTAGTGAGAACTCCTATCAGAACCACATCGGGAGCCAGAAGCACAAGGCAAAGGCCGCGGCTCAGCTGAGGAAGGGCCGCAACGGCGTCGCTGCCGATGATGCCAGCTCCATGATCAGCTCCACCTTCTCCTTGGGAGAGCCCGTCGCATCCAACACCTCAGAGGTCGACTCCGATGCCGAGGAGGAGTTCAATCACATTGTCGAGGGCATGAGGAAGACCGGTATAGCAGAGCAGAAACGCCCCTCGCCCGTCAAGCGACCATCCAACCCTCAAATCTCGGCAAGGACCCAGCGTCCTGAAGACCACCCAGTCTCAGAGGCATCCAGCGAACAGCAGTCTGCGACACCGACCCCATCCAAGGCCCCTGATGGAGTGCAAGCAACACTAACCCTCAAGCACTGCCTGTTTTGCAATCACGAGTCTCCCGACGTGCCCTTGAACGTCAGCCACATGGAAAAGACTCACGGCATGTTCATCCCTGAAAAGCAATATCTGGTTGATATCAAGGGTTTGTTGCGATCCTTGCAAGAGCGCATACAGGAGTACCACGAATGTCTGGTCTGTGGCAAGGCCAAGGCAAACGCGTATGCTGCGCAAACCCATATGCGTGATACTGGCCACTGCAAGATCCCCTACACTACCGAGGATGAACAGCTCGAGATTGGAGAGTTCTATGATTTCCGCAGCACTTACTCGGACGATGAGATGGACGATGACGAGTCAGACGATGAGGAATCGCCTCAAGCCGGTGGCGTAAAGCTCGGCAGTAAGCGGGCGGCGGTCACCACGAATGAGGACGGTGAGGAGATCGAAGAAGCTGAGGATGCAGGTTGGGAGACGGATTCTTCAGCTTCATCACTCGACTCTGCCGACCTCACTGCTGTCCCTGCAGAAAATCACTACCACCAATACGAGCGCTTGGAAAAACATGCCCACCACTCTCGCAGCGACTCGAGACCTCATCGCCAGAGAGATGGCTGGCATTCGCATTCGCACAAGCCCACTCGAGCAGTCTTCTACGACGAGTATGAACTTCATCTCCCAAGTGGCAGGGCCGTTGGCCATAGGTCTCTGAACAAGTACTACCGCCAGAACCTGCGAGAGCGACCGTTCCTCGAGGGTCATCAGCAGCACCAGCTGGCTCTGGAGGACGGCGACCCGGATGCCATGGATGTCGATGGCGAGGAGGGCACCAACGGCCAGCAGATTGTCCTTAGCGGGCGCGTTCGTGACCAGAGGAGGCAGCTTGTCGGCCGTGGCGCCGAAGGTGGCGGTGGCATGGTGGGTGTCTCGGACAAGAAGAAGAAGGAGGTGGGCAAGGCGGCACAGCGAAGCCGCAAGGTGGAGCATGCCCACCAGAGGAGGAACGAGTGGTCGGTCAACAAGCAGGCGAACCACCAGAAGCACTACCACTACAGTATTTTGTAGATTGATTGTTGGCATTCGCGGTGGAGTGGGCTTGGGGAAACGGGGGCTGTGCTCCTGGCCCGCGACTTGATATATTTCGCATTTGTTAGGACAGCATGACAAATTGCACCAGTTCAAGCTTTGCACTTGGCTTTCTAGAGCACATACTGTCATGGCAATTTGCGCTTTTGAAAACCTGGCTCTTCAATAAAAAAAATTGGTTCGTATGAGCGGCTTTCAGCCGCCTGGACCCCCCAGCCACGACGGGACGAAATGTCATTGGTGTCATTCATGTAATGATCCCGGTCACAGAACAACGTGATCATCCCCATGCAAGCATTTAGCTCATGTTTACTTGGGCTTCCTTGATTATAGCACATTGTCCAGTAATGCTGCTGATCCTCGTCCTCAACGTTCTTGTCCTTCTTCTTGCTGCAGCCGCCGTATACCATGTCACACTGCCGTTCTGCCTGTCTCAAGCGGCCACAGTGGTAGCACAAGCCAGCTTTCGGCCCAAACACCAGCCTTCTTCATGGGCGGCTTCGGCCACACTGTGTTTTTTTTTAAATCAACTATTTATTAATCTATCTGCTATTTGCTTAGCTTTTTAATTATTCCTTAGCCTTAAGCTGGTATATAAATTTATATATAACTTAATATATTTATTTATACTTTATTAATAAAGGAATTTTAAACCTCTTTTTTTACCCTTTATTTTTAATTTTTAAAGTATTTTTTAAATTACTTATAATATAATATAATATTACTTTTTTATATTACTTATTTTATTATAAATATTAAGATAATCCTTATATTAAAATAATTATAAAAATATAATGTAATAATGAAAAATAATTAATTTATAATTAAGTTTGCTTAAAAAAGAAAGGAAAAGGAAGAATTATTAAAAAAGTAAATTAAAATAGTTTTAAAAGCTAGTTAAATAAATAAAAATAAGTTAATTAAACAAGCTTAAAAGGCCTTTGCATATAATTAACGTTATAACTTTAATATTAAATATTATTTATTATAATATATTATGATTTAAGCTTTGCTTATTGTGATTACTTAGCGGGCTTTAGCCTTATAAGAATAGGCTTTAGCGTAAGTATAAATGGGGAGCAAATCTCTTCCTTTACATTTTAAATATAAACCTTATTTAAGCACTTTATAGCAAATAACCTAAGGTTAGCTTATAATATATATTTAAAGTCTTTTTATATTATAAATTTATAATATAATTATATAAAACTTAGTATAATAAGACTTAAAAAGAATAATAACAGCCCGTTAAGCCCTTTCCTATCTTAAAAACCTTTTATCTTAAAAATACTTAGCAACTTAGCTAATAAAGATAAGGGTTAAGTTTATAATAAATAGGGAAGTAATTAATATTAAAGAAGCTTAATTTTTTTTATATATTTAATTAATTAAGAACTTTTTATAATTAATTTTTATTTTATATTAATTTTATAAAACTATTTAAAAAATAATTAAAAAGCTTTTTAAAGAAGATTTACCTTATATTTAAGGATTTCTTTAAATAAAAGCGTGCCAGGCTTAGCTTAATTACATTATAATAATATTATAAAAAGGGAATAATAAAATCTTTTACTTAATTTAATTAATTAACTTATATAGTAAAAACTTAAAATTAATTAAATAAATATAAAATATTATTAATAATTAATAGCTTAATCTTTATAATAAAAGCTTAGCTTAATTATAAAAAATAGCTAAATATATTTAAGGCTTTTTACTTTACTTTATAATAATATAAGGGTATTTTTAATATTATAATAAGGAAGGATAATACTTAATCTTAAAATTATGAAATAATAAATATTAATATTATAATAGTTTTAATAAGCAAAGTTAAGTATTTTATATATAACTAATTTAATTATTATAAATATAATTATTTTAATTATTATAAGGAAATAAGGGTGTAGCTTTTATTAATTAAGCTTGGTAAGGGAAAGGAGTTTATTTAAGAGGGCGTAAAATTTTTTTTATAAAGTAAGGCTTAAAACTTATTAGCTTAATGCTAACTTAAGTTTAAAATAAATTAGCTATATGTTAATTAATTTAATGCTATAAAATGCTTAAAATCTAGGAATTTCCTATTAATAAAGTAAATTGCTTATAATTAAGCGTTAATTAATTATAAATTATATAATAAATTTATAATCTTAAAGTTTTAAATAAAGGAGCTTATATAAAAGGCTTAAATTAAAGGATTATAAAAATGCCGTTAATTTAGCCGCTAACTTATACTTAAATAATTATTTTTTATTAGCTTATTTTAACTAGCATATTAAATTATAAGATTAATTATAAAAAATAAGTTAAGCCTTTAATATATTTAAAAGGCGTTAAGATATAATTAAATAGCTAGGTAATGGGTAATATTTAATTTATAATTAAATTATAATGTTCTTTATTTTTATTATATAGTTACCTTTTAAAGCTTATTATAAGGATTTAAAAAAGAAAGATATATTATAATTTAAGCTTTGCTTATTATAATTAATTAATAGGCTTTAACCTTATAAAAATAGGCTTTAATATAAATATAAATAAGGAGCGGATCTCTTCCTTTATACTTTAAATATAAACCTTATTTAAGCACCTTATAATAAATAACCTAGGGTTAGCTTATAATATAATAACTTATTTAATAAAGGTTTTCTTAAAAGCTTATAATATATATTAATATAAATAAAAAGAAAATAAGTTTTTAATAAAAATTATATTTATGAAACTTATTTTAAATTATATTATAAAATTAATTGCTTAACTTATTATAATAAATTAATTTTATATTACTTATATAATAATTTATAATATTATTAAAAGCGGTTTTTTTAATTTTTTTTATATAAGTATTAAAGAATTATTATTTTTAATTATAAATTATAATCATATTATTAATTATATTTATTAAATTATAATTATTTTATTAAGTTATTTTTAATTAATTTAATTATATTTTTTATTATTTATTTATTTATTTATAATTATTACTTTAATTTTTATAAAAATTTTAATCTTTTTAAATTAAAATTTATAGCTTTTAAATATAATAATTAATATATTAATTTTTTAAATATTAAGAAATATTTATAAAAGTATTATTTATATAAAATTACTTTTATTTTAAAAGAAATTTATTTATTATAATTAATATTTCTTTTTATAATTATTTTATATTATTTATATTAGCTTAATATATTAATATAATAAAAAGCAATTATTTTTTAAATAATAATTATATATATTAAGTTAAGTTATTTTAATAAAAGGATTATTTTTAAAGAATTTTAATAATAAATTAAATAATTATCTTTAAATAACTTTATATAAAAGGGAAAAGTTATAATTATTTTACGTTTAAAATAAAGATAAATCTTATATATATATTATATAAATATATAATTTTGTTTTTAATTTATATATATATATATATATATATTTCTTAAATAATATATATTTAATTTCTTTATATTAATTTAATTATAATAATTAAATATAAATTATAATAAAGTTATAACTTATATTTATTTAATTAATATAGTTTATTAATAAGTAATAAATATTAATAAATAATGAATTTTCGCAACTTTATTTAACTTTAATTAATATTAATATTACTTTAAGGCTAATAAATAAATAAAGAATTAACATTAATTAATATTAATTATTTTTAATTCCTTATCTTTAATTAATTTAATTAATTTAAAGAGTTTAAAGGTAATTATATTAAAGTTTAAAGTAATTAACTTTTAATAAAAAGATTTTATTTTAATATTAATTATATCTTAATTTTTTATATTAATCTTGCTTTAATCCATTTACTTAAATATTTAATATATTAAAAATTAATAATTATTAATATATTTTATATCTAAAAAAAATAAAATTCTTTTAATTATTTAAGTAATTTAAAAATTTAAAAAAGATTATATAAAACCTTTATTTATAACTTAAGTTATTAAAATCTTTTATAGTTTTAAAATTATATTTCATTATAAGATAAATTAATAATACTTTTATAAAGAATTATATATTAATATATATAAACTTAATTAAATTAAAAAATAAATATTTATTTAATATATTATTAAGTAAAATGCTTAAAACTTTCCTTTATAATTCTTTAATATAAAAAATATAATTAACCTTTTATTAATATTATATAATATTAAACTTATTAATAAGCATTAAATTTAATGCTTTATAAATTTATAACTTATCCTTAAAATTAAGTTTAATTATTTTTATAATTATTAAAAAGCCTTTTATAAAAATTTAAAGATTATTAAAAATTAATTTAAGCTGCTTTATAATATAATAGTTAAATATAAGATTATAAATAATAATCTTTATAATTTTAATAAAACTAACTTTATAATAAGCATAGTTATTATATTAATAATAATTATATATATTAATAAATATAAAAAGGTTAAATTAATTTAACTTAGTAATTAAAAATAAGTTATAATTATTAAATATATTAATATAAAGAATTAATATATCTTATTATTTATAATTATTTAAAGCGCTTATTACCTTATAAGCTAAGCTATAAAGTTAAGTTTCTTAAATAATTAAGTTATTAAATAATGCAAACCGGATCTTTCCGTTATATTAAAAGGGAAAGGGATCCATTGGTTGCCCAAGGGATTCTTTTGCAGGCTTATTAGGGGCCTAATAGGGGCTTGCCACGTTAGGCTTTAGGAGGTATTGCATTAAATGCCTCTCGCAAGATAACTAAGATATTATCCGCAATAGGCTATATAGAATGCCTTTTAAGGGGTTGCCCTTTATAGCTTGCATTTTATTAAAAGCCTCCTTATAGCTAAGTTTTTTTATATTAAATTAACTTATTTAACACGGCTGGGAATTAAACTTAGCGCTCCTACATTGTTAATATAATGCAGAATTAATTATACGCATAAGTTTTTAGGTATGGTTTCACTTCTTTTAATATAAACGGTTAGTTATAGTTATTATTT